GACATGCCGTTTGATGCCGTTTTCGAGATATTTGCGATCAAAGTTTACATCAATTTTCATACAAAATTTGATCATGCACAATATTTTTTGATAAACTTTTACAAAGTTTTGGTAAAAAATCATGTTTATCCTTTATATTAAGAACTGATTTTTTGAGCAATGAACGAGAACATTATCTAGAAGATGCTAAAAGATTCAAATCAAGAGAAATTAACAAAAACTTTCAATTTTCTAATGTGTCAGAAAAGTATTGTGCACAAGGAATTTTTGAACATTTTTTCCGAATCTGAATCATTGTGCACTTTTCTATTTACAAACACGTGATCAATTTTTGAACTTGATTTTGAATTTTAAAGTTCCGTTAAAAATTGTTATGTTTTTGAATTTTAAACTACCGTTAATTATTCATAAGTTTCTTCAAAGATTTCAATAAGGGGGGGGGGGAGGGTTTGAAAAATTGTAACAAAATGTAACAAAGGGGAGGGGGGTTGAAAAAAAGTCGTTTTTTTGCGTAACGTAATATGTAAGTGAACGGCCCCTAAATCATTCAAACTTATAACATAATGTAATAAAGCCATGACGATGCTCTAGCTCTTGAAGCTTGATATCAGTGCCTAGTAGTCCTATCCTTACCAAAAGTGAATTCAATAGGTGAACCGAAAGTTCGTCAGTACCGGTTTTTGCAAACCCCTTACTTAACTATGAAATCCACAGTATTTCAAGAACATCATGCAGCTTGTAGTTGACCTTACACACAATTCCTAAACATTACAGATCAACATGTCCAAATAATTAACAACAATATCTTAAATAAGTCCAGTCGCATTTGATAAATCTACCGGAAATACCAAAGAAATTCTAACAATAATATTCCAAATAAGTTTTGCTTTTGTCTCATCAGTTCTATACACATCAATCACTGACAACCTTGCGTGCTTTCCATGTAGATTTTCATATTATTTCTTAATACATTCTATTATTATTTAAACAATAGAGAAAATAAAATATCCTTCACAGAAGTCGAATCGATCGTACCTGCTCAATTCCAATCAATAAATTCCCAGAAATTCTGCCGGAACTTTCACATTCGGACACTTTCCCCACATTAATAATTTAAAATTTATTTGCTGTCTCATCATGACTTATTAATTTTTTTTTATTAAACTAATATTTTTGAGGATAAAATCCATCAAAGAGTCAAGTTTAAAGCTACTCAGACCTCATAAAACTAAAAAGCAATCGGAAGAGGTAAACATAATCAAAAGAAGCGACTAGTTCAAGAGGTTTTATAAGAGGCGACGGCGCTTGTTTAATGAAGATAATTGAGTCATTAAAGATTAATGAAATATAAAATGAAAGTGATATTCCCTCAAGTGAGGCAGAATTACAATGAAGATGTTCTCTCGAGCTTCCGTGTCTTTGTACTCCTTATCTTCAATAGAGATCCATTAAAACTAGACCATGAGCATCTATTTTAAGTGAATGGCAAGGAAAAGATGATGGGGTCGTTAACATTTGAAGGTGTTTAAAGATATAGTTGGGGTCTGACTTTAACTTCAATTTACTTTAATTTTCTAATCCACAGATCCCAAAGAACCGACCCCAATAGTCTAAAATTAAAATAACTTAGATTTTAAGGTAATTTTGGATTCGACTCTGGACTAAAATGATTATTTGTGACATTAAAGGCTTCTATACAATTCACATCGAAATCTGTCTGATCTGTCTGATCAACGGTGGTTAAATTTGAGACCCATCTTGAAACTCGCGTTATTACAAAGACTCCCTAATTAGAATTGATGTTTTGCTCCAAAAAATATTGTTTAAGTCTAATCTATTTAAATTGAGGACCCCTTGAAGTTTTAAACAAGTTTGCTTTGTCCCGCAAATCCACTAAACTGAGCAAGAGGTAGAGACAACATTGTGGCAAAATAAATTCTGATGTTCAACCAAAATGCTTTCCCTTGATATGATCTTTCCTCGGCTCTGAGTTCAAGCGCTAAAGTCACTTCTTAACATTACCCAATTTCAAGACAGTCATCACTTCCAAATGATTCCCCAATTGTATGGAAATGAGACCATCAACATTAACAACCCAAACTAGTGTATCGGGTAGAAACCCAATGCGGATATATTCACACCGTACCATCAAAAGTCTTATGGATAGACCAAGATTTGCTCAGCATAAGTTTGAAGGGTGGGTGTGAAGTACGGCTATGCATTACAAAAAGTAATATTGGTATGTGATTTATGTCAGAATTATGTCAATTCAAATAAAACATCCAAAAAAAATTTTTTTGACCAAAGAACCAAGTAGGAAATAAAATTTTCAATTTTGGACTAGGGGCGACTCTAGTCAAAAACAATTTTGTCACTTTTTTCTTCGAGGGTTTATCCAAATGGATTGAAAATTTGCATAAATATTCTAGTGCTTAATACAAATACAAAAAAATATCCTAAAATTTTTTTGAGCAAAGAACCAAGTAGGAAATACATTTTCAATTTTGTACTAGGGGCGACCCTAGTCAAAAACAATTTTGTCACTTTTTTCTTCGAGGGTTTATCCAAATGGATTGAAAATTTGCATAAATATTCTAGTGCTTAAAACAAATACAAATAAAACATCTTAAAATTTTTTTGAGCAAAGAACCAAGTAGGAAATACATTTTCAATTTTGGACTAGGGGCGACCCTAGTCAAAAACAATTTTGTCACTTTTTTCTTCGAGGGTTTATCCAAATGGATTGAAAATTTGCATAAATATTCTAGTGCTTAATACAAATACAAAAAAACATCCTAAAATTTTTTTGAGCAAAGAACCAAGTAGGAAATAAAATTTCAATTTTGGACTAGGGGCGACTCTAGTCAAAAACAATTTTGTCACTATTTTCTTTGAGGGTTTATTCAAATGGATTGAAAATTTGCATAAATATTCTAGTGCTTAATACAAATACAAAAAAACATCCTAAAATTTTTTTGAGCAAAGAACCAAGTAGGAAATACATTTTCAATTATGAACTTGGGACAGGTCCAGTCAAAATCTAGTTTTTCACTTTTTTCTTCGAAGGTTCGAGAAAAAAGTGACAAAATTGATTTTGACTAGGGTCGCCCCTAGTCCAAAATTGAAAATGTATTTCCTTCTTGATTCTTTGCTCAAAAAAATTTTTTTCATCCAAAGTTTAATTTAAAAAAAAATCACAGTGAACTTTTAATTTGAAAAATTCGTAAGAAAGGAAAGTTTTTTGCTTTTTCTGAAGCAACGGCTGTTCCTACCTTGCCCAAAAACAATACTCTCTTCTATAGAGCAGCACGGATCAAATGTAAAAAACTAGAAGTCTCTACGATGTCTCGTTATTGAGATTTCTTGCTGATTAACTTGCTTGTTTGCTTGCTTACAGAAAGCGTATTTTGCGATTTTCTCAGCAATGCCACAACCAATTTGAAATCTGTTTTTTTGCAAAAGATGTAAAATTTCAGGCACAAACTTTTCTTCTGTGACCTTTTATAACCAATTTTGCTTTGTTTTCTCACAAAATGCGAATAACTGATTTTTCAATCTGAACAAAACCAATAGATTCACACGTGAAAACGGTGTGAATATAAAAAAATCTGCATACTGGACATGACAGGTAGACTCAATTTATAACTTTTTTTCTGCAGATTAGCTTTCTCATTCAGCAGTCAAAAAAAAAAGTTCAAAGAAATAAATTTGAAAGGTTCAATGTCATGGATATGTTTTTGAGCGTGAATTTTCATCGGCTGTTGATTGCGAATTTCACGCTAAATTAATGTCGACAAGTTTGAGTGATTGTGTTTATAAATATCGACATGCGGCTGATGTCTCTATTAATTAATGTAGAAAATAAAATTGTATCACTTTTGATGGTTGTCACGGAGAAATAGCGCATAAACAGCTTAATATATGACATTTGGGTAAATTGCAGGATTTATACACACATTTATTGAATGCTCAGTCAGGTAAGTAAGCTTTAATGAAGTTTATTGCATTGAATAAAATGTGTGAATGCCGGAACTGTTTAAGGTAAGATCGCGTTGAAAAGATGAGATCAAGTTTACTTCCGAGACGAAGATCTTTTGATTAAATTTGAATAAAAGGAGATGAAATATGGACTGTTGGTATCAGCAGGTGTAGAGGGGTCGATTTGTGAATAGTGTCAATCAATAATCTTGATTTCAATTGACTATTGATCCTTAAATGACATCCGTACCCTCTTGTTTGATGCTTGAGTTATATACTGCAGTAAATCTTATTTTCAGGTGCTTTTGATTCATCATATTAACATACATGCATGCCCATTAGGTCATCACTTACTGAATTATGCAATGAACGACTTATAGACTCAACTAAAGTCATGATGACTACTGAAAGCTGCACATGATGTGCTTTTGATTAGTGTTATCTATTATTCTAATGATCTATACCAATAGAAGATCCCTATTAAGACTTAACACTTCACAGGAGAATAAGACAACATTATCATCAAAAGAACTTTGAGACATCTAGTCTTTAGCTGTGTTTACTCTCAGCTACACTAGTTCATACCCTAATTTAAAATATCTTCTGCATAAATCATCACTTTTGTCCCCTATATCTACCTTCATATGCTCACTATGACAGCAATTAGCATGATTACAACATTACTCCTGTCTATTAATAGTCACAGCACGTAAGACATCATTAGAACACTTAATCTACATCCATTAAGTCTGCAGGAGACCTAACTTCTAAGAAGATTTATGAAAAAGTCTCTGCTTGAAACCAAAATCTTCTAAGCCATAAATATTCAATCTATCTTCTCGTTGATTCTTCTAATTCCACTAAATTCTCTAATGCTTATTTCACTTACTTTCTTTTAGAATGACAAACATCGTTAACCTCATAAAGCATTCTCAAAACAAATTCAATTTGATTCTAGTAAAGAAATGGAAGCAGATGCGCACCGTAGCTAGATTTACAATGGAAATGCTTTTTTTTTGTTTGACTTTTATTCATAGCGTATAGGATTATTTAGAGACTTATGAGGATTAAAGCTATAATCTTGAGACTATTATAATATTTATACAATTTTTTTCTACTTCTATGCTTTCTTCTCTCGCTTCCTTTCTGGTCTATAAACTTTGTAAGTGTGCCAAAACAAAAATATAGGAGATCTAACAGGTGCATAAATCAAAGATTATGTGTTAAGTTGTTAACATACTTTTATATCTTTATCTTCTTTTGCATTATGCCGGCTTCTGGCTTTGTTCTTAACTTTTTGATCTTATTACTGTGATGATGATGATGATGATGCTGACGATGTTTTTTATGATGTCCACTTTTGTGAATAATCTCGCTTAAAATGTCATTTTCGGGAATCTCATTTGTATGAATTTGGTCGTGCTGATATTTCTCAAAATGTCCGTAAACATGCTTATCCCTTCCATTATTCTTCTTTGACCGGAAATTCTTCTCATAATTCATCAACATATTCGTCTCATGCGGACTGCCTTTATGCATCGACTCATAAATTGATTTAAAACGTCGATTATATTTGCGAATATATGGCGGAATTATGTTACTGCTGATGTCATCGGAACTCTTTTTATCGTGAATTAGTCGCTTTTTCAGGTCATCAATTTGATAGTGCTTCTGTGGATTGAACAAAAATAAAATGGGAAATTGGAAAAATACAGTACAATATTATAGGATGAAAATGTAATTTAGTGACTGTAAATTACTGGCGCATTTCACGCCGTAATGCCTTAATCTTCTGATAGTTTCCATTGCTACTGTGCCTGTGCTAGGATAATTAATTGTATGGATTATCAGGTTGAGTAATTTACTTGATCTCTAAATGGGTTGTAGTTTTGTAAATGACGTCAATTATTATCATGCTTTAAAATGTCTTTTAAGCACAAGGTAGCAATATTGAGGAATGGGTCAGTTATGAAGTATGGCTGCTTTCTCAATAGATTAAGATATCAAGCAGGAGGCGTATATTGAATCATACATCATAGCAGCATCTAGCTTTTTATCACCGAATCTTACAATACTTTTTGTGGGATTAAGGAGACTGGGCTGTCAGAGCAGTGTGGAATGTGAGGTATGGAGGCATATGTAGACGATTCTGCTGGTGTACGAGTATGGCCTCTGTGGCCGAGTGGTTAGACAACTGATCTAATATCTATTACTCTCTGTGAATGCTTGGGTTCAATTCCCATCACAGACCGATCACAAGATCTATTATCTAGAATGTTGTCGATGTGTCAAGGATCCTAACAATGCTCAAGAAATTCCAGAGACTCTTCTCCTACAACTTCATACCCAAAGCCTAAAATTACCTTAATAATTTATTGGAATCAACTGAAATGGGTTCAAAACCAAGGGTGTGGTACTGATGAAATGATCAAAAATTATCAAAAATGATCAAAAATTACCAAATTGTAATCCTTCAGTTCCACACCCTTCAGTTCCACACCCTTGTTCAAAACTGCATGATCTTCATTTGAATATTAAAATTTTCTGTTAAAGTAAAGGATCCTCATTCAGGCTTCAGCTATGCATTGTGACTAGTTCAAATTACAAAAGTCTTAATATTCAATTATAAAATTGACGTCACTCACAAACAACCCCCATGAGAATTAAGTATTTGAAATTGTAGCAAATCCTCACAACAAAAATACAAAAAAAAGGACAAATTCATTAAATGGAAGAAGCAAGCCATTGAAAAATAGGCTAAAGCATTATTGAAAAAAAAAATATGTTTATGGTAGCAACATAATATGGAATGACAATTGCATTGAGAATATTGAGCATATACGCCATATATGTGAATGAAAATGAGTGCAATTATTAAGATGAAAATCAATATGTGCCATATCCTATTGATTTTTAAATCGTGCAATGCACTTCTTATTATTTTTATGTTCTAGCTCTAGATTGTGAATTTTTTTTTTTTTTGAGAAATCTATGTCGAGTGTGTAAAGCTTTGAGTTACTTTTTTTTTTGATAAACAGTCATGATAATGTCAGAAATGAAAACCATAACGATATATTAATTTAAATGGCCATAAAACTTTTCTTCATTTCACTTCTTTAGCTTTAATGCCTTTTATCTGATTTTTTGAGGAACGATAGGGGCTATCTTGAGTCAGTTGGTCCTACATGAAGTATTGTCTATGCACACTTAATGATTGATTATCCACTTACAGCCGAAACCACATAAATAATTGATAAAGTCTAGGTCAATTCTTAGCAAGATCTTATCGATGTAATTCACAATAGACATGCTATAATTTTATTTAATTACTAAATTGTGTAATTTTCTCGTAATTAGGCTTACGGTTGAATGATCCAGTATACAAATAGTGCTTAATTTATAATCCTAATGACTTTTTTGGGATTTCATTGGAATTGTCATTTAATAGGTATTAATGTGTCACGTACGCACTGATTTGGTCAATGATCAATTTGACTTTATTTCATAACGGTTTTATAATTTTTGAAAATTTCGTAGGGTCATTCACTATAACTTTTCAAAATAAAAATTACCGTTAATATTCAAATCTGTAAGAATCGTTAATTTTTAAACTTATATGATCTTTAATTTTTAAATCAAAAATAACAGTTAAGTTTGCAACAATCTAAGATTTAAATTCTAAAAATACGTTGAATTTACATTAAATTTTCTAACACCAGAACTCTTCAAGAACAATCCCCACAGCCTCAATTAGAGGTAATATGCACCTTAGACATTCAACCTATAATAAACATTTTTTACGACACTTAGTTTTTTGTTGCTGCTATCAAGTCAAAACGTGAATTGTGAACATAAAAAAAATATTTAAATTTCTTTCTTCTCTTTTTCAAGCCTTACTTACTTTTCTTTCACTGATCCGAAAGTTGTGAAACGCTATGAAATATAGGCGAGTATAGAGGTATACAAAAAAATTAAGTATCTCATATAAAAATCAGTAATTTCTTTTTCTAGTTTTTGATTTATAGTCAAGCAGCTAGCTCATAAGCAAATTACCTTCAGTAGTATATATAAAGCAAATACACAAAATCAATATTTTTACAAATTTCATAACTTTTTCCTTTCACGTCCCTATCTCTCACAATATCGTCGACTTCCAACTTTGTAAGTTCCTCACTGCTTCACACGCTTTATGCTAATAATAAGTCACAGATAAAGTTTCCCTCCTGTGTTACCAAATTAATGTCATTCGCAAAATTACGGAATTTACAAGAATCAAATCTATTTCCTTAAATCCCGTCCGCGAATTGTATCGTTAGAATAAAGTAAATTCCACAACGCCAAATAATTACACCGCGCTCGAGACAAATAATTTCCTTTCCTTTTTAAATCCACGAGCTTGAAAATTTAACTCGTAGCGTTCGCTATGAGGCTCACATTTAAACTGAATGGATGGTACTGTACATTTTTTGAAAATGGAACTCAGCACAGAAAAAAAGGAGGAATTATTAAAATCGTTCCATTGCATGTATATTCAGCCGTGTTATTGCTTCGAGCCAAGAGAAAAATGGTAATGAAGGCTTGATATAATGGTCGATGGAACGTCCTTAGTAAATTTATTTGGAGATTATTCAAGAACTTGAAACGAATCAAAACTTATCGACTTGAAGCTCTCGATTAATCCTAAATATCCAAGCACTCTAATTTGACATTCCTGCTATACTTAATGAATGGCTTGGAGATTTCTATTGGGATTCGAAATATCATGTCAGGAAGTGTTCAGATTTTAGAAACTAATCGATGGTGTGTATGCCTTGAATATCCTTATTCATTTTCCGACTTAATCGTTTGAAACCTTATCGCAGGTCCAACAAATCTTGTTTAATTTCGCAATATTCAAAAGAATCTTGAACTTTTTTTTGTTTGATTTAGGTTAAGTTTAAAAAGTACGTGAGTTTTCACGGCACCTTATTCAAGTTTTGATTTATTCCTTTTTGATTTTTGAGTTTACTCCATACTGAAGATGTTTAAAAAATTTCACTAAGCATTATTTGCTGTTGTATTGTTAATAAAATGACTTAAAACCTTAAAATTTCAAAAAACGAAAATTTTAGCATTTTCTTTGTTTATTTTTGTTGAGTTTAAGAATGAAACTTTTTTAAATCCGATAAAATATATTTAATATTAAGCAACTTGCTGATAAGCTTTTGAATCTAAAGTAAAACATCCACAAATGAATAGATCAGGACCAAACCTTAAACTTGATAACCTATAAAAAATCCTTCACCAAAAATCCAGCAAACAAAAAATTCAAAAAGCCAAACATCCTGGACAAATCAGCTCACATTCACCTTTCTTAGCACAAAGATTATAAGCACCAACTACAAACATTTTTTAGTTGTTCATAACGAAGCATATGAAAAGTGCCAGCATTCGTGTCCTGTGTGAAGAATGAATGAATTGAAAAACAAGCAAGAAAAGAGGAAAACGAGTGAACGAGAGTGGAAATAAAAACATAAACAAAATAAAAAAAAAAAACAATTTTTTTGAAACGGTAGTGAATATGCAACATAGTTGAATGAGACTATTAAACTTTTTATTATTTTTATTTCTTCTTTTCTTCTCAGTTTTTAAAAATATATATGCAAAGAGAATTAACAGTCAGAATAATATGAAACGACTTTAAAATACACATTTTTTTTGTAACTACATAATTATAGGCCACATAGATATATTTTTTGTTTTAGATATGGAAAGAGGAAAATAATTGATTGATTGCTTTATCATCTCTTGTATCTAAGGTTTTTCTTTGATTGTGTTGAATTTTTTTTCTTATTTATTTGGAAAACTTATGGAACTTCTTATTAAATATCATTTTTTTTTAACTTTAAATTCAAATCTTCATTTTCAATTGCTTGTGATGTTGTGAGCTTTGAGTGAGAATCTTCTGTGTTATATCGACAGCTTAGCATTCGATTGAGTGGAACTAATGTCCTGTCAAGTAACAGAGCCACCCTCCAACCATACAAGCTGTTGCCTAGATACCCAAAGATTCCATCTAAATTGCTCCAACACCACAATATTACCTAAGACTATTAAGTATGTATGTAATGTCTTTCAATGTTAATTCCTATTCACGAGTTCCTAACAATACTGTATCTTCCAACATTTTATGACTAACCATCCTAAACAAATTTTGTCAACCGACTAGAATTGAATGAATTATCTTTGAAAATTTTCTTTAGTTTTCGTTAAATCTTTTATATCTTAAGGAAATTAATTAATCAATTAATATTACCTTTTTCTCTAACTTGATCCTCATTTTTTTAAATTTTATTAAGGAAAATAAATTATTAATAAAATTGTCGTCCAATTAACACTTTTTTCAACTATTTTTTTAAAATACACATAAAATGATTAGTGTACGTATATCGTCTCCTTAAACTTCGGTCGATCGCGCTGCCAGTGGCGAATTTGGCATGAGGATTATTTGTTTTGTATTACTATTGTTATTATTATCACTATGTCTCGTTCCATTTGATGATAGGAATGAAAGCGATGTGCCACTATCTAATGAGCAAACTGATGCACGTCTGTTTTTGTCATACTTATTATTACTATTATTATTAGTATCACCTGTAACTGGAGAGAAAGAGAGACACACAAAACATTAAATTTCTAACGAATTTCTAAAATTTGAATGAGTTTAAAGCCCAAAAGCATGCGAAACAATTTCAAATAATGACCGTTAAATTTTGAAGAAAACATAAAATTCAAATACTTTTTTGCCGTTATTTTTAAATTATTCAAAAAGTTCAAAAATCGACACTTGAGATTTGAAAAATGTTTGGTAAATTTTGGATAATTCAAAAATTGACAACAAAGGTTCAAATAGAAAATAACCGTTAAATTTTAAAAAATTATTCAATTCAAATTCCTTCCAACCGTTAGATACTCACATTGTTCATTGATGTCCAGTAAAGAATTACTTAATTGTTTATTATTATTTTGTGCGTGTTTAGCCATCGGCGATGATTTCGATTTGTGCTTATGCTTTATTTCAGCATATCCACTATCTCGATGTTCGTTCGAGGATGATTTCATGTTTCTCGAGTTTCTCGTGTTCTTCTGCTTCTCCAATTCACACTCGATTCGTATCTGTTCCATTTCATCCATTTCAGCAATACTCTCTTCGAGATCTTGAGCGAATTTGCATTTATCGTGTTCGTTTCGTGCATTAAATGTTACAAGAACTTTATTATCGACACGATTCAGAAGTTGTATGCAATGTGGATAGTCTAGTGTTGTTTTCGAGTAGAGCAGAAGAAAATCAATTAATTAAAGTTTTCAAATATACACAAACCAGAGAATTTCATTAAGAATTTATATTGCATTATGTACATCAGAATGAACCGAACGTTTTTTAATCATTCGTGTCTTCATAAATTGCTTAATAAGTTCTCATCATGAATATGCAATACTTCATATCACATTTTTGTATAGCTTGTAGTAATAATTGAAATTAAGAAAACTTACTTGAGGATTTTAACAGAGACACGACCATGCCAGGCAGTGCAAATGATTGTCGGAATGAATAAGTTACGGAAGTCTTCGAGATTTTCTTGAATATTTTCGTAATAACTAAAATGTCATTAAATAGAAATACTTCACGTTGATGAACTCCTGGTCGTTCTTTACGATTCCAATCTGGTACCTACGTATGTGCAATAAAGTTTATAAGTAGTAATTAAAAAAATATTGCGTCATCAAGACACTGAGTGTGCCACAATAGTAAGTAATAATAATAAAAACTTGTGTAGTATTTCAAAATTCAACCTACTTCATATAATCGACAATAACACACTAAACGGCGATGTGGTAATGCCAAATTGGGTTTTTTGCCAATGATTGTCGCTTGTACCTTCATCACCTGAAGAATGAGATTAATAGAAATAAATAAATTGTATCCGTCCATTCAATCATAGAAACTTACTTGTGTTACATGATCGGAAGCTGGTTTGAATTCATTTGCCTTCACACGCTCATAAATTCCCACAAGAATATCTCGATCAATGTCTGCACAATCGTCAACGCCACGTAAATTTTTTATGAAATCTTCACATCGCATCCGTTTCTCAGGTTTCAGTGCTTGTGTATGTAAGTCGGTATTTAACATGATAATTGCGAAAGCCAGTATGAAGATCTAAAATACAAATGATTGAGATTAGTCATTTACTTTTAAATTGGTAACATATTTGTTCAATTAAAGTTTTTTATGTAATTTAAAGCTCATTAACGGATTTTTGAAATTTAAAAATTCATAGTAATTTCCCTTTGAAAAATTTGAATATTTAATTTCCGATATAAATCACATCAAGTCATTAATCATTTTAGACGTGAAATCATCAATGAATAATGCAAATTAGCAAGAGAATAAGCAAATAAGACTCAAAATACATTTTCAAGTTCACATGATTGATAAATTCCTGACAGACTAATTAACATGACAAAGTAAATCCGTTTTGCAGTAATTATGTCATTCTTACCGTCTCAGCTGATCGAAGCTTTCCAATAACTTCTTGATTGCATTTTCCATAACGCTGACTAAACACCTGAACAAGTCTTTCAATCTTTTGTGCTTCGCCTGGCATTCGAAAATAACTTTGAAATTTCCTAAGTGCAACATCGACAGCTGTTCCTGACAAATCGAGCTCATCACAAAACGATTCGAGGACTGACATATTGAATGAATTTTGAATCATTCCCAAATATTCGCCAATCATTTGACGTGATAATCCTTTACGTGAGATCAAAAATTTTGCTACACCAGTCGACGTATTATCTAAGAATCCATTCTTGACTAAATATTCAATTCCTTTTTCTGGCTTCTTATTAAATAAGTTAAGTCCAATGCGATATTTTCGCTTTCTTATCACTTCAGAATATTTAAAATTCTCTGATGCCATATTCTTCCTTTGTGCTTGATTGTAATTTTGATCATCTTCATCGTCTTTATGTCGCCATAAAGGGGATGTTCCAATGTCTTGTAGATTCTCATAATGCATTTTCTCGAGAGATGCACTACTCTCGCTTCCTGACGACTGCACTGACTGAAGGCTTCCATTGTTTACTAAAATTATTTAAAGCATTTGTAATTAGAATTGGATTTTGTAGTTGAAATTGAGTTTTTGAATTTCATTAGATATGGACAGGAAAGTGACAAGTTGTACGATGAATTTTAAAAACCTGTTGAATTTTGAATTTTACAAAACTGTTAAAATTTTAAATCTTAGAAATTTGTTAAAATTTTATGAACTTTTACTTGACAACAAAGCAAAAATAAAACTCGTACTTTGCACATCACTTCAAGTCAAAAAGATCTCAAGACATCACTTATGAAAATCGTCACGACTCAACACCAATCAAAAAGTATTAAGTAAGTCATCGAAAAAACACAAGTCGTGTCCATAAGTCATGCAATACATACTCAAAAGACACTTGTTAATTATCATACCTGATCTTGATAATCCGTTTTGTTTCTTCAACGAATTTGTTGACACGGTACTTGGCATTCTTTTCGGAACTTCTGGTGGAGCTTTTTTGTGCGTAACCTTGGGCGATGGACTGACTTGTTGATGCTGCTGTGTAAATTGCGGTGATAATTGCGGCGTAGCATTTGTCGACTGTTTTGGAACTTTTGGTCTCATATATATTTGTGCGGCTGTAAAATGCTGTGCGACAGGAGTTGGTGGAGCTATATTGTTTAATGAATTCCATGACTGATTCTGACTACTGCTATCAAACATAATTGGACTTCCAAATGATATTGCGCTTGTATTATTACTATTGTTTTGGTACTGTAGATGCTGATGTGGTGATGTATTATATTGTTGATGCATTAAATTCACATATGGATGTGGAGATGATTTCATCATCATTACATTCCTTGTCGGTGTTGCTGGACTCGAATTCATCATTAAACGTTGCTGCTGATGATCAAATTGTGACGGTGTCGCCGAACGAAGCGATTCTTTTGTTATATTCATTAAAACATCATTGTTTGCTTGCTGCTGCTGCTGATGATAATTTATTCCTCCGTACATTTCCATTGATTGACTTTGGGAGAGTCGTTGATTCATCATCATATTATTATTGTTATTATTATTGCTACTACTTGCAATCGATGAACGTTTTTCTGTTTTCACATTTGCTGTTGCACGAATTGATGCAAATTTTTTGTTCAGCATATAGCGACGATATGCACGTTGAATGACCTAAAAATGGATGATATATGAAATAGAGGTTTTAATAATTCAGATTCTCGAATCTATTATGCATTTTTTCGAAGAACTTGGCATTTTGAATACATCAAGCTGTTTGCGTCAATAATCTGGTTAAAAATAATCTCCACACGATTTCTTCCCCAAACGCGTCAGCAAATAATAATTTCACTATTTAAATGTCCAATTCATTAATATGGAGATTTTAATGGTCAAGGATGAATTTCATCTAATGATATTCGCTGAATATAAAATAAAATAAGCAGTTTAGAGGTCGTAGAAATTATCCAATATTCAGCATTAACAACTTAATTTAATATTTTGATTCGAAACAATTTCACTGAATCACAACATAAACCGCGCCGTTCCTAAAATATGTAGTGTCATTTAAATAGCTCTTATTATTATTAAAATTAGATAGGAAATTTTCGTTCATGCAAATGGTAAACAAAAATTTCAGATTGAACGATACATAACATATTAATGACTGCAATAAATTTTCTATAAATCGTATAATTTGTACAATTTGGTAGTTATTTTTATAACATTATAGAAAAGTGGATAATTATCGTTTATAAAATTGTTTTCTATATGCGATTTTAATTGGAACTTCATTATGATTTGAATAGGAAGTAGAAATTTGAAAATTGGAAAATTATGCGGATTTAACGACTGTTGTAAATTTGAATTTCTGTCAAAAAACTGAGTTTGAATTTTCCAAAGAAGTTAAAATTTGAATACTACAAAACCGTTTAAATTTTAATTCCACAACACCGTTAAAATTCAAAATTTACAAATCCGTTATAAGCTTAATGCACTTTCACTTGACAGCAGCAATCAATAAATGTCACGAAACTCGAATACCTCCAAAACCCACTAGACTCGAAACAATAATAATGAACTTTTGTAGCTCTTTTTCGTTTCATTGCAGATTATTGACTGGCCTATTGCATAATAATTATGCAGTCAGTAAAAAATTAAGCAGACAGAAAACTTACCAGCGCAGCACGTTGTGCTCTAATCTTTCCCCCATACTTTCTTTCCAGCAACTCAATTTGCTTATCCATTAAATCTTGCGATAGCTCATAGCCATGACTCTGATTACGTGATGATGTTCTCTTATTCAATTCACTATTCGATCCATATCTAATTGAATTAGATTTTGTCGCATGAGCGAAATTGTGAGGCGATGTCACAATAAAATTTGGCGATGGCATATTGTGAAATTGCGGTGAGTAAGCTGCTTGCATATAGCTTGGCGTACTACCGCTTTGGTAGCTTTGTACATCACTACCTTGATAGCTCATCGAATATGGTGAGTAAGAATATGCGTTTGTCAATGAACGATCCATTCGCGGTTGTGGAAAACTACAATATAAAAATATGAAAAAAAAACATATTAAATTCAATCAATTCAAAAAGAAAGAAAGAAAAAAAAAACATAAAATTAGACTTTTTTCGGGTTCTCTTTCTCTTTTTTTCTGTGCCGCGCTGTTCAGCTGATTTCAAAAAACATTTACATTTTGTTATTGTCATTACTATTTTTCATTTGTGTACACAAAAGCTTTTATTTTTAAATCAGTGAGAAAATAATGAAACAAACACAAATAAAGCTAGCTTGTCCATTTGTTACTCTTTTAATTTACCTGACTGTAGTGACATGATGTTGCACTCGTGTATGCGATTCTCGGTGACGTCGTGAATAATTAATAACCGTAACGTGTCGTGCATGATGGCCCACGACTTTACGTACACGAGGTTCTTTGCACTGATTTCCATTTTCGTCGAGATAAACAATTACCGAATTTCTACTTGATCCACTACGACTTTCACTAGCAACACTTGTCGAGTCTATCGACTTTATTGAATGCTTTGACATTGCTGTATCTTGTTGTTTACGTTCTCTGTTGAGGTCATCATACGGACGACATTATGTACACATTTTTTTGTGACTTGAAATTTTTTTCAAACTTATTTTTGCGTGTATCTAATTTACTTATTAAACCGTCATTAATGTGAATAATTTACTGCCTTTTGTAATTCATGGACTATTGCAATATAGAAGTGCTTGTTGTTACAAATATTGCCTTCGTTACCGTGAGATTAGATGTGAATATGTTTAATAGACTATAAAAGTAATGAATAAAAAAAAACCTTTTTAAACTCTTTTTTGTGTATTTTGTATTTTTCCCTTCAAACAAATCATTTTTTTACGTAACAATGTTGTTTTGTCAGAAAAAGAAGATGTAAAGAAATATCAAGAGAAGCATCATCGTCCGCAAAAGTCTATAAGTCCATCTACTTATACGAATCTTTACAAATAATCGTCATTAGTTTGGATTCAGATGAAATCGAGTTTTATTTTTGAATAATCATGCTTTAAGACATGGATAAAGTGTATTCAATCAAAGTCACAGAATAATGAGAAAATTGACTATTTTTTGCTAATTTTGGATTTAATAGAATTTTTCAATGATTATTTTAAAATGAATTTTTAAGTTTAAAAGCTTTATTAAGAGATAATTAAAATTCAACTTTTTCCGAAAATTTAAATTTGTACCGGTTTTTAAAAATTTGAATTTGTAGCAGTTTTCAGAACTTTTTCTCATTAAAATTTCAAAATTTTGAAAACCGTTATGAATTCAAATTTGACAACACATGAATGAAATTTCCAAATGCGTTCAAAAATTCAAATTCTGTCGTCATTTCAAAAAAATTAAATTATGATTCCAAAACAAATTAACACTAAAATTAAGGACAAATTTAACAGCGATTGACAGAAACCTTTTAGCACATTTCCACTCAATTATCTCTTGCATTGCAATTCTTCATTATTTATCAATATTTTTTTATAATCATATGACTCGAATGTCTTACGATTTCGTACATCATTATCACAATACGTCTGTTTATTTTGACACTTAATGTCAAGTACCAAAATAAGAACTGAACGAAAACTTATCAATGATAAGGTCCAGTCTATATTTTAAACTACATACACAAAAACTTAATTTTAAATTGATGACAAAAAGAAGTAAATTTCTAATTCTTTGACATTCAGATCACACATCACATGCTGTTGTTTATATCACTTTCAAATGCGTGTAAACTTCACATTTTAATTACATACTTTGTATGCTCAATGCTGCTTTAATTTACTGCTTGGCCTACATATGTAAATTAATTTCAGTTCCAAGTAAAGTTCTATAATTAATCGAAACTGGAAGTTTGTTATGTTATCTCTAATTTTGAAGCCTATAAGCCAGTGCTTCTCGATCTTATCAGGACAAGAAGCAGCAGATCTTCTCACACCACACTGGCAACCACTATTAACACACTAAGGATTATTTCACAGATTAATGAAGTTCCACGGGTCAAAGCTTGAGAAACACTGGCATAGGGCTGTTCATAAATTAGGGGGAGGGGGTCTGTGACATTTTAAACAAAATGAATTTTTCTTCATACAAATTTTGACACGAAGGGGTAGGGGGTTTTAAAAATCTCGTTTATAACGGACGTCATTTATGAATAACGCCAAAAACATCCAAATAGAACAGACCAGAGCCAAAAATTGACAAAAAAGAGTTAATTTTTTATATATTTCCCATTTATTCCTGTTTCTATGTAGTAAATTTATTATTATTTTTGAAAGAACGCTGTTTATAGCACATCACCATTTACGTTTCATTTAGTGTAGGCTGTCGATGTTGAAAATTAATATTATACACAGCACAGTTCTTGCAGTCAACAGAACTTTTAAAAACACTTTTTTCATTCATATTTATTTTTAAGACATTTTGCACTCATAACTAATTGAAAATTTTCATAATTTTTTATTATCACCCAATAACTTTTCTTTTTAATATTACTTTATATTAATGCAATCCACATAATTACATCCAAAGTAAAAGTAGAAATTTACGAAAAAAAAAAATAATAAAAATTGCTTTAATTTTAAGTTGTTTCGATGAAATCGAAATTAACCGAAACACAATTGAATGGAGAAAAACATAAGTAGCAAGTAGCAGGCAGCAGCAGCGAATTATTGAATTAAAGAAGAAGGAAAAACCTCTGTTGGGTATTTTTTTTTGTGCACATGACTCTTTGGACAGCAACAATTGATGGGTGATGATGATGGAAAATAATTTGCATTTTTTTTTTCTCAATCTATTAAGGAATTTGTAAATCAAATTTGTATGAATGACACTTGATTGTCTGCCTTACTCAAAACTGAAAAAATATATAGCTTTAATTATGACACAAACACTATTGTACAATTTATTTCACAAGTACAACATTCCGAGCTGCACAAAGGTAGTCAACAAGGCACCCCACGTAATTAGCTTAAGCAAAGAGGGGTCTAGAACGAGGGGAAAACAACATTGTGGGAAAAAATTGAGGAGAAATTTTTCTCACAATGTTTTTTTTCTATCAGTCCTTAAAATATTGCTTATAAATAATTTTTTGAAGCTTTAAATAGGAGCCTAATCATTAGTGCACTGTTATAATTCATTAGTACGAAGTTAAGAATATAAGAACGATTAATTTTATTTTAGACCCTCGCCTCTTCCCCTCTACGTCACTGTAACATCAAAATATAACATTCTTGAGCCCTAACTTAACCGAGACAGTTGTCTCTCAAGAAATGTGAATTGAGTCTTCTCAAAGTTGCATACTGCAGTCAAGCCACCTCCATTTCCTCACAACAGCGACTTGACAGAGACTTATTGACTGTATTGCACTGCTCGGACTACTGCAGCATGCCTCTCGTAGCACGAGTATGTGGTTTCATACTTATATTAATAATAATCAACTTTTCATCTCCATTTACTTTAAATAGAAGTGTCAAAAGTCAACTGAGATGAACAACAGAATGAAAATAAAGACCTAATCGAGCATATTAATAAGCATATTATTACAAGTCAATACGATAGTATTTTTTTCGATGTCGAGGTCACCATCAAGCACATTGCGCTATAATAGCATATCTAAGTTTTCCATTGTAAATATATATTCTCACTTTATAGTGTTTTCAACACCACAATGTGCAAAAAGGAAAAATATTATTATGAAGGTATAACAAAAATAGCAGAGGTCGAAGCCGACATGAGTTCGCTCCGGTTCGCTAAAAAACCGATTCGATAACCGGTAAATTTGTATAAAATGTTGTACTTCACAAGTGGCAGCAGAAAAAAATCTATTCAAATTTGAATCGGTTTTTTAGCGAACCGGAGCGAACTCATGTCGGCTTCGACCTCTGAAAAATAGTCGTTGGAAATTCATCGCTGATTGGACATTAATGAAGCGCATTAAATTGATTTAAATTATGATCGATTGGATGGTTGGCATGGACTGATTAAAATAGGAATGAATCAATTCGGTTGATTTTGATGTGAAATTAAGTTTTTGAAGTTGATGGAAAACTCAATTGAAGTTATTAAGTGGTAGCTGCTCAGATTTATCTTTTGACCACAGATAGAAAGTGAATTTGTTGGGCTATGTAAAGCATAAAAGCTTGCAAAAGCTAATCGAAACTAATATTCATAATTTACCAATTTAAAATAGGTTCTAATTGGTTGCGAAGAGTTCGATATTTGAGAATTCAGAATTGTAAGAGTAGACAAGAATGTATTAGAATATCGAGTTCAGCTATGACCTAACTCAATTACTACGAATAATTTGAAATGTATTAAATTTCAATTTACAAAATTCATGATGAAAACAATCCAAACTAGACTTTAAAAATTATTCCATGATAACTATTTGTTATTCCAATTCCATCTAAAGCTATTCAAGTGATTACAATCTCATTCAACAAGTTCATTAAGCCAACAGCCAACAGATAAACTCTTGACATTACTAAGTATGCTTCATTAGAATCACAAGATTCAAATCTCAAATCCATACATCACAGTCACATAGAATGTCTTTAATTAAATTAAGAATTTCCTAGAACTTCCTTCTATTCACGTCTATTCTCCAATTCTTTAAAGAATCACAAAGAATACAAATCAGCGAGATTTCCGCAACATGTAAATTGATCTTTGCCGGCAAACTAGCCATTTAGTCAAAGTGTATATTGTATTGAGCAGCACTAAAAAGCGTTGTAGTGACTTGTACAAAAAATAAAAACTAAAAACATTCAATATTTTCTGTTGAAACTCATGAGTCATGCGGTTGTACATCATCACCATCATCATCAATATTGTTTTTATTTTCAGATGCTTTTAATTCAGAAGATCGTTGCTGTTTAGTGATGTATGAGTGTAGAAACACAGCATACAGATGGGATAAGTACATGACTCTCTTAATTGCATCTATTTTTGAATACAAAAAAAACTCTCACTTTTCATTCACTCGTTGCGCATTATTATTATTATTATTATTGTTATTAGCTACATTTTCTCATGATTCTGAATACACTTGACTCGGATTCTTCTTCTTCTTCTTGATATTTTCTTGCATTTTGTTGTTCTTATTTTTTTTACCAAACATTATGTTGTTTTATGACCTACTTTATAGCTTGTATTTAGTATTATAGTTTTGTGTATTGAAGCTTCCAATTGCCCTGATACAACTGTGTAAATACAGTGGTATTAAAAATGATAATTTTCTGTTTTATAATTAACTTCAGTGTCACTAATTAGTCACTCCAAATATTCACTTCCAATTGTCACCAGACGAAAAAAAGTTTTGGATTTATTTTTATTTTTTTTTAAGAATATCATCGAATATTATTGGCAGAATAAAAGAGAACAAATATAAATAAATTAAACGACAGTGAAGCAACGAGACACTAAAACCGTACCGAACCGAACCGCGACCACTTCTTCTCTGTTAAATGTTTAAAAGTTTTTTTTTTCAATAGTTTTATTTTTCTTCTCAGCTCAGCTTGTTACTACTACAACTACTTGATTGATACTTCGTGTGGGAATATAAAATATATGGAAGCATGACGAATAATTAAATTGTTTTTCGGAGTATTGGAGCTAGTTGAGAGACGGAGAGAGAGAGAGAAGCAGAACTTAATGAAATCTAGAATTATTAGGTTTTAGAATTAAATTTTGCTCTTTTTCTTCTCATTTTTACAAGCATTTTTTTCCTCTTGAGTAATGAGCTTATTCACTTTACAGATTATCTGGTGACAGAGGGTGGTTAATCATGTGCGATCTCATTGACTTCAATACACAATACTTGCTTGATTCTTGTTGAAATCAACAGTACTTTTTTTGTTTTATTCAAGTTGTTATTTGAATAATCTTCTTGATTTTGCAGAAATAAACAATAAAGTGAAATAAATTAACATCATTTGTGGACATTGACATTTTAATTGAGATTTGTATTAGGGGCCATTCACTTATTACGTAACGCTTTTAGGGGGAAGGGGGGGTCTAAGATTTTGTTACGATTCAAACAGGGAATTTTTTTTTTCATACAAATTTTGTTACGAGGGGGGGGGGGGTCTAAGAAGTCATTTTTTCGCGTTACGTAATAAGTGAACAGTCCCTTAGTTCATTGAAGATTTAAAATTTTATAACGTATTTTCGACATTTGAATATTCAAAAAAAAAATCAATTGAATATTCGAAAGCCGTTAAACATGTTCAAATTATTTGAAAACCGTTCCAAAATCACTGAATTCAAATTTTTGATAATCGTTAAAATATTTAAATTATTGCAAACCGCAAAGTATGTAAAATACGAATTAGAAAAATTCAAAAAACAAAATTATTAAATCAAATTCATTAGCATTGTCATTTCTCGAATTACTAAGCTGAATTCATTAGTATTAAATATGATTAATACCAAGCCGTACAGGATATTCAATTTCAAGACATTTTTTAACACAAAAAACATCGCTTTGAGGCATCAAATAAAACATTCAATCCCTTAACTCTTCAACATCCGCTTGAACAAAAAACGAGCAGTTACACAATTTCAAAAGGATTTCAAAGCTACTTGAAATTCTTAGAAAGTATCGTCTCAATCGGCATCAAATTTCAATTTCTTTGAATGTAAAAAAAAATATCAGGACACAATTACCATAATAACGGTAAAATTAAGAAAATTGTGTAATTCTTTGGCGCTACCGGCGATTCAAAAATAAATATGGAGATGTCTCTATTCCACCTACATGCCTTAATATTTCTCTCTTTTTATTTTGTTAGTCATTTGGAGTTGAGCAATGATTCTAAGGAAAAGTTCAGTTGATTTCAGACAATCGCCAAACTTGGGAAAAATGAGCTTGAATCACCTGATTAAATAAGTTTTTAAACAAAAGCAGAGATTCAAATTTACACGACTATTAACAACGAGAAGTTCATGTTCTGCGAGAGAGATTTCATTTACATAATGAGTGAATGTTTTGTGTCCAAGTGATAATCACACAAAAGGACAATTAATGTTAATAGTTGTAATAAAATGTACACTTTAGGGTCGTCATCTCATCAAAAAATAAACATAAAGCCATGCTCAGCAGACGACGACAAAAAATAAAATTTGAGAGAATCGCAAATAAAACGTAAACTACTCTTTTTCCGGTAAAACAACACGAAGTTTTTAACGGAAATATTAATTCGCGACAAGAAAAGATCGCCTAAATGTATGCAGAACGTGATACACGGTTACAGACGTTGATGACCTTACAGAGACATATTCTAATAAGGCAAAAAGTTTAAATTTAATCTATAAAATTGCCGCATTTGCTTAAGCAGTTATATATAACCATGGATAACTGCTGAATGTTAATGACATTTCCAAATGATTATTGCTTTTTTAAGCATCGTTGTGTCGTCGTTGAAAAAGAGACTTCTGGTGAAGAAATGTGAGTATTTTTAAAAACAACATCTTTAAATCTCCTACATCGATCCAACGACCGGGAATTATTAAGATTTATATATTTATTTATACACATAACCAAATTATATAATTATGTACGGAATATATCTAATATTTTTCTTGTTATTGTTGTTATTTTGCCTTCTTCACACTCCGCATTATTAATGTGTAATGGTAATAAAAAATTGAAAATCATCGTCTCGACTTCGATTGTCTATGATTTCAAACTAAGGCCATTTCAGAGAATTGGCAATAAAGATTAAATTAAATTAAAATATTAACCGTCAGGAAATATTTGAAATAGTTTTAATGAAGGATTTTTGACTGTTAAATTTTGAATATTACTAAACCGTTATATTTGTCGAAATTTTGAGTTTTCCATCAATCTTAAAAAATAACAGCAGTGCAAGTTCCCAACATCATATGGCCGTAGCATGTGACAGACAAGAAATAGATATACAGTAAAAAAATATAAAATAAAAATTAACAGACTTAGATTATTGAACGTGTAACCTTACCACGAAAAAAATGTACGGATTTGAAGGTCGATCGACAGATTGAATATAAAAATTAAGCAATCGTTAAAATGTTTTAATAACAACGACTTTCTTTAAAAGGTATTGGAAGCTATCTGTGTCACATCAAGTGAATATAAATCGAAGTTATAGTCTTCTAAGACTCGTCAAAATTAATAGAAAAGTCGCTAAATCTACACAAAAAATAATCATGTGAAAATAGAATGAGATTATTCTCTGTGCCTTCTTCTTACTTATTTTTTTCTTACGGCTTATGCGGGAGATTTGTACGTATATATATATATTAATTTATAAAACAAATGAATGAGAAAAATGTGCCTCGTTGACAAATTGTGCCACCAGCAAGCGAAAGAATCATTTTGGGTTATGTAGGAAACAATTATTTTGTGTACATGCACACACATCTGTCTATTACATTCTGAGGTAATCTCTCTCATTCCCCTTTTTTTTGCAGGTTCTTTTCAACATTTTTTATCAGCATTTGTGTCGATAATTTAAGTTTAAGGTAAAAAACAAAAAAAAAGTATGTCTGAATTTTTATCAATGCTAAATTAAGCGATAAGATAGTGGTGGACGATATCATGACGATAGAATCATGTTGGAAGAAAATAAAGATTTATAGATAGGACAAATATGTGCCAAATTTCACAAATATTTCATCCTTAAACCCGTCATTTCTTTTTTTTTATCGATTTATGACAACTTTTTTGGGTTCTTTTTGGAAAAGAACCCCTCAAAATGAGTATTCATTTTCTTTTTGCTTGCAATAAAGTTTCAATTTTTTGTTAAGTCTCATCTTCTGTTTATTGAACATGTCCCAAGGATAGGAATTGGTAAATTACCATGTTGAACTTGAAGATATTTTATTTTATTAATTAGTGATGAATTTTGTTTAAGCTTGAGTTAGATTTATCGAATTTTGTGACTATAATAAGCCTTCTATGGATGTTAATGCCTTCAAAACTTAGGTCTAATGTGCTTTAATTCTTTACGCTACTTCACGCATTTTTGGATATTAGCCTCAAGATTTTTGAAGTTGCATATTCTTGAACTTTCATCGTTAAATTTAAATAAAGCTGAAGATTCCAATGGAAATAATTACAATACTTCCAGTAAATTATTCCTGTATTCCAATTATTCCAGTAAAATCATTCAAATATTCCAGAATATAAAATTCAAATCTAAAACGTCAGTTACTATTACACCCATAGAACAAGTGTCCAAGCTTTGAAAACAAAGAAAATGCATACAAAAAATATTCCGCAATTTCTAATGCCTCTTTCCGTCAATAGATGTTATTTTATCAACATGTTGGACGCACATGTCATTGAAAATTTACTTTTGCAAACAAATTAGACACTGCCGTCTTTGGTGTTTTTAAAAGGACATGTGCAATTCAGCTCAATTACCATGTCATAAAATGAGCAAACGATGTAAGTATAGGTACTAAATTAAAATAATGTGTATATTCGCATGGCAAATTTATCGATCACCTGCACTTAATTATGTTTTGAAAGAGGAGAAATGTCTCATGTTTTTGTGCTCATTTACAGCTGCACTTGTATTTTAGCGATAAAAAAAAGTCATGATAAATTATTGATCAAAATGTAATGAAATATACGTCAATTATTGTGCATTACAGGCATTTATAGTGTAAAATAACATTCTTTTAAGATTTACATAATAAAAGTTTAATTATTTATTCTTGCGTCTCTCTGTGTATATGCACATCTAAGGCTCTAGGAAGACATATATACAGTTTACAAATTTACATTGTTAGAGACGAGACAAAAATGCTTTGTAAGCAACAATATAATAATTATAATGAGTCATTTATTTATTGCAGCTATGAGCACCACAGCACAGCTATGATAAGATATGAAACAATAAAAAATATGTGTAAGGCATTTAAAAAGTACACAATGAGTAGAAGCTAGTTATATATGAATTTTTATGGTGCTAGTCGCCGAAACATCTATTCATTATAATCAGCTGACTATTGAATGTGGAGAAGGCCGGAGAAAGAGAACAGAACGAGAAGAAAAACCTCTTTATCTTATTTAGCACTTACCTATCTTCATGAAACTTTTTCAATTCCAGCATATCAATCTCCAGCTTCAGTTGACTTATCTCAATCATTAAGGTGTTGTTGAGCTTAATCAGTTGATTATTACGTTCTCTAAGCTCAAAATTTTCATGCAGCAAATTTACATAATTCATATCCATGTTGGAACTGACGAGTGCTGCTGCAGGACTTATACTCTGATTATTCAATTGCATTTGATATGGATTATTTTTATCTTGCGCTTCCGCAAAAAATATTTCCGATTGATGCATTCTTTATCAAGTGCACAATTCACCGATTTTATTTATTATAGCTTTTATTTACACAATCATCGTAAATTTACATTTTTTGTAACATATTTTTATTGGTAAGACTGTCAATTCCTTTTTTCTAATGTCAACATCTTTTAATCACTTATATCTTATGTTGCACAACATTAAACGATTTATTACACTTATTAATGATATTTCGATGCTTTAGAATCACAAATTTATATCTTATTCACTTAATTTTCCTATGAATCATTTCTTTATTTAATACGAATTATCATTTGCGATGTTTGCTCTTCAAAGAATTTTTTTAAACTGAATGTTAGCATCTAAACTCGAATTGTGCAGTCTTTGTTATATTTTAACGGAATGTCATCAATTTAACTTTATTTCAACCGTTACAACAGAATTTTTATAATTTTGCACCCCTCGAAAATTCAAAAAATGGCGCAAAAACCGTTATTTTGACAGCATGCTATCAAAGCAGCACAGCACGCAATCTTTATAAGATTAATATGATGAGTAGCATGAAAGATCAATGTTTTGAATCAATCAATTAACAGCTAATAAATAAAAAGGCACACAATTCCATGACTTTTAATATATTTTTCATTTATTTTTTTACTATACATTAAACTTTAATTAATCGCTATTATGGTGTTTTTCCTTTTTCTCAATAGAACCCTTTTTTCATATAAAAGGAAATCTAAATTTGTATGTTTTAATGTTTTTTTTTTTGAATAAAAAATTAAGAATGGTCGAAAACAAGTTTGAGAACCAAATGGCTAGGAATTGATATAGCAAGTAACACAAAAAACGTGTGTGCACAGGCAAAGACATTTTTCATCTTGGGGAATACTTAAGGTTTTTTGTTTTTTGTTTCATTGGAATAATAATAAGTGCATTAATAATACACAACAGAAATGATTAAATAATCAAATTAACAACTAAATATTATAATTTATAATAATGTGGTCCCACATAGGATAAATTATTAATTAATGGATACAAATTATAAAACTTTTTGTGGCATTGTTATCGCATTCTTGCTGGTTTGTGAAGGAACTCTTGATTGACGGGTTTGCTGGATGATGGATTTTATTTAAAAAGTCGTTAAAATTGGATTTGAATTTTGAATAATTGTCAAAATCATAATTTTCAACTTTGGAATAACCGTTAAAAAATTTAAATCTGGAATGATACCCTGTTTTTTCGTTATAAGCTACTAGCTTAGTAAAGTTATTTTGAACTTGAAAATTTTTTGCAAACTTTATTAAGCTACTACCAAAAATAGAGTTTAATTAATCTTATTCAACTTTCTAAGTATTAGTTTCAATGCCTTATGACATTGTCAATGAAATAAAATCGAGAAGATAGCAAAATTTCTTTAATTAAGTTAAAAAATTCAAAATTTTCATTGAAGTTCAATTTCTTTACTAAGCTACTACTCGTTACTAAGCTACTAGTGAGCCAAAAAAAATCACTTTTTTATTCTTCTAAGCTACTAGCTTATAAAGAAAAAACAGGGTAGTTAAAATTTATTTGGCAAAACATTCAAATTTTCAAATCCTGTTATTCAAGATAGAGTACAAATTTAAATTGCCTTTCCTAATTTTTTGGTGTAAGCATTCAAATTTAAGAAAACGATTATTGTTCAATTGCATAAAATTCAAATTTGGAATGACAGTTAAAAATCTTAAAGCAGCAAAGTTCACAAACCAGCAAGAATACACCTGGATCAGCCATCGCACGGCGATCTACTATCTCATATTCAATATTCTCATAATTTTCAGTAAAAAAACCTGACCCAAACGAAATAAAAATCACAGTTGCACATATTGTATTAACAAAATTTCTTCATCTTATCCGGAATGTTATCAATTAATTGATATTAATAAAAAATTGTTTCTTGCATGGTATATGTTCTTCATTTAAAAAAATTCATTTAAAACTTAGCTTACGCGTGTATTTGATGGCAAATATTTTATTATTTATATTTTGAAAAATGTTATGGCCATTTTTTAAAGGTTTTTTATGCTTTGATTAAGTTAAGTTAATTTAATAAAAACAAACATATAAAATTAGGTTAAAATGTGTCATAAATACTGCCAAAATCAATAATTATGATGGAAATAAGATGCAATAATAATAATAATAATATTAACCAAATACTGATAAAATTGTCTCTCATCATTAATTACAAAAATTTTTAAGTTTCTTGTTTAGATTTCTAGTCTTTGACATTTTTTTTTTGTATTTTTTCATTACTTTTTTTATGTTGCATGAAAGCTCTTCTTCTTCTTCTTCTTTTTTTATAATCACATCAAAACATTGAAAACCGTAATTAGTTCAGAAATTCACAATAGTTTTCTGGGATGAGACCGGACTTTCCATTTAGCGTGCCATGAAGCCATCCAGGTTCGTTTGATCTGCATACTAAAATTGAAGATATGAAATGTCGTGGATTATTAATGGTTTTGGTATTTACGATAAGATTGTATAGTTATCGCTATTGAAATAAGTGCTATTTGTGCACTTTTAGGAAGATTTCATTTTGGATTGTTGTTGCTAGATTTAATAAATTTTGAGTGTCAATTAACGACTTTGGAGATTTGAAAATATCAAATTTCAAATATTCAAAAAATCACTTCCAGATAAAATTTTAAAATTATGTTTATATTCACACCGTTTTCACGTGTGAATCTATTGGTTTTGTTCAGATTGAAAAATCAGTTTTTAGAATTTTGTGAGGATATGGGACAAAATAGCTTAAAATATTCAGAGATGAAAAGTTTGTGCCTGGAATTTCATATCTTTTGCAAAAAAACAGATTTCAAATTGGTTGCGGCATTGCTGAGAAAATCGCAAAATATGCTTTCTGTAAGCAAATAAGCAAACAAGCAAGCAAGCATGTTAATCAGCAAGAAATCTCAATAACGAGACATCGTAGAGACTTCTAGTCTTTTACATTTGATCCGTGCTGCTCTATAGAAGAGCTGTATTGTTTTTAGGCAAGGTAGGAACAGCCGTTGCTTCAAAAAAAGCAAAAAACTTTTCTTTCTTACGAATTTTTCAAATTAAAAGTTCACTGTGATTTTTTTTTTAAATTAAACTTTGAATGAAAAAAAAATTTTAAAAATCGATACTATTCATTCATTCGCTTGCTTTATTCATTCAAACTTTTGCTGAAAAACAGCTGTTTTTGAAAAACAGTTTTTTGATTTTTAAAAACAGCTGTTTTCCTGTTTTTCTAGAATTCAAAATAAACTGAGTTATCCTAAGTGTTTCTCTAAGATAATGAAACTTTTTGGTGGTTATAAGCAGTTAAGCATACATTATAGAGCTAAGCATTATTATTTCTTAATTTTTCGTTAATTAACTTTATAAAATATAATGAAATATAAAAATTCAAAAAAAATATTTATACTTTTAAGAAACATTGTATTGTTGCATTGCAAAAGTTCCATAAACTCTAATATTTTATTTGTAATATTCAAAAAAATCTTTCTAAATAAAAAAATATCTTGTAAAATTGTTGATTATATTTTTGAACTTTAGTAAATGCTACAAAAGGTTCAACAAATTTAAAATTTCGATTGCAAAATTAATAATGATTAACCTTAAATTTGATAATGATTTCAAACCTATTAAACATCCAAAAAATATTAAAATAGTAAATACATTTCAATTTGGAATTCTAGAAAAGTTCTTCAAAAAATTAAGAAAATTTTTTTTTTCTGTAAATTTTATGTAAAAATGAAAAACAGAAAACAGATCTGTTTTTGAGATCTGTTTTCTGTTAACAGATTTTTGTCGAAAAACAGCTGCTTTTCTGTTTTCTGTTAACAGATTCCCCAAACCCTACTAGGGGCGACCCTAGTCAAAATCAATTTTGTCACTTTTTTCTTCGAGGGTTTTTCCAAATGGATTGAAACTTTGCATAAATATTCTAGTGCTTAAAACAAATAAAAATAAAACATCCTAAAATTTTTTTGAGCAAGAACCAAGTAGGAAATACATTTTCAATTTTGGACTAGGGGCGACCCTAGTCAAAATCAATTTTGTCACTTTTTTCTTCGAAGGTTTATCCAATTACAGTGAAACTTTGTGTGAGTATACTAAGATTTATACAAAACAGTTTTAAATATCTAAAGCAAGAAATGTATTCTATATGTCGTCAGACCCAAATTTTATAAATTTGGTTCTACATATAAAAACAACGTGACTTAAAATTTTTCCAAAAAAATGATTTTTATTAATTCAGAAATGTTTGACCTGAGGATTAGAATGCTCGTACAAAGTTTAACTGTAATTGGATTTATCCTCGAAGGGAAAAAGTGAAAAACGAGATTTTGACTTTTTAGATTTAGGGTCGCCCCTAGTCCAAAATTGAAAATCTATTCCTACTTGGTTCTTTGCTCAAAAAAATTTAAGGATGTTTTATTTGTATTTGTTTTAAGCACTAGAATATTTATGCAAAGTTTCAATCCATTTGGATAAACCCTCGAAGAAAAAAGTGACAAAATTGATTTTGACTAGGGTCGCCCCTAGTCCAAAATTGAAAATTGATTTTCTATGGTGTACTTTGGTCAAAAAAATTTTTTGGATGTTTTATTTGAATTGACATAATTCTGACATAAATCACATACCAATATTACTTTTTGTAATGCATAGCCGTACTTCACGCCCACCCTTCAAACTTCTGCTGAAGAAATCTTGGTCTATCCATAAGACTTTTGATGGTACGGTGTGAATATATCAGCATTGGATTTCTACCCGATACACTAGTTTCTATTATTTTTCAAATAATTTATTACTGTTATTTAATCAAAGCAATTTGGGAACCAGGAAATGCCTGAAGATTCATTAACACACCAAAATATGCAATAAAAATCAGTCAGTATATTAATGCTTCCGTTTATAGACTCTAATAAGACACTCAAAATTCAAAACAACTTGATCATCAGTTCCAATAAAGCAAGCGATGACCATCAGAGTATAAAACAAATCATAGACAGTCCAAAATAAGTCTTTCCTGTTTCATGTCACTCACCATTAATTATAATTTGATTTGGTTCAAAAGAAAGTTCACCCTCATTTTCTGCTAGACAAGCATACAGCGTGCGTACGCGACTAAATTAGGTGAATCCGGAGAGAAGAAATAATAATTTATTATTACGAAAGAAATTGACCAAAAAAAGCTAGATGGAGAGACAGTAGCTTACCAATTTTGTTGAATATTATAAGGTTTAGCTTTTACAATTTCGTCTTTATCTTTGTGCCCACGTTCTTGCTTTTTTGGAATATGACCCGATCCATTATTGTTACTGTGACTAGTCGATATGACATCATTATAGATTTTCTGTGGCGGTACCGGCTGCGTTTGTGGCTGCTGCGTCTGACTTTGTGGCTGTCTTGGAAAATCACTCCAAATATTTAGCTGCTTATTACTTCCACTAATCGACTTGTTAAGCTCTCTAGTTGTTCCATACAATGGATAATGATGTTGGGATTGCTGATTTTGCTGACTTTGTTGTTGTTGCTGTTGCTGCTGAGAGATTAAATTTAAATCGCGACTAGATGAGGAACAAACAGACTCGTCCGACGAATGAACGCGATCAAATAATTTCGATAAATTGGTGTCAGATGATGTCAATATGTTGTGATGTACAGATTTATTATGCAATTGTTGGCTCAACGGTTGATTCGTGACGGTGCCATAAGAACTATCAAGTAATCCGCCGCTTCTTGATAAATTTGTTGTAGCACTAGGCGCATTGTCACGAGCAAACTTATTGACATTATTGTAAAATTGTTGTTTTTGAACATAAATTGCATTCTGGTAACTATTATTGTTGAGCGTCGTAGGCGGTGATGCCGATTTAAGATAGTTTGTTACACTACTAAGTTCTCTCGATGACAATGAAGCATCACCGCCACGCATTATAGGCGATAGTGACTTCTGATTAATGTTTGTGCTCGATTTTGTTTCGTACAATGAATATGATGGTGGAGTTGATTGCTGTGAATTTCCTCCCTGAAAGCGATGATTTCGATTACCATGTTGATTAATGTTGGATGAGCCAGTTGTTGATGTTGTGGAATGATATAAAGAAACGCCATTTGGAATGCTTTGCAAACTACTTGACATGATTGGATCGGTATAATTTGATTTTGCCACCACCTGATGATTATACATGCACACAAAAAGACAAGGATATAACATAACATAACAGCATAAACATTAACAAAAGGCATTTAAACATGTGTATGACACACATTTATGAACTTGATAATTAGATCAGTGAGAATGCAGCTTAAAAATAAATAATGAAATTTGAATATTATGGCTACTAACTCTAATTGGTTGTGGATAATGAGATCGTTGTTCACCAACAGCTGATGACTCACGATAGTTGTAATTTGATGACCGTTGGAATGGTGGACTAAGTGATGAATTACGTGAACTAAAATATATAGTATATATATGGACTCGTTAATTATAATAGGCGTATAGCCGACAAGGAAATAATTTTGCAAGGTTCTTGTTTGGCACATTTGCATGATCTGCAAAAGTTTTGGAATTTTTAACGGATTTCTAGGATTCATATTAAGTTTCTTTTCCCTTGAAAATTTCAAATTTAAAATAACCGTTAACCAAAGAAAAGTTAATTATGATAATTAAAAATGCACCAAATACAAAAGATGTCAAGACATAAAAGACATGAAAGCTTACACATAATCGGATGATTTGCCAGGCTGATTTTTAAATATAAGCTCATAATTTTCTATTAGGATTTCAATGACTAAGTTATTGAATTTAATTTCCAACACAGCAGCTAGACTATCTTCTGACGCTTTCAGTAAGGTCGGTCCGAACACGACACCCAAGTTAAAGATTGACATTTTATTCTTGTGACTCTTTGATGCCACCTTTTTAAGATGCTGCACAATAATGTCGAGCATTTCGAAATGATTTTTTGGAAGTCGATGGGTTAATGCATGAACATCACTTATCCTTTGGATGTGCTGCTCTTGTTTTGCGGCCGCTAAAAATCCATTAAAATATCGGTAAGTCATTAATGGTTCCTTTAATTTCCTCAAATACTGCTTCAGTGCACTAGCAATCGTTTTACTCTCTAGTACGTCTAAATGTTGCTCTTCCGTAAAAACTGTAAGCCGCTCTGATTCAGTCTTTTTGCCATCCAAGCCAAGTTGAAGAAGTTTATTAATTTTCGTTCCTACACCGCTGACACGATAAAGCCCTTCCTCCTCTAATCCTCGTTTCTCGAGTGTCTCGATACATTTTTTTACAAATGCAAAACCTACTTCATCTAGTATATATTCATCCTCTTGTACAGTATTTGTGCTTTTTCCAGGCGTTAAATATACCTAAAAAGATGTAGAACATACGTAAGTGAGTATTTAGCATATTCATTGTAATAATAAAATCAGAGTAGATTGTGTTAATTATATTTACAGGTTCTTTCCCGTCCATCGCGTCAAGCCAAACTTTTCGATCTTTCTCGGAAAGTGCTTGAAATGTATAAACAATTGTTGGCTTTTGATCAAATGTCAAGTCAAAGCAAAATCTCTTCTCGAAATCCGATATGCATCTTATACAACTAGCAAGTGTTAATTTTTCAGGAGTCGATTGCTGTAAAGTAATACATAGATGTATGTTTTTATTCAGTAGCAATAATATTATCATTATTTTTTGCTGATCATTGATTGGCTCTCGCAGAATCGCAATATTTGTGAGTTAATATCACTTATTTTTTTAAAGGTTTTCAAAATTTTCAATTTTAACGACTTTCAAAAATTTAAAAATCTAGTTCGAAAAATTTGAAATTTTTGAAATCGTTAAATTTTGAATTTTCAAAGAACGTTAAAAAATTTGTTTCCAGATTCTTCCGTCAAAGCCAATAAATTAATAGCCACAGAATACTCACGATTCGTCCTGGAATCTGCTGGTTGTACTGAAGCATTGTAAATTGTTTGTTTTCCTTCTTGTAGGTACAATAATATTTCTGCCATGTTGCTGTAAAGGCTTCTGTAGAATTGATCATTAAACGTATGAGAAATGAGATGAAAAAAAAAATTAATATATCGAATTAGTTCATGAATGCCTTCTTTTCTAAAGTAATTGCTATAATTTACTTTTTTCCATTAAATAAAGATAGCCTTGATTTGTGAATTCAGACTCTGGCTTCAGTTGGAAATGCATGTATTTTGATTTTAATTCCTTTGCTATTTCTCGAAACTCTGTGTAACCCTCGCGAGTCTATAAAGTAAAGGAACAAGATTGAGTTACTTTATATGGCAATCAAGCAAAAAAAAAATTCTAGAATAATTACTTTTTGAACTTTATGCTGTAAGTCCGTCATGTATTCTTTGGCATCTTCTGCTACTTCATGTCCGAGATGATAAAAAACAAGCCATCCTGACATAAAACCCAATAAAATTTCTACAAATTCGAATTTTATTCGCTCTTGAACTTCTTGTATTTTGAGTACATAATTTAAAGACTCGTGGATGTATTCACGTTTTAGCATATCTAACGCAGCATCGGCCTATACAAAATAAATGAACATCATTAGTTAAAGTTAATTTTTATGATTTTTTTTCCTTCTGTCGCCAAAAAAAAAATCATCATAAAAGTTTCAGTCATGGACACCATCTTACATTTTTATAAGTTTAAACTTATTTTTTCATCAAATATTTGTGCTTAATGTTCGTTGTGTTACAAATAGGTACGTAAAGCAGCACGATTTTATTTTCGTTGAACTTGAATTAATGGCATTAACCGTACGGATATATTGTCCTTAAATATTAACTTTTTTAACATAAAAAAAATTGAAAAATGTATAAAAAAATCCTTTTTTTTCTCTCTTTTCGTTTCTCTTATAACCAGATTTTTTTTTTTTATTTTTATATCTTCATGTAAAAATTATTAAAACTTGATCTTAGTGCATTTAATTATAATTAAAAAGAACAAGCGTTGGTCAGTATAAAAGTTTTTTTTTCTGTGAAACTTGAAACACCTTTAAAATTATGATAATTAGACTATTTCTACCAAAATTTACTTATATCTTGTTAAAAATGTTTTGATTCACCAACAAAAAAAATGTTGCCATATATGTTCTGTCGTAAGGAAATGTCTGTGACATGCGCATAATGTCATTTACCGAAATTACCGTAAATTGAGGAATTCTCTTGTATTTTTTCTCATTTAATGCTTTCCATTCTTTGAATCCCTATTCACCCTCTCTTTTGTATAGATTTGTACAATATAAAGTATACACTCAGTAATGTAACGAACTATTCGCACATTGCACAATTGTTACGAAAAAGAAAAAAAAATATGTTCACATTGTAAAAAGTGAAAAAAGAAGACGGTAAAATTGTTAAATTGCATGTCGTTTGGATTATTTAAGCGCATTTACGCCGGCTTGATCTTGAAAATTGCTTTAAAAGGCAACTTAAACTTGAAAATTGGTGTTATAAAATGCGCGGGAATCTCTTTAAATCTATTTCGAAATTTAAATTGGCAGATTTCACCCGATTTCATAATTTCTGATTAGCGGTTTTTAACATTTGAATTCAGCAGTATTTTTTCAAAAAAATTTTTTATTGTTTTCGAATTCAAAATTTCTGACTAAAGGTTTTCAAAACTTCAAATTCAGATGTTACAAAAATGTCGAAAAAATAACGGTTCAAATAGAATCGAGTTTAAAAATTTTCAAATAACAGATTTCAAAATTTTGGATTTTAATGTTTCACGTGTTTCACCAAAAAATTTAAAATTAATTTTAACGGTTTTTTACAAATTTTTCAATTTGAAGCTTCTTAAGCTAAGTTTAGTGACTTAACATTCCAAGAAACCTAAACAGATTAACAAAGTCAAACTGAACGCAACAACAAAGTCCATTACTTCAAGGAATTTGCTAAAAAAAGAACTCAAAAAGTTTGAGTCATTCATTCTTTTCCTCTTCTTATTCTACCATTATTCTTCCTCGCACTACAGTCACTTACTTATTTGTGTGTAGGAGATGATAAGGAAACAGAAACAAAAATTCTTTTCATTCTTTTGCACGATGAAAAAAAAAGAACAATTGGTGATTCAAAAAGGACACATTTTTGACATTAACAATTGAACAAGCAACAAGCAACTCCAAAAAGATATATATTTTTCATTACCTCAACAACAACAGTCTCAGGCTTTTTGGATGACAAACTCAGAATTTTCTCCTGTGCTGTACAAAATTTTGCAGTCTTTTTGTCATGCTGCTTCTTCTTCTCTTTTACACTTCCGATTGCATCTTTTCGAAAGCCTTCTAAAGGAACTACGATTTGATCATGAGCTCGATCAAGCTGTGAAATAAGCATTTTTTTTATCATTATCAGTGTGAAATTATCTCCAACCACAAGTTATCTCTTTACCATGTTATCTCGCTCATCCTCTATCGCGGATATTAGCTTACTAAATTGTTTCAGACTTGCTGCTATCACTTGCTCATCATCTGTTTGCGTTGATCCAATACATTCAAAATTAAATTCATTTAAGCTCTTTGCTAATGTTCTTTGGCACCGTGATAAACCTATGGATAGACAGAAAAATAAAAAATGAGCGATAAGGAACTAAAGAATTTTGCAGTAGATTAATAATGAAGAATGAATTGCAATGCAAACCTGCAGAGCATTCAAAAATCAACATTTATATCCTCAAAGTACTCCAAAAACATGACTAATCGGACAATAAAGTTTTTAAGTAGATTTACGAAGGTTACAATCGTAATAACTTTTTGTAATCAAGTGCTTTTGAGTGATATTTCTACGAAAAACAACCAACTAATGATTTTACTTTTAAAAACTATATAGCTAGAATCAAAATACTATTCATGCTTAATCTCACCAAGTGTTTCTCGAGAATGTTATTAGCATTTAAGAATTGTGTTGACATTTCAAGCTTTTGCGTATATTTGAGCAAATAAACTGATCTCTTCTTAACATGAAAATTGTTAAGGCAGTTAATCTTACTCAAACTATTAAGAAGGTCTATTCGAATTGTTTAAGCCATTTATAAATGTAAACACAGACGACATTCTTGTGACATTCACATTATTAATGATTGATATCATATTTTTGAGGAATTTAGATGGCTTACTGCCGTTCGCTTACTGCTTAACATTGGGATTAGAACGGTTAGTAGGTCAAGGAGGTTTTATGGTTATTGCTGACTAGTAGATTCTATATTCTGAACTTGCTGATCACATTTATGACTAATGTACAATTTGTATCACGTGCTTCAAAGTAAGATGATCTTTGACAATTTTGTTAGAGATTACTGCCACAGTTATCAGTTATACAACAAATTTTTACATGTAAACAAGAATTGTGAATAGACTGAAAATTTGTATCTCGGAACATTTCAAAAGAAATTACTCAAGATGCTTTACAAAGGAGTTGTTCTTAAATCTCAACCTATCCAAATCTGTTTGACCTCTAAATTTCATTGAACTAGATTCGCTTCACTTACTGACGAGTAATTCCAGAAAAAGGGGAGTGTATTACTGATTAGAGCTTTATATTATCAAATAAGCCACAACATATAATTAAATTGAATTGAAAACAATCAAATGAAGCTCTGCTTATTTGCCAGAACAATTTTCCACTCAATCTCGAACAGATTTGATAAAATTGTTTTCCAATAGTTTAATGCAATAAACAGCAATTCCCTCAAAGCGAAAAATCAAGAAGTTGTACAATTGAATGTCAATGCAAGATCACTCGACTGACTTCCGAATAATGTCAAGATAACAATTTTATTTTTTATTTTTTTTTTATTCATTCCTCGACGTTTGGAAAGAAATTTTTTTCTCATTGAACAATGAATAATCGTTTAAAAAGTATAAATAAAAGCATGACTGAAAATTTATCAGCGAAATAAATAAAACTGAAGTGGGATACATGCATTCTTTTGTTGTATAAAAATTTCTCAGATAAGCTTCATCGATCAATTTGTAAGTGCTAAAATTTTATCACAATATGTCGAATTCTGAATTATTCTTAGATATGATTTTGTTATTCAAGGGCAAAGAACTCGATTGTGGCTGATTGTGCCAAAAAAAGAAGATGGACATTCGTCAATGAGGGCTATTAACAGACTCTTATTGAACATAATTTTTTTAAGACATAAAGAAATAAAAGAGTGTCTGATCCCTCAACTCTAAACAAGCGAGACGACATCATACATCATAGCTCAACGACCCCACATATCCATCTGCTACTACTTTCTTATTATTTGCTACTATATTTTTTATGATCATTTCTAAACATCTGCGTGAACTCAAGTGATGATCTCAGACATGTTTATGGACTACATTTAATCGCGGAATCATGGGGAAATCCCTCTTTAGTTATGGACATTTATTGCAATTTTTTTCGGAATCCGTGACTGTATCCTTGAGTTAATCAGGTAAAGTTAAATGGTTACAAAAGGTTTGATACAAGAATTAGCTTTATGGGTATTTACCTTTGTATACTCTAGGATGCAGTCAATTAGGACGTTTGTTATTATGAAGGGAATGGCAAAGAAGATTAGATAAAGGAACAAGAGGAACCAGAGAATCTAATGGTACACTTAGAATAAAGCTAGAGATCCTAACCTCCCTAATTGTCACAAGATTCTCCAAAAGATAATTAAGCCTGACTATAACATTGCTTGGAAACAAACTTGTAATCAGCACAACATTATGAAATTAAAGTTATATTTTCTAAAAGCACACATTTCGCTTGAAAATCACACTTAACTTTGAAATAACACCTCAAAAATAGTTTTTAAAGATAAACAAGACTTAGTTACAGTACTCAAATAAGTTGTCAGAAGTGACACACTTCACAAAGGGAGAGTTTCGAGAACTCAATTCCTTATAATTCAGTCCATGAAATCAGACAATTTTTCAAAAATTTAAGACGATTTTCATTGATCAGATCGCAACTGGATGATTTAATGCTCAACATGAAAGTCAATATTCCAATTAGAGTCAGAAAAAAATATTTCATTCAGATTATCTCATCGCTACAGACAAGCTTTATCAAGCATAAGATCACAGCTTCCAAATAAAAATGAATGTTAACAAAGGACAGACTCAATTAGCTTTAATTATCACGATTTCAAAGTCATTTTACCTCAATTTTTTAAGTTACCACATTAAATCAGTCAGCACTGCTGAAAAATATTTCATTTAATCAAATTTTCAATACAAGAACAAGATCGATCAGCACAGAATCATTAATAATTGCAAAATAAATAATTACAGCAAGATCAAAAAGAAAGAAAATGCAAATGTTCAATTCGCAGAGCTATAAAGTGATTTATGGATACAGTATAACTTTCAACATTTTTGCGTGAAAGAAAAAAATCTATCTTGTTGATTCACAGTAACCAGATGCATGGCAAAATTGCGAAGAGAATCAATGTAATGATGACTGAATTCATGTAGACAGTTTCGCTAATATTTTGATATTTATAGACAAAATAATAATAATATGAAGCATGAATGTGAATGTTTATATAGGAAATCAGTTAAATCAGTTAAATAAATTTCTCGGACAATCTCATAGATTATTTGTTCAAGATAAATGGATTGTTATTAACTATATAGTATTGTGATATAGAGACATTGACTACTACAATATACCATACGAAAGAAATACGGTAGAATTACGGTAACAAGTGTTTATTTTTCTTTTATTTTATTATTGGTGTGTTTGAAAACATAAACGTGGGAATTTTTCTTTATTTAATACCTATACAGGTTTGTGTCAAGGTCAATTAAACAATCGTGTAATGTAAAAGGGAAGAATTAAATATGATATATGTGCTGTGCTGTACATAATCAAGTGGAGAAACTGTACAATTTATTTATTACATATTTAATATTTTTTTTGTGTGTCTCATTGGCTAAATTTGTTCAACTTTCTCTTTTGTTTTTGACGAATAATATTAGCGTCGTTAATTAATTTTTTTTTCTTTATTTAATTCATCAAAACTATTGAAGAAGAAAGAGAAAAAATGGCGCAAAAAGAAAGTTATTTTTTTGTGGTCTGCATGACAAACTTAGTGGTGCATTTCAGTGTCTCTTTATGCGGTGAATTTGATTTCAAAATTTCTATATAGAAAAAAATGGTTATAAGTAAGCGCGTATAAATGTCTTGGACGCATTTAAATATTTTTCAATATTGACATTATAAACTATTTTTAAACGGGGACCAAAATGAATGAAAAAAATCTGTGATGAAAAACATCATTATTTTTGATAATGAAAAAAAATTATGATTTTAATATAATAATAAGAACAAGAGATAGAATAGATTAGTTTTGCTTAAAAAACTTGCATAAAAACATTTTATACGTCATTTTTTGCTTTACGTGATGAAATCCTACGTAAAAATGATTCTTACGTGATGAAATTTTACGTAATAATTTACGTAGATGAAAAAAATTATGATTTTTTTCATCATCAAAAATAATGATGTTTTTCATCACAGATTTTTTTTATTCATTTTGGTCCCTGTTTTTAAATGAACTTGATGAACTTAGAAAAAAAGAGCATTTAAAATTTTTGAAAAATACTGAAATGAACTCTTATGATTATTGAACAATTTTTTGTTTTTCAAAGTCTAACGTCTTTCAAAAATTCTAAATATTTGATCTGAATCGAACTGAACTGAACTACTTGAAGACTTACTGAATGAACATTGCAGTTTTAAAACACAACGACATTGAAAAAATTATGAAATAAACTAAAATGAACTTTTTTAAACTACTGTAATTACTGAACGATTTTGAATTTAATTCAAAAATTAACGAACATTTCCCAAGAAAACTCTCCGACTTTAAAATCACAGAAAAAGAAATTGATAAGAGGATGTTCAAGCCAGGCAAATTAGTAACAACTACGCGTTTGCGAAAAATGTACTTAATAATAATGAAGTGAAAAAAGATTTTGTTAAGTGAAAAGCAAAACAGCACAAGCGACTCATTTTCCAAACAGTTTGTTCAGTAGATGTTTTTGCACAAAAAAAAACACATATAATTTAAATTACAATTTGCAGCGTCCGGTAATTCACGCTGAAGCTTATTATTCTGATGAGTCGCACAAAAAAAAGAGATGTGATTATATGGTATATGAATGTCTATGTATATGTATGTAAAGATATCTGATTAAATAACAAATGGCGAAAACGTAAAATTCATCAAAAACAAATTTTTCATGTGCCTTCAATAAGCTCTAAACACGAAACGTACGAGCGATCGCTCAAGTATTAGTTTTTTGAATATCTGTTGTTTGATCTTAGCATGAACCAACTATAAAGTTTGATTTCAAAATATTTACAAGAGTCTAGCTTGCGATGTTTTTTCATGTGTTTTATGTATATACACAACAGCATCATTTTGCGTCTTTCTCTTAAATTCCTTTATCGTCTTATTTTAAATTCTCTCATTCTATCAACATTCTTGATTCGTAACGATGAATCATAAGACGTCTCTTTTCTCTAAGCATATATAGTGCTATAGTGCTGTATACAGCACCACATTTTTTCATATTTCTTCTTCGTCTCTCACTCACTCTCTCATGTTGTGTAAAATCACTTTTTAATTGCATATTTCAGGGAAAAAGAAGAGGGAATATATGAAAAACTTATGAAAGGGAGTGTGCTGTATAATGTAATATAATAATAATAAGCAGAAGTGAAATTCTAGAAATTTTGTAATTCATTTAATACTGTAAAGTACTCTCTATAGTAATAAGTAATAATAATAATCGATAAAAGTGTGTAATAGCACATAGATGTACATTTTATCATGTATTCCTTTCATATTTGTTGTGCAAAAATAGAAATTGCAACTAAGAAGCAACTCGACTGGCTGTGCTTAGCGCATATTTTAATACAGAATAAAATTTTTTTTTCATTCACTTCGACTTAACGGATCATTGGATGGATAGATGAATGAATGAATGACTAATTTACTACTTGCTTGCTGCTGCTTTCAGGATATGGGTCAAAAGCAAACAAAACAATAATGAGAGACTTCCCTGTTCTTTATAGTAATGTAATTGATAGGAGTCAGTCGTCAAAGTCGACTTTAGTTCACTGGAAAATGATTAAAAATATTCATATGAAGTTCAATAGATTTTTAACAAGTTTTAGATAAGACTTAAGTAAGATTCAGACTTCTAGTAGTATAAGACAGAATTTTAGCAAGTTTTTGGCGCAAAATTAAAGTAGGATTTACCATTTGGATAAGAATTATAAGACAAGCAAGTGAAGTTGTTAAAGCATATTGCACGCTACATGCTGTAACTCATCAAACAATTTTATTGTCACACATAAAGACACTCCAGACTCGATTGCATTTTAAGGGCAATTCTACGAAAAGGTTTCATGAAAATAATCCGTGTCAATTGCATGAAATTTTTTAATTATTTTATTTTTACTTTTGCATAGTTTTTCAAAAATCTAATGCTCATTTCCTTTTCTATTGGTTAAACTGTGAATTATGATTACATCTGCACTCAAATTACTTAGCTATGGCTTGAGAAATTCATGGTTTTAATTATAATATTTGGTAGTTTTTTTATAATTGTCTCCAAATTACTCTATTTCACTTATGTAATTTTTCGTAGAATCCAAATTGCAGCTTAATTAAGGTAACAAATATGATTTTGACATCGTTTTGAAGCTTTTACTTTAAGCTATAACTTTGTATACTTAGTATTACTGAAAATTTTACTACCTTAAACATATTAATGAAAACATTTTGGAAATTTGGGCGAAAAAATTCATGTGAAAGTGTATTTTTTCGTAGAATGTAAATAATTCTTTAATTAACCATTTTTAATATGTTTGGGTGAGAACAATATGTAGATCTCGGTAAAATCTACTATTAAATACATGAAACATGGGGAGTAATGCAACTGATAAAAAGAAATATAGATTTGGAGACAAATTTGTAGAAAAAATCATTCGTAGAATCGCCCTTAACGTCTTTCTCTCCTTTTATTGAAAAATTGATTCAATATAAAACATTTTGTAAAGTAGCAGATACATCCACTTTATACTCTTTTTTTCCCCGTAGATAGATAAAAATAAAATAAAATATATTGAATGAGTAGCGAAACAAAAACAACATTCCGTAAATAGGTTACAAAAAAAAACTTGATTTTTGTTTTCGGAAATAGTGAAAAAAAATAAAGACATGAATGAGCGAAGGAGCGAGATGATGAGATCATTACATCAAGCACTCTTTTTTTGCGCAAAAGATATATTGTACACAAAAAAATGAATTAATCATGAAGAAGAAGAAGAAGAAAAGTTAATGAAATGAAAGACTTAATATGAATGCAGACACACGATAAAATAAGATATAGAATTTTTTTTTACAAATAAGCATTTAAATCTCCGATTTAATGCACACACATATACATTCATCATCACAATATCACAAAAATGTATTATATTCTTTTTTTTTAGTTTCACTTTGAAGTTTAAATACACCGTAGAGTATGAATAGAAAAAAAACACATAAAAAAATTCCATCACATGATTTAAACGAAAGAAATTGTTACGAAATGAATGGACAAGAATATTTAAATAAGAAGAAGAGGACTACACAAATAGTTCTGTTGAGAATTGGAAATCAACGAACAATTAATATAAATATTAAATTTGCAATTGGTTGATTTGAAGTCAATATGTAATCGATTTTCAATCCTCAAACAAAAAACATCTTGAAAAACTTAATGGTACTTATTAGGAACAAAACATTGTGATCAGTTCCTTACTTTTTGCTGCTTGCATAAGATCTTTTATCTCCTTTATTATCCTTTTAATTTGCTGTGACGTTTTCTCCAGCTCTTTCTCATGACGATTTAAATTCTCACGAAAATCAGGACTATCAAGAAGGCAGTCAGCAAATTCGAGAGGCGCAAGGCCCCCACTTATCACCATTTTTTGGACGTTATGGTTTATTAATATTATTTACAAATATAAATTTACTCTTTTTTTTTACTCGACAAATACCATAAATGTATTTTTTATCAATAAAATGAAGTTTCTCTTATCATCACTCTTCATATTCTCTTTTTCATTTATATATTATTAACTCTGTGTGGTTGCTTTTTTTTATCTAAATTATGATTCATTCATTATCCGAGTTGTTTATATCTTTTCGATGAAATTAAATGAAATTAATGAGAAAACGTCACAAACAGCACCAACCACACCACACACACATTAAGTCACTTTCTATTTGCACAAGATTGTTTTGGCAAGTCGCGGTCGATAGATAATCATTTTAGCTATTTTACAGGAAATTTGTAAATGCCGTAAGTGACATCATTTATGGAGAAATAAAAACTTAAAAATCTCATACACATTTACACAATTGATTTCACTTTCACATTTTCCTGGTTTTTCTTAATTTTACACTTTTATCTTCATGTTACACTAATAGCGCACTTCCTTAACAACTACTTGCCATCATATTTAATGTGTAAATGAGGAAAATAAATGGAATTTAAAATAAAAATTACGATGCAGAACCTTCTCTGTGAAATTATAAAAACAACTGACCTAGCAGAAAGTTAAATTTCTATTTTAAATTTTAAAATGTTTGCTGGCAGTTATTTTTATTTTTGAAAATTCAAAAAACAGGCCGAAGTTAAGAAGATGTTTGAAATATTTTCAACCGTTATCATCTGATGAATTTTCTTGGGTCTTAAATTTTGTATTTTTGCGTAAGTTCCCAAGATAATTGGAATGTTTTGAATTGTAGATTTACTTTCATTGATGTCAATAATTGAGTAGAGTTTAATTAAATTAAATGTATGAAGGGGTAGGAAATTTTCACCTGAAGAATTTCCAATTCTTAAAATCTGTTATTTTTAACGGCTTATCTGCATGACTAAGTTGTGAAATTAAATTTAATATGTAATTGCAGTTAATTGCATGTAATAATTTTATAAAAATATAATAAAAGCAAAAATTAATAGAATTTAAAAAAAAAATCTTTTATTATCTGAAAACCCAAGCATGAAAAATATTTTTGAACCATAATTCAATTACTGAAAATGCAACATCTGAGAGAAAATTACAGTCATGAATGGAAATGAAAAATCTTCGCACTATAATTATCTATATTGTTGTAGGCTTTTGATACTTTATTCTCATTTCCGCCCACTTTATGATTACAATACTCATTTGATGTCGCACATGTTCAAAAAATTTCCAAGAGTACCCTTTTGACTTCCTGAATAGCTTTCAAGTACGGCAATTTTTTAAATGTTTCTTTTATGTTTCAATTAGTAGGTGTCAAAATATTTTGATTTTTTATTCATTTATTTTATTTCTTATAATATTATGCGCATGTCCTCGAATTATTTTGACACCATTATGTAGCACGTGCTCGTCTAATTCAAATGTTTATGAATGAAAGGAGAACGTGATTTCTAAAACGTGTTGACAATAATATGACGTATAATTAGTTGAATCCAATTTTTATATATTGAATGCACACGTCAATGTGGTATTAGGGATTGACTTCTCTCTTTTTTTACAAATTAGTCTCCTCGTGCTGCAAATTGAAAAAGTTTGTGAATTTTTTTAATCTTGTTACAATTTGAGGATTTTCCAAGACAAATTTTCCCTCAGATCCTCTCCATCTGACTTATCATTTTATACTGACTGACTTTTCTTCATCAGCATATCCACATTCAGAGTTCGACGGATCCACGATACGATTGGATAGAAAAAATTGACAAATCTATAGCTTGCATCATCCTTTCGACACTTTTCATATCTGGAAGCGATCGAAACATTCACATTATTGTTTTAGCAGTCAATAGGTTCAGTCATTGAATTCTTGACTCGTCCGACTCTCAAATAATAGTGAATATCTCGTAAATAAATAAATTTAAAATAAAATAGTGAGATCCGGAAAATTTGAAATCTTTTGATTTTTAATCAACAAAAAGTCGATGCTATTGACAGCAATCGAGTGCCAAAAAGGATATAAAAAAAATCTCATTTAATGTCCTGAAAGCATCTTTAAATTTGAAGAGAACAGCTTTAATTCTTCATGAAACGAAAGCGTTTCCATAGCAAAAATTAAGTGTCGAAAATACTGCATTGTGATTGGTCGATGTCTGTATGTTCCCTACACACATTTCGTTCATAATGCGCAGTATATGTGAATAATGATTGGAGAGACTCAATGAAAGGATAAACGACGATCAAACATAGCAGTCATTTTATATTTAATTTTGCTTTCAATAACATCAGACGTGTTTTGAGGATTAAGATAAAGGTTAATAAAGTATAGAGTGAGTTGTAATATAATTAAATTATTGAAACTAAGTCAAATGAAATAAGGATCATATTATATTGTGAAAGCGAAATACATAATCGACAGGCATGTGCATATTTTTTTTGGGGAGACGAGTTAAAGATTCGCGTTAAACTCGATCTTTAATGTCAGTTGATTAATTATGCGCGAGGATATAAAAAAAAATAAAAATACATTTTATTAGGGGTTAATAAAATAATATTAAATGCTGATTGAATTATTAAAATTGAACTGTGGAAAAAGTCATTAAATAGATATACTGGAAATTTAAATAAAAATAATTAGTCAAAAATATACATAGCTACGGTACCCAGTCAGTGTCGCATTTGATTTGAGTTATTTTAAATATTAACAAAATATAAATCGTGTACCCATATTTTGTTATTAAGTGCCGTCGGATAATTCCGTAACATTCAAGTTGGATTTCAAACAAAACTGCTCAGCCGCTAGCGGCAATAGTGTGGTGAACAACAACAACACATCATCATTAGGATTGGGTTCCATATCACCAACAGACTCACAACAATTTAATATCTTTCCAGCTATCTTTAGTCGGCAATTGAATTTTTCGGCTGGTAATTGTAATCAACAGAAATTCATGATTCATAATAGTATGGAAGAGCTTCGTCCAAATTTAGTCGGTGGACTACTTGGACTACAGCAAGGACTGATCGAAGATCACAATCAAATTCCCCACAATAATTCGGATACAAAATTTATGTCATTGCAAGAGAATCATAATCGTTATGAGAATCGACTTTTAGGACTCTCACAAGAAAGTCGTAACTCATCGTTAGCATCATTAGCGGGCAATACAAGCCTCAATCTACAGAATGGTAATGATACAAATAAATCATCGAATCAACGAAAGTGTAGTAGCACACCAGAAGACTTTAACTCATTATATGGATCAACGCTGGATAATACTCATCATCATACACCCGCACATACGCCTCCAAATCGATTGAATGAACATAGTGCAATAACAGGTGAGAATTTCTTGTTTATTTAGTTCTATTCCTTTACACACGATAATCCTTTGAGCACGTGCGAAAAATTAACAAAGCCCATAATGTGCATTAAGCTGTGTTGTGGTCAGGCAATAATAATAGAGATGTCAATAAATATAGTATAAAATATGTGAAAGATGTGATGACAAATTACAATCCGACGGACTTATGTTCAAATTGATAGTCACATTAGTAACAAAATAAAATTCATTGAATGAGAATTTAATCCGCTTTTGAATAATGCAAGCATGTGTACTTAAATGCCCAAAGCGTTGGAACTAAGTATGTAAAGCACAAAGGCATCAATTTATCGTGATAATTCTACACCAACCATATGCTCTTTTTATGTATTGTGCAGTGTGTTAAAAAGGGGTGATTTATGGTGTCTCTTTTGTGAATTGAGTGTGTCCTCTCCATTAATTGACAAATGGAATGTCAACAAAAAAATCATACCTGAATGTGGGCATACAAATCAGAGACACAATTATTGTGCAAAATGTTACAAAAAATTTCAATATTCATCGCAATTTCAATTTCAATTTAAATCTAAAAGAAAAGAATTAATAGAGGAAAAATCACTTTGTGCAGCGACTTGTAACTTGATCTCGAGCATATCACATCTGTGATTATTTTACCATTCATCATGTCATACTGTGATCAAAAAAAGAATCGCTCGGAGTTAAAAGAGACTTCATCACCATAAAATATGTTGTTTTTTCCTTCCTTTCTAGTCATGTTAAGCCTTGCAAATTACAATTGTTACATATCAAGTACTTTTTTATTACGGATTAATAGTTTTATCGTCATTAAAATCGAATATGATTCCGTTGTACGACTATTATTTTGACATTCATGAGGATGCTTGTACAAATTTTGTAGGGGTTCACCATAGGGAAGGAGTGAACATCAATAGCAGTGAATAGAATAAGAACGGAGGGGGATTTGAGGGTTATTCATTATTTTATTATTCACCCAACATCACATAAATAATTCAAAGAACGCTAATAATCATGATGATGGCTTTAAATTTCATAATTGCTCAATGACAAGTTTCACCTGACTTGTTTGTTTTAAAGATTTACTGGGTATGATAGGAATGATACTTCTGTTTTATTTGAATGGCTTTTTGTCGTTCTTTAGTACATGGATTTAAATCTTTTTATCGCATCCTAGTTTATTACTAGACGTAGGATCGACCGAAGCAAATGTCATTAGTCGACCCTACGCCTAGTTTCGTTCGTGTTTTGCTTAGAAACAAGAAATTTGACTTTTTAATTCTAAATTCAAAAAACGGTTTAATTACTGGATGATTTACAAGTCAAAGGAACCAAGTTGACAAAACAATTATTTTTTAATGAACCTCGAAAACTAAGATTACACTCCTATTAGGGTTCACTGCAGATATTATCCTTATTCTGGAATAAGATTCACTTGTATGAATAGAAATGAGATCCAGTAGAAATTCAGCTCGAATTTCTTCAAAATAATAAGATCCAATAAACATCCATACCAATTTTATTAAAGTCAAGACTACATATTAATTTGATTTGAATAGAATTTTGTCCGTTCTAAAGCAATCAAAGAGCACATGCACAAAAACCTTTCATTTTGATTTTTTGGACTGTTTTCACGAATAAGATCTAGATTATAGCTCTTTAAAATATTTTATATGCTAAAATACATCAAAAATGACGAAATAATTCAGGACCACATTCTATGAATTTTCCCCTGAATTATAGACATATGTAATGACCCTAATTATAGCATGATTAAAGCTTATTAAATTCTAATCGCATTAAAGCTAGTTTAGTGATAAATTTTCAGTTTCTTTTTCAACAATTTTAAAAATTTGCTTGATTTTATTAACATTTTTGTATTCCTCAACTAAATCCTTTAAATTCTCTCGTTTTGTTTCTGTTATTACTACATTCTCTTAGATGACCTTTACCAATCATTCCTTGCAAAACAACTTTATAGAAGTAAGCATTGATTTTATAATTTATTACTATCTAAGTTGTGTACTAAATTCAAATAAAATATAATATAAGTGATATCCGTTAAGGATAAGGACGAAGTTACTATTAAAGTTCACTATTCGACCATAGAGCTATGGTGATGAAAGATGAGAAAATGAATGAAAAGCATTGAATTAAATTATTAACTTTATTTAACATTTACATAAATTAAAAGCCATGACTAAAATTCTTCGTCTGAAAAATGTGTGTGACCTGCATAATAAGGCAGGATCTATAAATTATTTAAATATTAAAGTGAAATTGCAAAAAAAAAAAACGATATAAAATAATTTTAACATTCATGGCTTTCACTATGTATTTGGTTGCTATGCAAATAATCATCATTTGTACATATGTATAGACGGTTCGTACTGAATTGAAAGGACGAATTTTGAGGAATAGAAAAATTTATGTCATCAAATTTTTTCATGTTGAGAAACTTTTTTTAACAACAAAATTTTCATAATATTTGAATCAAGTGTAAACGTGACTCTATTTCCTGATGATGTACTTACATTATTTATTTATCTTCTCGTTTCCTTCAAAAAAAAAACAAATTTTATTCATGCTCACAGCCGAGGGAGCATTCAAAAAATTAAAGCCTGAGCCAAATAGTGGTGGAATATCGTCAGTGTCCGGTTCCGGAATTAGTTCACCTGGAAGTGGCATTTCATCTTTACCTCACGCTGGTCATACACCAACGACTGTCTCATGTCCTACCCCGGCTCGAAGACGACATAGAACAACATTCACTCAGGTAATTTAAGCAGTTGTGCATACATAAGTACATAATATACATGAAATATTAAATCTACAGGAACAATTAGCAGAATTAGAGGCTGCTTTTGCAAAATCACATTACCCAGACATCTACTGTAGAGAGGAATTGGCGAGAACAACAAAGTTGAATGAAGCACGGATACAGGTATGTGTTAAGGGAATAAAATACATAAGAAAAAGTTTTATGTACATCAAATTTGTGTGATTAAATTTAAATCTGAAAAGGAGCGAAAGGAAAATCGATATTTTTGACATAATATTAGATTCTCGAGCGCATTCCTCCTAAGTCTCTGAAATGCTTTTACTTTTCTTTGCTGGTTAGCTTATTAGATTTATGAGGTCTTTGTAAAGTTCAAAATTCAATTCGACTCATAAACATTCCTGTTAAAGATTAATTGTCTCAATATCTTTGTTGGGATTATTATTGGCTGTTGCTATGTGCAATTTTAATTGAATTTCTTTTAATTATGTTTTGAGGATTTATTTAACATTTGCTTTTGATGATTGATTAGATTTATCTTATTTTTAAGCTAGTTCTATTTAAAAATTAACATTTGATATGTTAAATGGCAGATTTTATTTATTTTTTAAATCAGAAAATGTTTATTTTGGAATGCGAACTTAGTAATTCTTGATTACAAAAGTGATCTATTGGAAACCTTATTGGACTTATAAAAAAGACTTAATCGTAACCAGTAATTCAAAGTTACACTAAAATGGTAATCCTAGTAGTAATTTACTGGATAACTTTTCATTTACTACTTGCTATTTACTATTCAAAATCCAAGTTCAAATCTTCGCCAAGCATTTTCCTTTGCTAATTGACTAGTCAATTCACTTACAATTTAACTAGTAATTTACTAGCAAATTTGTAAAAAAAATAAATGAGTATAACCGTTGATTTCCACGTGTTCTTTTGATTTTTCTTATTTGTGTAAATTATTGTAAAAGTATTAGTGTGTACTTAGTTTATTTAATTAAAGTACACTATAAAATAAAAGAATTAATTTAATTAAGTCGAACACTGATGAACGTGACCATGACTCGCATTCAAACCCGAGGAAGAAAAATAGTTGATTGAGAGTCACATACAAATTTGGATCGACTTTATAAAGGTGATTTCTGCACGCTCTTGTGAAGTATAAACCAAATGACAAATTTAGAACAAAATTTTTTATGACGCAAAAATTTCTTTTTTTGATGATATTTCGTAAGATTCGAACTTAAGCAGATTTGATCAAACATTTTACATAGTAATTTGCTAGTAAATAGCAAGTGTAATTTATTAACAGTAAGTTTTTTTAATAATAACTAGTAAATTGCAAGGAGAAGAATAGAAAGACTAGCAATTTGCTAGTTTAAAAGATTTTAAGTACAGTTTTAAACAAAATCTTTTGGTTTGCGACAAAGTAATCTCAATTTTTACGTTTTAAAAAGAAGTAAACTCAAAAGAGTTTTGTTTGAACTCAATATTGATTTGTAAAGTTGCTTGGGTATGTTTAAAGCAGTGTTTGTTGAAATATGATGTTAGAAGAACTCTGAAGTTGTGAATTTGTTGATTGTTTTGAAAAACAAATTTTATTAAATTCCATTTTGTAAAAAAAAAATATAAAATTAAAGGGCTTGGTCGTTTGTTGAATAAGTGTCAGAAATCAAAAAATGTTTACGTTTTTCTATTTTTCTGGATATCTACGTAATTATCTCAATAATTAGTGTTATTAAGCTTTTGAAAACGAGCATTTTCATGTGCATAACATATCACAAAGTCTTTTAATTAACCCAGAAAACTATCGATTTCTGACACTGAAAAAATGTTCCATTATTTTGAATTTTCACAAAAAATACTAATTACTTTGCGAAAACTTCATTACAAGATACAAAAATTATACTAAATTGTAGGATTTTCAATTCTTTCTAATCCTTTGCTATTAAAATCTTAAAAAAGCTTGTTTAAATTAGTTAAATTAATGATTTTTCTGAAACACTTTTTTCATAACAGTCAAAATTTGAATTATTCCATTCGTTTGTTTACATCACAAAAAAATTTTGTAAATTAAAAAAATCGTTTGAAACTCATTAATTACACATATTTGGAAGCTGAAAAATTAGGAACAGATAAAGAAAAATTTATTGGATGCATTACAATGCTCAAAAGAAAACATTGATATTAATTTAAATGATATTTTGCAAAATAATTTTTCATTTTATTGAAGGGGAAAGTAACAAAAATTGAATTTCAAAAAAAACGTTGAAATTCAATGGAACTTTTTATTCGACCGAGCCCTAAAGAATTCTTATCACACAGTTTAAGAATCACTGCTTTAGTTGCACCCATTTTTTGAAGAAAATTCTGATTTTATCTTTAAATTTAAAATTTCGAACTTTTTTCTTTAGAATTCATTGAAAAATAATGGTTCTTGCTAGCTTATTTTAGTAGCACATAATTATTCAACTTTAATATATCATTAAATAATGCATTTTTTATCTAAATGTTGGTCAATTCAAATAATAACACTGATTTCAACTTAGTTATCTTTCCCAAAGTTTTTCTATAATTTGCCTTAGTTTCATATCAGCCTACGGGTTACCAAAAGAAATTGAATAAATTCTCGAAAAGTAAAAGTTTTTCATGCAGACAGTAAATGCGCCATAGTTCAATAAGATAATATGCAACAAACTCCCTCACAAAATTTGATAACATTTTCCGTTTTGAATTTCTAATAAATTCAAAGAAAGAATTTTTATATCAATAAAATATTTTATTGTCAAAAATCGATTTTCAAGCTCAGTATGAAGTTCACAGTATGCACAAAAAAAATTGAGGATAGAGAAGAGGAAAAAAAAATCTATTCTCGAATGAGCAAAAATGTTGACAGTTGTTATCAGCTGACAAAAATTTTTACCATAAATGTCCAATGTCTCTCTTTCTTCCTTTATTTCAAATAGATTTTTTTTTTCGGTGAATGGAGTAATTTCTCTTAAAAATCGAAGTCGATAATTGAATTTGCGTTTCGGGGCGTTTTCTATTTTGTTCCTTTATAACATTACTATATATTTTAAAGTGCTCGTACACATTATAATAGAGGAAAAAACTGTATCTCCTCATCATCACAGTTGCTTTTTAAAGTATTCTTCAATTGTAGGGGTTGGAATATGAGTACAAAATGAGATGTTCATGATGTGATGGGTAGGGGAGTGCGTTTAATTTGAAGTAAATTTGTCAGAAATAATTTATTCCCAAAGTACTCACATGTTTCAAAAATATACATATGCCTTATGCCTTGAAACTTGAAGCCTTTGATGCTCTTGATGATGACATTAAACTTTCATTTCAATTTCAATTTTCAATCCTACGTTTTTCAATCTGCTCTCCTCCTGCCTGTCTATATGCCTTAAAAAATATTTCGATGTTATTGATATTATATTTATATACGCAGAATTTTATCTATAGACCGATCTTAACTAGGATGATATATATCTTGATATAGATTTATTAGGGTTGATCATAAATGACGTTCAATTTTATTGGGGGATTTTTAGACAACCTTCTTCATTTGTCAAAAATTTTGTCAAACAATAAGTTTTCTATTGTAATGAAGTGTCGTTAAATCATTGATACTTACGCAACTGTCCTTAATAATGAACTTCGTAAGTCAATGAATACTAAACGTTATCTGATATTGAAGATTAAGATGGTTTCAGGCTGGAAAACTTTCTTTACCAGTCCTGAATTATTTCTTTGACCTTACAGATCACTTTTGTAGTCAAAGGTCTTGTAACTAGCTACTGCTTACCAATGACCAATTTATTTTGAGACTGTCTATACCAGTTATAGACAATCTTAAATTCCAAGAAGTGATAACAGTCGAATCGAAACATTGGTAGGAATTGAACTCATGCCTTCACAAAAGAGAAGGATTCTGCTATACTGCTCAATCACTTGACCAAGGAATGCATATCTTCGCACTGGGAGTATCTCCTACATAAGGTTTGCTGCCCCAAATTGCAGGAGATACCTCAGAAGATATAGGAACAAGATCTGATTCTTGTATTAAAACTTCAATTGACAATAAATATCCAAAGATAAGATTCACGTTACTCAATAAGTAAACGACCCTTTCTGGTGTAAGAAAAAGAAGAAGGAGAACAAAAATCATATCGGAAATCCACGTCAATGCGCAACTCATTATTACATACATGCATTTACGCTTGAAATTTCCGTAAATTTATGGCTTATCGCTTCGACAAGGAGGATGGATGGATCCATAAAAAGAAGAGAAAAAGGCAGATAAAAGTTTATTTTTTTTTTCATCCTCATTGTCTGATAGTGAATTGCCATATATACATATCCATAGGAGGAAAAAGAGAAAGAGATATTCTCATACACAATTCATAGTCATATCCGAAATAGCTTTCAGGCAGAAACTTTTTTTTTTATTTCTGTGTGTTTTCGAGCAGTCGCATGAATTTATGTATGTAGCACATAAAAAACTCTATTTTTTTATAAAGTTGGCACATGATGAGATATATTTATATGATGTGATGAAAACAGAATTGAACTCAACAATAAAATCATGTATGTACGTTTTCATGAATGTGTGTACTTATGCGTACATGACTAAATATATTTTTTTCCACAAATTAATTCAGGATATACATATATTTCATCTCCAAATAACATAGTTCGTAGTCACTTTGTAGATATAGCAAAATTATTATGCTACAAAAAATACAATCCAATGAATTTCATGAAAATTCAATGATACATTTATCTATCTATCTTCAGTCATTGTATTTTGCGATGTTGATATTTTATGTATGGGATACAACGAAAAAGACGCACACACGAAGGATATTTATTAGCTTTTTCATCACATACTTTGTTTTCTAGAGTTGGAAACTCTTCCAGACGTGGGATGAACAGTTTTTATTTTCATCTATTTCCATTAATTAATTTACATGATACCCAAAACATTATTAATATTGTTCATTTCCTAAAGTTTAGAATATCCTAAATTTTAAGATTTCGCAAATGATTGACACCCTGCTCTGTTGTATATTAAAACTGATTCGCGAGGTTAATTACTCATAGTACAGTTAGAGATATTCTAGTAACGTCTTATAGTAAAAGTAATTCATTTACTTATGAATCTATGTGCGATTACTGAGACGTCTAGCTCCATTGAAGGTCGGTTGTAAAGAGAGCAATTAAACTCAAGTTTTCGCGCCTTTCTTGACAAAGAGGTTCTTTATTGAAAATCCACATTTTTTTAATGAATTTGACAAATTTTGACTATTGAGCTACATATATATTCGAATGAACCATTTTGGATCTTAAATATTCGGATTAAAAGCAAACTTAACATTTAAGTTGTGATTTTGATTTAAAATTGGATGTTATTAAAGTTTCGATTAGTTTAAAAGTTTAAGACATTCTGATGCACAGTGTCATAACGTTCGTTTGTAATTTAAATTGTATTTATCTGTAACATAGTTGTTTGCCCCTTTTCATATATATATTCAGTTTGTTTACGAACTCCGAACAACTACAATTGGAAAACCTAAACTACAATTCTTTTGTAGAAATGAACCTGATCTTTGCTACTATAATGAAGCTAGTCAAAGCAAAACTTCTTAAATATTCCAAACATTCAAAAATTAAAGAATCCATAAATCCACAAATAGAAAGCGCAGAACATCAACAATAGAGAATCTCCTGATGAATAATAAAAGTTTCCAACTCTAGATGCAAATGTGTTTTGTCCTTCATATTCACAATTCCTGCGTCTGCAATGTTGAAACTCACGTTCAATGACAAAATGCAATTTTTGTTTTTCTGAATTTTTAAGCCTATAATGTGTGCATGCATATGATCGAGTTGGAATATTTTTCAAAAAAAAAAAATCTTTTTCATGTGCAATAATACATTGGGATGATAGAAAGATTCTCTTACTGTATGAAGGCACGAAGGCAAGAGCTTTTCTGCACACACAGAAAAAAAGAGATACTATTTTAAATGAATTCATGATTGTCGTTCCGAAGCATTGACGCATAAATTTAAAGAATTTTTTTTTTATGTATTCCTCTGTCTCTTGAATATTTAAAGCTAATTATCTTCCTCAAACACAATGGCATGCTATGCAAACTCAATAAAATGCGGTAGATACATTCATGCTTCAAACGAACACCAAAAAAAAAACATCATCTCTTCATTTCGTCAATAAATAAAAGGAAAATACAAACCTTTGAGGGTTGAAAGATTTTTTTTAAAGTATATACTCCAACCCTACTTACAGCAAAGAAGACAAAAAAACAACATAAAGAATTTTCAAAGATGCTTTTAATGACAAAAAGGATGCCATTTTGACTTTTTGAATTGTCCCCCTTTTTAGTCAGTATTTTTTTTTTCTGTGCCGTCTCTTTCTCTTTCTCGCATTTATACTAACGGCACTTTCTACCAACAAAATGCAAAAAGTTTTTATGTCGAGATGAGGGAATTTTATCTTTTCCCTCTGAAACAAAGGGGAATTTTATTTATTATTTTTTCTCTCATTTTTCTTCTTGTTCCTCACTTTTTCGTTTTTATTTCTTCTTCTTTTTTGCCATTCACCGCTCACATTTTTTGCTATAATGTTGATGTTGATACTAGAGCGATGATGATGATGTTGTAATGTAATGGCGTATAGAGAATGTTGTTCAAGTATTGAATTTATTGAAAGCGAGTTTGGTGGAATATGTTTTGAAATCCATCATATTATTAGAATAAGAGAAGGAACCTTGAATTGTTTGTTGGATCTAAAGATATTAAAAAGATTTTAGGATTTTGATTAACTGATTGATATTGATGAGGATTTAGATTACTTAATAACTTGCAGTTCATAATAGAATCCCAACAAACTTATGAGTCAATTGTTACATCCATCATTTAGAGCTTAAAGTAGACACAAAGTTTGCACACAGTAAAGCTTAAGGTTGATTCTTCCATATAAAATTTGATTCATCCTAGAACTTTGCATTTAATTTTTTTTGGAACAAGAACTCATGATCCTCTCAATAATTGTCATGTAGAATTATCATCAGTCAAACAATGAGCTCATTTTGATTCTAAAGGTTACTCAACAAACTAGCTATCTCCCAATTTTTGACACAACCCTATGCAACACAATAGTTTAATTATAATTCCATCAGACACCCCGACAATATTAAATTACAATAGCTCACACAAGCAACAGATTGGAAAACCGTCCGAAAAAAATATATAGATGCTAAAAATGTATATGCTTATAACGAGAAACGAAACAGCATTGAATTGCGATGAGAATGAATAAGAGAAAATAATTTAAAATTCTTATCAATCTACATCTAATAGGCAACAAATTCAATTATTGCACAGTTGAACGACGCAAGGTCGTCACTAAAAATTCAGCATCATGACTATTAAGCAGCTCCATATAACGGTTCATGCAAAAAAAGAAGATAAAAAAAAATGGAAAAAAATATGAAAGAAAGGAAGAAAATAGAAAAAAAAATAACGAGAGAGATCTTTCGATGGCTGAGGCAAGAACAAGAAGAAGAATTCTTATTTCTTTCTGACTTTGTATGTCGCTGCCATCATACTTATTTCTTGAAAATGTATTTTCATTTTTTTTTTCCCTCTATTCCATCTTTTTCATCTTCCCATCCTCCATTTGCTCCAGCGTCTTTCTTATTATTTTCGTCGTTGATGGAAAAACATTTAATTTAAAAGCATCTCTCTCTCCTTCATCCATCTTATATATACGGATTCTTCATCTTAACGTCATTATATTTCTTCTCTTCGGTACGAAAAAGATAATATATATCTTTTTCCATTTTCTTAAAGTAAATTAAAGCTCTTTAACTTTTTTTTTCATCATCCTTACATCTTCGTTCTTTTCTTATCATGATAATGTGTACCATACACATTTGTATCCAAGAAGTCTCTCTCTTATTTTTTTGCTTTTGCGTTGATGAAGCAAGCCATAAAGCGTTGAATATTCACATGCTAAAATCTTGATCATGACATCTTTTGGTGTCTTGCTCTTTCGTTAGATTTCTCCTCTTATTTGTGCATACGGTGATATTTCATACATATGATATGGAATATATGAAAAGGAAAAGAAGCTTTTATCAATTGTAAATTATATAAAAAACAAAATTACATTTTGTTATAGTTTAGCAAGCATAAAAGAATCTCTTTTGCATTCAAAAATAATTTTTTTTTTGTTTTTCTTGCATCTCGTTTCAGGTTTGGGTGAGTTAAATACTTCTTATGTTCATATAAGTACATATAAATCCATATACATGCAATATGGATTATTTTGAAGGGTGAAATATCATTTAAATAATTTAAAACTTTTTTATATCTTATTTCAATTTTAATCCCATCAAACTAGTTTCAAAATAGGAGAGCAAAATATAGGAAACAAGAGAAGCAACTTCAGAAAGCTTTAGCACCATCAGTGATACCATCAGCGTGTAATGGAATGATGCGAAACATTCAGGGTTATAGTGTCTCAAGATCTTATCAACCATATCCGCATCCGAATTCGATAAACCGTTATCCTCAAGTAATTTAAACATAAGCCAGCATTAGTTTACGCTTTATGCTTTATACTTAATTAATTCAATCATTCTACCTATTAGGATCTCTTTCAAATGGGAGCATCATCGTATCCAGGCATGACGCAGCCATTTTCAATGTCACATAGTTCAAATATGAGTTCCGTCGGCGTTCGTCAAGATTCAATGAGTGAGTACTTTCATCTCTTGTATTAATTGAACGATAGATAATTTTTTAGGATCCAATTTTTTATGATTTCGTATCCATTATGGTCAAGGATCAAAGATAATTCGTACAATTGAATATTGTTTTAATTCAATAAAATTTCAAATCAAAGCTGGATCTTTTAAACAAAAACAGAGTGAATGCTATAAAATGATATGTTATACCTTAAATTGAATGCTTTATTCAGTGTAAACGATTGATATTTATTTAAAATGCTGAACAGCATTCACAAGAAAGAAATGAATTATAAATTTTTGAAAATGATCCTTCTTAACAAGTTCTGAACAATTGATTGTTCAAAAAACTCAAAAATAATAGAAAAAACATTTCTAAAGTATAATATAAAGTAGTTTAGGCAACCCGCAAGTCAATTTTCATGCAAATTTTCCATTACTTAAGGAGATGAATATTCAAACGTATAAAAAAACACGAGTGAAAAGGAATAAAAAGTAAATAAGGTCAAATGTCAGGATAATGATAATGATAACAAGCATTTAGATATTCATATTTTATTAATGACGAACCTTCCACTCGTTTTACAGCTGAATTTAATCTTTTGATCTCCTCTTATGAACTTAGTAAATCGCAATTAACTTTTTCTCTCTCATACCATTTATGAATTTGCATTTATTATGTTAATTAAATATCTCTCTGTCTCTCTCTCTCTTTTTCTTTTGCTCTTCTTTTTACTCGAACATGAAGGCATGACTGCGGAGGATGAATGGTACAACAAAAGCCTTTCAGCTTTAAGAATGAATAGTTCGCATCACCCAAACTTATCAGCACCGATGCTACAATACCAGACATAATTAATGAGATATGATATGAGTGAGAACTGCGATAGTTTTGAAAAAGTAAATTAATAGTGTGTCAAGTGATCATACCCAGAAAATAAGAAAGAAAGAAACTGTTGATGATTGTGACAAAAATTAATTAAGAATTTTAATTTGGCCATAATAAATTATTGAAAAAAACTTGTAAATAGTAAATGAAAATGAGACAAAAAGGAATTTTAACTGTCAGTGTATGTCCGAAAAACAAAAAAAAACTTTTTTTTGAGAATAATTTTTTAAATTAAACTAGTCAAACAGATTCGTTGGACAGCAGATTGATTTGCACAATGAAACAGAAAGAAAAAAATTAGCTTCTGGGTGATTCTCGTCTATCCACATTTGGGGAATTGAGATAAATTATTTCTGTTTATAATATGTAATGCATTCGCGTATTTGTATAATTTTCTGAATGAAAGTCATTAGTTTTCTGCTAAATCAAAAAGAATCAGAAGATGGATTGAGGCGCAGTCGTCAAAAGATGTGAAATTACCGGAAAATTAAGTTTTGAAAGAAATTTTAAAATGTTTCAGAACTTTACAACAGTTGATGATAATTTGTATGGTTTTACAAAACCTTACAACAGTTTTAACATGTCAAATGTAAGAACATTTGAATGGTTTCAACTAAAACCCTATAAATTAAATACAAAACTTCTGAAAACATTTCAAATGTTTTTTCAAAAATGATTTTTAACGGACTTTTGTTTAGCTTCAAAAATTTGTAAAAAAAACATTTAATTTTGAGAATATAGCGAGGAGCTTTTTTTAAAAGGAGGAGAACAAAAGAAAAAAAAATTAAGGTGTAAGCTAAATCATAATAATAATTCTTAACGATAATTATTTTGTTTTAATGAATTAATTATAAATATTGTAAGAACAATTGTATTTTTACATTTGATATGAATTTATTTTAAATTTCACTAGTCAAGTTGAAATGAAAGCATTTTCAGTACATAATACTTGTGTCTGTAAGTAACGAATCATGTGAATCTAAAAATGAAATAAAATAATTAAATAAAAAGAATATAGGTACATTTACTATTTATTTATTTATTACGCTTTCTATTGTTCTGTTTGTCTAGCAATTTTAATAGATTCGTTTCCTCTCTTTTAGAGTTTTCAATAATTTATAGGTAATTTTACATTTGATTTGCTTATTTCGTCTTGTCATACTTAGATTGTGAATAATAGTATTATTAATAATTATGTGTGTGTGTGTGTATCCATAAAAATAAACTCTTTGAAGAAAAATCTCAACAACAAAAAAAAACAAAATTAAATAAAATTAATCAACAGTTTTTACAAAAATAGTTCTGCAAACTTAACATTATGCTCATCACTCATGTCCAATTGTTTTATTAAAATGTCAACAATTACTGATTGTGCAATGCCATCGTGAGCCACTTTAGTTGATGTATTCTTAATAAATTGCTCGGTCATCATATAATTGGAGCTATTAGTCAATCGACAAATGTCAACGGCAGATTTTGTTATTATGCGACGGTAACAACTAAATGCCTCATATTTTCCATGCAACTCGGTTAGCGTATTAATCATTCGGAGATCATGAACAATTAAATTTAGAAAATAATAGAAACTATTGAGCTTGACGGTGTTTATCGATTGACGTGGAGACGATGGTACAGATACATTTGGAAGCAAATATAGAGCAAGGTCATCAACGTTATTGATTTTTTTATCATCTGGCTGGCCACAATTAATGAATTGATACAATTCATTTAGATTCGTGTCGTGAATATCAAAATATTGCAAATCAAAAAGTTTCGTCAGAACGAAATGACGATGATGATAGGCGCTATAGTCTGCTATATTCTTTCGAATAAACTTTTCTGTCTTGATAATCTCGTAACTTAATAAATTTGGTGCTTTCTGGAGAACCCATTGTCGATGATTCCACGCATGATAGTTGCTATTTTTACGCTCAGCACATCTCTCACATAAGCTTATTTCCACTGCCCAATCTATAGCCTCACCACCTTTATATAGAAAGATATGATTAGTAAATGTGATAGAAATATTTATGCAAATATGCTCGACCTACTTTGAAAGGAATACAGCCATCGTCGATAGAAGAAAGCTTCCGAAGATTTGGGTTTCTTACTTAGCACCAAATGTGAGAATTGAAATTCTTGAGTTAAACTTAATTGTACTTTTTCGACTAATTGTCGTCTGACATTCCAAAAAGTCGCAACATCTGGATTAATAAGAATGGCACAATTGAGATATTTAACAATTGTCAACGGATATCGATTGAGTTTTCTCTGATTAATTATATATTTATGTGCATGTTGATAAACATATTTTAAACACCAGCTTTCAATTCCTAAATGATGATCGACAAGTCGTACGGGGCTCTTGTTTTGCTTAAAAGGTACGGATATTATCTCAAACGATTGTCTGAAAGTCAAATTAATTAAAATCAATTTAATATTTTTTTTTCTATGCAAAAATTCAAAATTTCTATAAAAATTGACAAAATCAAGACTTACACAGAAGCATGTGGATCACTTATCACCTTATTTAATTCGCTTATCACCTTTTCACAAAAGACTTCATTTTCACTAATATCAGCCGTGTTCATCTTACAGAATTAATTAATTTATATGAAAATAGACTTTATGTACCAATTCATTGCGACAGTCAATTTAAATTGCAAAAAACTGTTACGAAAAAATAAACAAACTTGAATTTTTGAAAATACTATTATCGGTATATTAACGGTCTCTAGCGAATGCAGCTAACTTCAACTTAATACTTTTTGGAGATAACTTCGGGTAATTCTTAGATCGGCTTTTTCTGAAAATTATATTAATTCAAGAAAATCGCTCACAAGACGTTTTAATAGTGATTAAATAGTTAAACTTCAAACAAATCTTGAGAGTAAAGTGAATAAAACATAAAAAACACATTATGAGTGATTTTAATGGTACGAAATTGAATTTTAAGTTTTTCCTCATTAACATTTTTCGTTGTTGCAATTTTGTGCATAAAAACAATACATAATTAAGTTTTCTGACTCTCAAAACATCATATTCAATGAATATAATCAAACTGGAACATAATTGAGTGGAATTTTGAAGCAGAAAATCAAAAACAAATGAAAAACTTTTTATAGAAAATATGAAGCGCTAATGAGCCATCTTCAAAAACCGCGTCTATGCGTATTTTATGCTATACATCTGCTCACACACTTTGTTTTCTTTTCATTTATCTTTAGACGACTCTAATAAAATGGACAGAAACGTAATTAAGTTACGTGGACTGCCTTGGGATTCGACAGCAGCTGATATTATGGACTTCTTAAAGGATTGTACAGTCGTCGATGGTGAGAAAGGTGTTCATATGGCAATTTCGCATAGAGACGGACGTCCAAATGGTGAAGCTTACGTTGAATTGGAAACGCCAGAAGATGTTGATCGTGCATTTTCGTACAATAAGAACGTCTTGGGTCATCGCTATATTGAAAGTAAGTAAAAAGTGAAAGTTGCTATTTTATTTTGCAGAAACTGTACTTAAAGAAACTTGTCTCCCTACTCTACTATATTATTACTTTTATTATTATTAATCTTTATAGTTTTCAACGCAAAACCGGAGGAGTTTGATCAATGCTTAAAAAGACAGAATGTAATGCAACAAGATACATTCATTAAATTACGAGGCTTGCCTTTCTCATGCAAATTGGAAGAGATCGAACAGTTCTTTGAAGGTAAAATAAACATTAAGATAAAGTCGTTAAGCGCTTCAGAATATATAAGTTGAAATATGCATGACTGCCGTATGAGATGATTTCTTTGGGTGAATTTCATTGATTGTTAATAATCTTAATGACAATATATGTCGAATATTTTAAAGGAATGGGGGGTTGCGAGATGATTTTTTTCCAAGAATGGGGCAGGCTATAAAAATATATATCTTATGATCACATTCATTCGGATAAAAATCGCAATCTTTTCACCTTTAATTGCTTACATAATTAAAAAACTCAAAATTATTAATTATGGTAATTTGTATCATGTTGAATTCATGTTGAGTTTTTCATTGTATTTGGAGAGAGTAGACAGTGATGCTTAGAATGACTTAGAATGGTTTAGTATGTTACATGCATTCACATGATATTCAATAATTATCTTCTTTGTAATTATATTAGTTATATTATATTTTTGGTAGTGGGTCCCGCTTTCTCAATTCTGAAAGTATTCTGATCTTATTTGCAAGCAAAAATCCACAACAACAAAAAAATATTATTTTCAATTTAACTACATTTAATTTCAATCTGTATAATTTGATGGGATAAAAAAATGAAAAAAAAAATTTGTTTGTCGAAACATAAAATAGGGCTGGAGATTAGAAATGGAAAAACTGGTATTTATATCGTGTATGATTCTCATGGAAGGATGACGGGGGAGTGCTTTGTACAATTCAGAACCAGCGATGATGCAGAAAATGCATTAAAAAGGAATCGGGAAAAAATTGGGCACAGGTCAGTTCGCCACGATGTTGGGTATTATTACACATTTATATTTACTTTGTATAAGCCATAAATTTTTTCAAATATGAATTACAAAACTAAATTTTCTATTGATTATACTTCTACAAACAGTTATAATTTTTAATTACTTACCGAAAAAGATATTTAATCAACTTACATTTCATCTTACATTGTTTCCCTACACATCCAGATATCATATCCTATGCCTCAAAATTCTATTTATCTTTTTTTGGTTTCTTTGGATGTCTCGAATCTTTTTGATTAATTTAATTTTTTTATTTTCAATTTACCAAAAAAAAATACCCTTTCCCATCACATCCCGAAAAGCATAATTTATGATTGTGGTAGTCTTGTAGTCAATTAACAATTGCATAGCTGATTTATAAGCAAAATTAACATTAATAAAAGTTAACGGTGAAAAATTATTTAAATTTGACTAGGAAAGCCATTAAATGTTGCACAACATTTTATTTGAAATACTTCCAAGATGACATGCGCAACAGTTCTTACTATTTTTCAAATTTAAAGAAACCGTTAACTTCAGCAACATTTAAAAAAATTAATTAAATCGCAGAAATTTATAAGTCACCTATCGAATTGTTATAACGATTTATTGACTACCATTCCCATAATTATGCTGATTGGGCATCACACAGAACAAATTAATAATTTTTTTTTCTTTCATTAATTATTTTCGTCAAAATTTCAACTTCTTAAGTCATTCTAAAACTTATTTTTATCTCCATCCAAAAAAACCAAAACAGATATATTGAGATCTTTAGAAGTTCAGCTTCTGAATGTCGTCGCTCAACAATGCTATTTAATCGTGGTGGTGGAATGAATTCAGGAGGCTTTGGTGGTGATCGAATGATGAATCGAGGAGGTGGTCCAGGTCCAAGAAACAATAGAAACTTTAGAGATCGTCCATATCCTGATAATAATTGGTCTGATGGTCCATGGAGAAACAATAATCGTGGGGGAGGAGGCAATGGTGGAAATAACAACTTTGGAAATGACAATTTTGGCGGAAATAACATGTTCAGCAGTGACAATTATGGTGATTTGACAAATTTTGCTGAAAAACTACTCAAGACCAATGATGGATTTTCTTTAGATCGAAAATGGAACTCAAACAACAGCAACAACAATGATCGTGGAAATGGAAGTGGTGGAAATAGCTTTGGAAGCTCGTTTGGTGGAAATGGAGGAGGTGGATCAAGTGGCTTTAATAGCTTCAGTAATAACAGCAGAGATAACAGCTTTGGAAATGATCGTGGATTCAATGGGAATAACATGGGCGGTGGTAACAATATGAACAATGGTGGAAGATTCCTTGTCCATTTGAGAGGTAAATAGTCATTATCTAGTTATGATAGGCATTATATTAATAATATCAATTTCTTATTTAGGAATGCCATACGACTGTAATGAAATGGAAGTTCATCAGTTCTTTGCTCCATTAAAAGTTGTCGATTGTGAAATTATCTTTGATGATAGAGGTAAGTCATTGGACTATAAATGAATGAATTATTTAAATTAATGATGTCTTAATTATTTACAGGACGTCATAGCGGTGAGGCTGATGCATATTTCTCTAATGTTGAAGACGCTCAAGAAGCAATGAAGAAGCACAAGGAAAAGATGGGATCTCGCTATATTGAGCTATTTGCAAGCAGAAACAGTGGTCGTGGACGATTCTAAAGACACAAACTTTTTACGCATCTCAATTAATACTTTTACTTATTCACGTCATGTCATGACTTTTAAACATGCTTGAACTTTTGATTTTAAGATTTTTTTTTTGTATTTTCTGGAAATTTTTTTTTTCTGTGAGAATTGCATTTTCTTGCTCAGATTTGATGAATGTAACACAAAAAATTAAGGGAACTTAATTCATGATGATTAAATAAAGAAAATACAGAGTATCTGAAATAAACTCAAATGAGATGGTTATTATTAAGGTCCATATATTTGTTTGGATTAAATTAAGGAACAGTTTCATTTAGGAATTCATGTATTATGTTAAAAGCTTAATACTACTGCATGTCAACGGATATGAGGGTGTCATTTTGACAAGACGTGAATAATCGGTTTCATAAACTCAGTTTTCAATCCTAATAATGAAATGAAATACTTTTGAACCAAGAAATTTGAACTTCACGTTTAAAATGTATATGTATGCGCAGACTTATTTATAAGCGCATTGTAGGATGTCACATAATTCAAATTTTCTCTTAATTAATGACTTTACAGCCTTAGATTTTTTTTAACTTTTGTCGTTATTCACTAGGGCGCCGACGAAAAAAAATTATTCGTGAGTGACGCTTTAAATCTGAAATATCTCCGAAACCACAAAAGTGACAAATTTTAAAGTTATTGTATCCTGTAGGAAAAAACAATCCCCATCTTTTGATATACAACTCACTTAATAAAATTAAGCAGTTGCTCCAGAAAATCACTTTAATTAAGCGTCACTCACGAATAATTTTTGGGAATTCTGCCATAGCATTGTCAGTTTTCATTGATATATCTTTATATGTATTTTTTTAGATCACAAATTTTATTCTCTTTTGTTTGGCTCCAAAAAAAGGAATAAATTATCCCCGATACATACTTAAATGAACAAAATTAAGTTAAAAAAATTTTAACGGTTTTAAATCTTTTGAATTTTTTCTGTCGTGAGTTGTTTGTTTACAAACAAAAATTGAAATAACATTTAAAAAGTCATGAAAATATCACTCAATAATGATGTTAAAGCTCTTAAAATAGGCAGAATATCTAATGTATCATTTACTTCTTGTAATCATATTATAATATTTGGGAATAATCATTGAATAATTAAGATATTTGAGAATTTAATTTTTGATGGGTTGTAAAATTTAATTTTTCCGTTGAGCAATAATCCTAATGTCAAATGCAGTCAGACAGACATGATGACATAATAAATGTGGAAAGCAAGTTAAGAAAAACGTGCTAAAAATATTGAAAAGTTCAAAAATAAAATTGATAATCATTGACAACAAAAAAAGATTTTAAAAGTTTTTAAAGAGCTATTAGAAAGAATTAAGGCACAAACATGGAGAATTCAGAAAAGACAAATGAAGTGATAGAAAACACCTTATTAATCACTTTAAATCCTGCAAAAAAAGACCTATATTTAATTAATAGTGACGAATCACAGACATTTAGTTTGGATATGCTGGAATTTTCATTATTTGAGCGAGTTATTGCATCTGATAATGATGATAAGGTAATAATTTATCTATATCAATCTTATTTGCGAGTTTTGGAAGCGTCTAAATCAAATGGATGTAATGAAATCTTGGACAAAATTAAGGAACTAATCTTTCGAAACATCAGCACAATATTAAAACAACCAGAACTAATTCCACTGCAGAATCTGGATAAACAGTTTTTAGACATATTCAATGATACAGAGATGAATGAGCGATGCCAATTTTTATCAATGTCAATCAAAACTGCACTACAAGATTGTGATGATGATATGAGGAAAAATGTCAATGAGATTTTCTTTAAATCATTTGATACGATATTAAAAATGATACGACAAGCATCAATGATCACGTTAGACAAATGGATTTTAGAATATCTCATGGCATTTGTCAGTGATAAAAACAATTCAGAAGCAGCGAATATATTACTTGACTATATAGCACTTCCTGAAAACACTGAAGGAATCAAATATTCAGAAACTTTGTTAGGTCAGCTGTTATGTCTCTCAATAACACCAAAAAATAATAATGGTCCATACGAGTATTATGATAATTTAAACAGTACCAACTTACAAGCATTAAATAACCTGTCATCTTCTCTTTGGAGTAATCTAAATTATCTTCACGAGACTCTTTATGCTCTAATTAAATGTATTTTGGTGATTGGTGGTGAAACGAGAGACAAAATATTGAATTGGATAGGACATGCAATAACAAAGAATCAAAAACGAGGACAAATTTGGAACCAACATTCGTCGATGGTTATGGGAAATTTTACTACAGCTCCGGATAGTTTTATGGTCGGTCTTAGTGCAGTTTTGCTGCGTCTATGTTTGCCTTTAATGAAGCCACAACTAAAAGTTTTGATGGTTGATCCAACATACTGTGCTGTTAAAAATGATGATACAACGAGTAAGCAAATTCACATGAAGGATTATGATCAAGAAACATGCTTAATCCCTTTTGCTGATGAAAATGAAGAACGAAATGCTGCACAAAAATACAACTTTATCACTGAGATATTCTTCATGACTCACAAATGCTTGGATCTTTCATATAGAGTTTGCATTGAAAAGGTCTCAAGAATGAATAGAGAAATTCATAGACTTCAACAAGCCTATCAAGATGCTGCACGAGGAGGCGGTGCATCAGATGTAACAGAAAATATCATGAACATGCTGACAAAGCAATCACAAATACTTTTGTGTACACAAAATTTGATATTAGAACCGAAAAATGATGAACTCTTATTGCAGTTTTATGACGCAAGTGCAATATGGCTTAATCAATTAGCTTCGAAATCATCGATTGTGATGAATGATAGTGATAAGGGCTATGCACCCTTAAAAATTCAAGAATTCAAACTTCCACTTACAGCTGATTCAAGTCCTTATTTGAAATATGTTCCAGAATTAATAATCGAAAATATAACTGGATATCTTCAGTTTAGTAAGCATTTTGAAACATCATTTCGACAATTTAATCAATCAAAAGAAATCTTCTTGACTTTTTGTCTAATTTTTATGGGAAGTTCAAAACGTGCAAAAAATCCACATTTACGTGCTAATCTAGCTGAGGCTTTAGAATCATTACTGCCGAAGGAAAAGAATGGATTTACAATTGATTCCCAATTATTCTATCAACATCCAGATCGATTACAAATTGTCGAAAATTTACTGGATGTTTTTGTAAGCATAGAAATGACAGGACAAAGTGTTCAATTTGAACAGAAATTTAACTATCGTCGACCTATGTATATTATCATGCAATATTTATGGAACATTCCTGAGCAACGGGCTTGCTTCAAGAAACTATCACTCACTGCTCAGCAAGAAATTGACAATGTTGAAGTGCCATTGTTTCTACGCTTCATTAATGTCCTGATTAACGATTCGATATTCTTATTGGACGAAAGTTTGAATAATTTACAAAAGATACGTGAGCTAGAGGAAGCAAAGAAGAGAAATGAATGGGACAATTTACCACAAAATGAGAGACAACAAAATCATCAAAATTTGACACAATTAGGCATGCTTGCACGTTTTGATAACATTCTAGGAAAAGACACAATAAATATACTAAAACTCCTTACTTCCGAGACCAAAGAAATATTTATTCATCCCTCAATGGTCGATAGAGTAACATCTATGCTCAATTATTTCCTACTTCAGCTATGCGGTCCAAATCAGAAGCGCTTCAAGGTAAAAATCTTTAATTTTTATTCTATCCATAAACATTTAACAAACTTCCTTGCAGGTTCAAAATAAACAGGAATTTGATTTCGATCCAGCACATACAGTGAAAGAAATTTGTTCCATTTATTTAAATCTTAAGGACCGTGAAGAATTTATTGTTGCTATCACACAAGACGGTCGTTCATATTCATCTGATTTATTCAGATATGCCGAAAACACCTTAAGTAAGTAGCACGAAACATGTTTTGTAAATAGATTAATGCATGCCTGACATTGCAGTTAAGATAAGTGGAGGTCAAATGATATCAGACATTATTGAGCTGGCTGAGAATGTTAGGAAGATCGAAGAAAAACAAAAGGAAAATGATGAAGCGCTAATTAATCCTCCAGACGAATTTTTAGATCCAATTCTTTCGATTTTAATGCGTGAACCAGTCATTTTGCCATCTTCACGTGTTACTGTCGATAAAACTACGTAAGTTCATCTGAACAATAATTAATTTTCAGTGATTAACGTTTAATAATTGTTTTTGCAGCATAAGCCGTCATTTACTTTCCGATCAGAGCGATCCTTTCAATAGATCTCCACTGTCGATGGACCAATTAATTCCTGACAACGAATTGAAGCAGAAAATTGATGAGTGGGTTAAAGATAGACTTGAAAAGTATAAATCTGGATCCAGTGAATAATTCCCGTACTATGTCTATATATTTTTAATATGATTGATTGCAATTTAGAAGAAAATGGTTAATGGAAATAAATACTTTTTGAAACTATAAATTGGTTGTCATTTTTTTTGTCTATCGTGTTTCCACCACCACTTATGTCTAGTTTTTCTGTAATTTCTTTTTTTTCTTCTATACTAACGGTTTTAGAATATTTAAATTTTTTTATCGAAAACTCAACGAAATAATAGATTTAAATTTGTAAAAGTCGTTAAATTTTTAAACCGTTAAAAACTTTTAATATCTTAAGTCAATTTGATAAGAATCCTCAAGAAGGAGGAGTAGTATGATCAGTGTTGCATTCTGGTAATTTGTCTGGATCAGATAAATTCTGAGACAGAAATTTCTTCATAAAGATCGATTCTATATGAAGATAGAAAATCTAATCTACACAAAGATTATTTCTACATAAAGATTCTGTCTACATAAAGATTCGATGTAGATGTCTACAATTCTACATTCTTCTCTGATGTAGACCTGGAAAAAATGTAGAATTGTAGACATCTACATCGAAACTTTATGTAGACAGAATCTTTATGTAGAAATAATCTTTGTGTAGATTAGATTTTCTATCTTCATATAGAATCGATCTTTATGAAGAAAGTTTCTTAGCTAGACAAAAACTATTGAAGAATCTACATTCTTCATCTAGTGTAGACATCTATATTTGCAACACTGAGTATGAATTTCGTTTTTTTGTGAAAGATACTAGAATTGAATAAACTTTGAGCGTTTCACTTTCAGTATTAATTTTTTATGACTTTCTTTATTTGTAATATGATTCATACTTAAGTAAATTCTGATAAAGTAATGATATAAAAATAACGAGGGCAATCAAGAATAATTCATAAGGTAATCTTAAAGCATTCAAGCGTAAGCGATGATATTCAATTGACACCGAACAGTAACGAGACGTTTATGTTTCAAGTGACGAGTGTTATGCAGCATTGCAAAGAAAGAAAGAAAGCATTAACGCAACAACACATCAAACAGAAATGTTAAGGCAGAGAAAAAAATCATAACTCAGCTGGTTAGTTCATTCGTTATCATTCGTTCGGAAAAGATTGTTTTGTGTCGAATGAACAATAAATAAAATGTGTGAAAAAATATTTTTACTAATTCACAGCGAATTTACTTGAAAGTGAGACATTCGATGAATGGTACTTGAATACTAATAATTTAAGCAATTTGAAACCTTATTGTCGAGTACCGTGGCATGTTTTTAATGCTAGTAAATTTTGAGAATTTAATTAACTTTCTCGAAAGTTCCAAATTTAATGCAAAAATGCACGTGCAAAATTTTAAAAGTTGTCAGCAAAAGTTTACATGATGCAAAGTACACAACGATTAGACATACACGTGGAAAAGTGCACAAAAAATTTAGAAAAAAAAACAAATTAAATTAATAAGTGATACACAGTGAACCTTAATTGCGTTATCTTATCATTGATTTAATATAAAAGTCCTAACAACAATCATCTGGATTTTCATTAATAAGTGTGCGATTGTTTTTACGATGTCTTAATCATAAATCACTCATTGCTTCAAGATTTATTGCACAATACTTTAATGTGACGTACATACCTTAACCTGACACCACAATATTGGAATTAAGATTCACTATTATTATATATATTTATTTATTATGGGTCTATTTGCATTTTAAAATAGTTTGAATGGAAATGAAAGCGATTAACAATCATTAGCGATCCAATGCATTTTTCGAATTGCATTCATTTGATATTTGTTGTTATTGTTCGATTGTCAAATGTTTCTTTTTGTGGCCGTCAGGGGCTTCATATACTATTGTTGTAGGATTATTCGAATGTTTGAAAACTTTATAAATCTTTTATTTTGGAAAATAATTTGTGAGGTTTTCGATTATTTAAATTTTAACGAACTTTTTGAATAGTTCCATGAAAACCATAGAAATGTTATTTTTAAGCTGTTGTAAGTTTTTCAATTTTTAAAATTTTAATGAACTTTCTGAACGATTTATGTGGCAAAAACCATACAATTGTCATTCCAGAATTTGTAAGGTTTTATTGAATTTCCGAAACCGAACTATCCTTTGAAAACCTTAAATAAGTTAATAAAGTTCCAGATTTTTGAATAATTTCTATGAACTTTACAAATGTAAATTTGAGATGTTGTAATGTTTTGGTTGATTTTTAAACCCACTTCAATAATTTTTGAAATGTTTATTGAACCGTACAAAAGTTTAGTGTTTTAAATAAAAAGAGAACCGCGCAAATCTAGTTTTTGTGAATTTTCGAATACTATGTAAAACCATTCAAATGTTTTAACAAGGAAGTAAAGGAATTTACAGAATTTCTTTTGAAATTTACAAAAAATGAGTTTTTTTAAAAACTCATCAGTTTGCAACCCCAGACAATCGGACATAAAAAATTTGTATGCAATAAAATAAAAATAAATCACGATAAAAATCAAAAGTTAATTAGATATCCACACAGATGTATTTATTTCCCTGATTTAAATGAAATTAAATCATGTGGGGATTTAGCATTAAATTAATTCTGACTAAACCACACAAAAGTTCTCATAATTACAGTTAATAATAACTTAATTACACGGCAAAAACTATTTGATTAATGTACAAAAAATCATATTAAATTTCCAATTTGTCGATTGGAATTCGAGAATGTAATTGAGAGATGCTTAACTGAGTTACGCATGTAAAATGAAGGAGAGGAATGTCGACGATGATAAGAGAGAATCAAGCACACGTGAAGATGTTAAATAATGCGAAAATTGAGTGAAAAAAGAAGGCACGAAAAACAACAATTATGGCAATTAAATAGGAATTTCTTGTATCTTGTTGATGTGTTTGATGGAACCTTGTCATCATATAGACATGTAGAATGGCACCCATTCTTTATCGCTGACAACTTTTATATCTGTTGTAGAACAAATATTTAACAACAGATTTCATTTCTACAGTCTTGCTCCTCATATCGTCGCGAGTGGCATCGTGTGCTCACTGTTGTTACTGTTTTTACTTTTTTTTTTTATTATTATTTATTTCAAAGCCTCAACACGACTCAGACTCAGGGAAACAAACTAAAGTTTTTTTTTTACTCATTCAGTTTTCTTTCGTCAGTCAATCTGTAAGATCGCTAATGCGTTTGGCTACAAACTCTCAAAAAAATACAAAAATTATCAACGCTTACGCTTAATTTCTATTTTGTGTTATTGTGTAATTATTTCTTATTTTTTGTTGTGCTGGTTTTTTTGAGAATAGTCGAAAATGGGGTGCTGTTCACTTGTGATGTCTAAAAATTCGGTTCCTCATCCTTAAATTCGTTTAAATAACGATAAGTTTTTGAAAAATGATCTTTAATTTCGGCTTTTTCAGACCCCCCTTCACCCTTCTTTTTGTGAAAATAATCATAAATTATCAAGAATAAGGGGAGGCACAGACATAGAAAATCACAAAAGTAGATTTTTATTACAAGACGTCATCAGTGAACATTCCCAAACATGCCGTTGAGTGGAAAACTCAATGAAAATTAAATTTTAAGAAAATCTTTTTTTTTTATTGTTATAGAAAATTCCGATTATTCAAGTTCGTCGATTGATTTTTTGAAGGAATGAGGTCAACCGGTAAAGTCATAAATAATTAATAAAAAAAAATTAAATCACGACTTATTGCTGATAAAATAAAGTTTAAGTGACGAAATAAAAAAAGAATTTTTTTTATCAAGTGTTCGGCACTTGACTTTAATTGCATAACAAAAACAAGAAGGTTTCCTTCGAATGCAATCGGATGTTCATGAAAATGAAAAAGTGTCAATATTGAGGAGGCATTATTGCTCCATTTAGAGTAATTTAGTGTGATGAAAAGTGAACGAAATTCAGTCATCGTGAAGATATTTCATGACTAGTTCCATTCAATTATTATGTGTGCATTATAATAAAAAGTCAACAAATAAATATTATTCCGTACTTACTTACATACATCTCTTTGCTCTTATCATCGTAAACAACAAGTCAAATAATTAATAATAAAAAATAATATATAGTATAATTATGTGTGTACAGAACGAGAGACGAGACGAGATTTTGTAAAAAAAAATATATGAACTAGTAACAAGAACATCAAAAGACTATAATTCGTGCCAAAATGTCAAAAGAACCGTTCAATTTAAAAATGGATTTACTCAAAACACCACGGATCCAGAAGATGGGAGTCTCAATGACATCCCTAAAATCAACTACCGACGATGATGATGCCACAAGTGGATTGGGTTATCAAAATACTTTGGTGAGTATTTCAAATATATTTTAATCGATTATTTTAAGCTTCAAGGAAGTAGCCATGAATTGTTTTCTAAACTAGAACGCGTTACAATTAGTAAACAAATGAAGCATAAGCAACAAAATCTCTTTTTTAATTCAGATTGTAAGTTATTGATACTCACCCCATATTGATATTATATCGATTAGCACCTCTACCTGAAATATGATAATTGGTCCTGTCAATGATCTTTCTTATTCACAAGCAAATGCTATATTCCTTCTATCTCAATCTCCACGATCTCGTCAATAATGGCAATAATCATTCTAAATTTTATGTTAATTTACTTCATGTGCAAATATCATTATTATCGTTATTTCATTGAGTGTCATTTTGGGATTGGACAAAAGTTTTGGGAAATGTTGACTGTTTAATTGATTTTTGAATTTACCGTTAAATTATTTTTTAAATTTTATATTCAAAAAAATCTAGTACTTCATTTATAATAAATTGTAATTTTGTGAATTTCGGCTATAATTGGCATAATTATAGTGATTTGTATACACTATCAGATAGAGAATTTCTGTTTTAGTAGTTTAACTACCTTTTGTGTTAAATTAAGTGTCATTTTGAAAGCAAATTTCGTGTTTTTCTATAAATTAATTTCATTTTTGTTTGTAAACAATCAACCAAATTGAAATTTTTGAAAACCGTTAACATTTGATTTTTAAAATTTAACGGTTTTTGTCAACCAACTTAAATATAAAGTCATTAACATGTTTAAAAATCTTACCTTTACTTCCACTCAAACTAATCTCAACAAAACTTATTTGAAATCATTTGAAGAAAAATAAAATATTTTATTACTAACATGCAACTGTTGCAACCAATCAAGGTCGAGCGGAAAAAAAACTGTCTGTTCTATGGAAATAGAAATAAATGTGCAATAAATGAAATGCTTCAAAATATGCGGAAAGTCTCAAGTCCTTAGAATTTGTCAATGTAAACTTGATTAGAAATTTATTTTCATGTGTCATTCAACTTGATGATCTGTTCAGCATTGCTTGACTTTCTTTTACTTGATTGAATGTTCTGCTATTTTTTTTTCGGAAGTGACTATTCAAGCATGATTCAGATGTTTTTAAAACAAAAAAGAACTGACGAAAATTTTACTCATCACAAAAAGATGGAAGAGCTAATTCAACATGTTAATGACTTTGTTGCCATTGAAAATTTGTTAAGGTTCAATTTGTTATTAATAAAATTAGCTAAATTGCTTCTGGTAACTTAATCGTGTTATTGGATATTCCGGTTTTCACCTGTTTAAACTATCTAGAAAAAAATTAAATGCACAGATTCATAAAAATTACACAGCACGTGATTATAAAGCTGCCTTTTAAATAATTTATGGATATTTTTGCAATTATCGTTGTCGATGACTTAATGGGAATAAGTCAAACAATTCTTATGAATGTGACATAACTTACAAACTCATAGATTCTTATCTTTTGAACAAATGATGTGCTTGAAAAACTAGCTGTCAAAATTCGTGCCTTAAAAATAGCACTTTGTGTACTGACAACTTTCTTTAAAATTGTAATTTCTAAAGGACTTTGAACCTTTGTCTGACGAAGAAAATTAATTTTACGCAAAATATCACATGACAGGCTTAAATCAGATGTAAAGGTGATTTTTTTGTGAGTCATGACTGTTATTATCATCAATTCTTGTTACATCCAGTTACAATTTTTTCACGTGATTCGAAAATGTTTGTATGTCATTATGGATATAAATGCACAGCTTTTTGAGTGATCATCCTTCAGAAATTAGGACTGGGATCATTTCAAAGAGCTTTAGACTTAAAGACTGAAACTTGCTTGTAGATTGAGTTATGATTGTCTAATTTCATGAGCATTGCGCTCAATTCTTTGCTTAGATATCTGCTTCTAATGGAAATCGAATTCACGTCCTTACAACAGGATGGATATCAGATTAGTAGACTGTTACCTTGCCACTTGAGCACTCGATTATTGAGATTTTCCTGTCGGCACTTGCAGATTTGGGTTTTTGGGGTCAAAACCCCTTCCACCATAGATTTTTCTGTCTATGCCTCAGCCTCAGCTTCCATTAAGTTTCTACAAAACTAAGAATTACTATTTGCTTCTTAAATCAGCTTTACTTTTATAAAAAATCTTTACATGCCGCAATAAACTATCAAAAAAATCTACAAAAAGTGTGCTTCTCATTATCAAGTCACCACGTTCCTTGTTCACACTCTTATCGTCATCAAAATGAAATAAAAAACAATCACAGTACTTACGTCTCCACTTTTATAACATGCAATTAAAGAATTGTATAGCTTCGCCGAAATTTGTCATATGTCAAAAAGCAAATAATGAGAAAATTATCATAGAATTCTTATCAGCAGCTACGTAATAATGGAATCAAGTGGTAAATTAAAAACTAATGTTTAATAATCAAAATCTGGGCAAATTAATTTTTTTGTTATTGATTTTACAATGCTGATAATGTAAGTCTTAAGAAGCTATAGACGATCAATCAATTGGCTTGACAAGGAAAATTAAATTTGAAAAAAAAATCTTTGGATCGGCTTTTAAGTGATTTTAAATCCCTATAAAAATTAGTTGAACAAGTTTTTCGATGTTGCAATATTAGCACTTAGGTAACTGATAAGTCTGGATCGAAATATCTACTTGAGAACATCCTGATATGTATGATTGTTCAAGATGGTCAGTGGCTTAGTCTGAATTTCTTTTAAGATTGTAAAATTTTAAAGATTACCAACTTTAGCTCCGAACGATCAGAACGAGACCACACGCAAATCTGTTCTCAAATAAAATGCGCTCAGTTCAGAAGCAACTGATCACGTTTATGTTATTCCTGTTGATTCCATATCAATCGCCACAAATAAAGAAATCACGGCAAATGTTGACAGGGTCTTTAGAACTCTTTGATTCCATTGATTTATCAAAAGCGATCACGATAAGAAAATTTGGCATTTGCCTCATTATATTCGCATTATAGTCAATAATCGACAGTCAGTGTACAATTTTCAAGGAGGAACCGAGCACATAATTAATTCAATTTTTCAATTAAATATTTTGTAAGTAGCTATTTAACTGTTATCTTAGTTCGAGACTTATTTGACTATACAATTACGTAAATGCTCTCACCTTTGGAAAAAGATGTGTCGACCTTACTGACTTTACAAGTTCTATTGGATGATACATTTTAGGATCGATTAGGAAATTCCATTTCTGATCAGATATTGAATGAGATTTTATTATGAATATTTATTGTTGCTATTAGCAGGTGTTGAAAAAATTTGGAGTCAATTGATGAAATTGATCATATACTGCATGTATGTTGCTGTATGGCAATATTGGGGGCCGTTCACTTATGACGTCCAGAGGGGGGGGGGGTCAGCAAGAAAAGAACAATAGAAATTCCAGAAAATTCATTGTTCTTTTTTGAAAAATGACCGATAATTTCGTACGTCATAAGTGAACGAACCCTTGGGAGTTTATTAGGTTTAAATTTATAAAAGTTGTCCAAGCTTCCAATTTAAATTCTTAACTACCTCAGAGAAGATATGCTAACGTAACTTTGTGATCTAAGCCAATCTTAGTCATGCAAAGATAGCTAGTTCCGTGAAACTTCCAAACAAGCACTAGCCCAAATCTCAATATTTACAATTCCTGATGAAAAATTATAATTAAAAAGTAAAGACGACAAACATCAAAGATAACAGATTCTTCTATTCGAATCCACACATGCAAAGGTTGCAATATTTATCACAAGTATGTATGCTAATAAGGTATGCACGATATCATACACTCAGTACATACGTATTGATTAAGAAAACCTTCCCAGATGTGTTTTTTAATTTAATTAAAAAAATCTTTAATACCGATAAAAGACTATAAAAGAGGTAGCAGTCATCTGATCTCATTCTAGTTCATAGCTTCATATTTGCCGAAATTTTTATCACAAGAGTGCTAAAAGTCTTGTAGCGAAAAATTGATTTAATTAAAATCATCACACACTTTTTCGCACTCCAATGATGATATTATAAAATTATTGAAAATCCATTTGGCAGTCTTGTGCCATGTGTTATCGGTGATGATAGTTTCTGAATCTCAGTGATTTAAAGCAATAATTATTATTCAAAATAATCTCATAAAATAATAATCTCGAAAATGGTTCAAATGAATACTTTAGAAAAGCAAAGGATTAGATATCAGTGTCCAGAATTATGGAGTGATGCACGTCATCAAACAGTTCAGGTTTGTTGGATATACTCTCACAATAAATGACTGTAAAAGTTCTCGAGTATATTTGTATTGTAAATTGTCATTAAGTATCCCGAGAGATACTCTTGACTTATTTTGTGATAAAATGTAAGTTGTTAAGTTCCTTAAAGTCGAATCGACTTCCTTAAAAGTGATTTTTGGATAGAGGCATATTTTATTAAGGAATCATGTTAATTTTACTTCTGAATCTTTCATCAGTTTCCAACAATAAATGTTAAGAAAATTTAAATAAAGGATCATAAAATTTTGCAGAACTGTAAAATAATTACTTTACAGTGCTTAATCTGTCCCTAACCTATGAACAATCAAATCAAAATGTTGGTAACTGTACAAGTAGTCACAACCCTAGTTAAATCGCTCGGAATTTTCATAAAACTTAAGCTATTTTGAACTTGTTAAGCAGATTCTTTAATAGGCATTATCAGTTCCAAATTCGTCAAGAAAAATCTTTTGACAGAAATTATGAAGTGATCCCGTTTCAATTTGCAATTGTATGACCAACTACCCATGGTCAAAATAACGTGAAATTATGAAATAAAAAAAGATGACTTTTAAAGCACGCGGATAGCCAAAAATAAACAAAATTTGCGACTATACGATAATTAAGTTTGATTTGATTAATTTTCACAAATCGAACCATTATCGTCAATTATGGACAAAGATTAGGAAATTCGAAAGAAAGCTCTCAAGTTCTTCATTAAAAAATTCTTAGAACTCAAAAATTCCATCGATTAGTCAAGCACAACTTCCAAATTCTCAAAAAGTATCACTCGGGCTGAAAAGTGCTCATCAAACCAATCAAGCAATTTATGAGAATTAGTTTCATTCACTTTCCTTCTCATAACTCGTCTCGAGAACGTCTCATCATTTCGCCTGCAATCGTCGTCGAGTTCGGAGTTAAAAGAGAAGTGACTCTACACAAACTTAGTGCATTGTAATTTTATTAATCAAGGAAAATTATCCGTGATGAATAAGAACAAGACGATTGTTGTTGTTGGGCTAATTTTAATTAACAGCTGTTCTTTCGTTCTCATTGTCGGATTAATTCTTTTATAAAGAAAAATAAAAAGTTTTCATTGAACTGCTTGAACTATAAAAGTGTCGCGTTTCATATGATTGGAATTTAGATAAAGTCGCATGTTGATTAAATTATCACGAGTGAGTTCCTGTGTATCAAGACGACTATGAGAAGTAAATTATTTCGTTTAGTAAAAAGCAGAACAAATAGTTGTGTGATTACGGAGATTAAATAAAAATACAAAAGTATTCAAGTGTAAATTACTTCTAAACCAATTCGAACTGACTTCAATTTAAGAAGAAACAAAAGAAAAAGAGTCGAAAATTACTCCAAAAATAATGAAGGATCGGGGTCGAGAAAATGATGGACGACAAATGGAACGTAATCGAGATTTTCTCGAGCGCATCATTCATGATGCTGGAGAATTTGGCGAAGAAAATGTCCAGCAAATTGATGAAGAATGGGCTGAGTTTGAAAGAGTCATGAGGTTTGTTTTAACCGTTAAAAACATTAAAATAATTTGAAAACTTCTCAAACTGTTCAAAAAATAAAATTTAACGGATTTTTCAACGAAACTTAATTAAAGTGAGATATTAAGATGCTGTTCATCCTTAATTTGACTCAAAGGTCAACCAATTACCCACTATCCCGTCTATAGAAGAAAATTGTAGCACATAAATCAATGAATTTTCAGACCAATTTATTCTATCAATCCATTTCAATAAAATTCACCATATATCCCAATGAATATACAACAGAAATGAGTGCATTCGTAAAAAAAATGTTTGTCATGTTATTGACTTTCTTCCAAATTCAAACTCATTTCTCTCAAAACAGATTTTTATCTCACATTAAAATTCATTTTTGCTTTTTGTTTCACTTTTTGAAGAGAATTTCGCGAGCGTCGTTTGTCAACAACGTCAATGGATGCTGTACAGCCACGTCGTCGAGAACGACGAGTTAATAGACAAACGTTTTATCCATGCCCGGCGAGTTTCTCAGAAGCAGATCAGTATGAATATGAAGAATATTCTGATGATGATGATTCAAGTTGTTATGACGAAGATGGATATAAGAACACGCTTGTGAGAGTCACAAAAATTATTATTATTATTAATTCTATTAAGAATGAGGAATCGCATGAAAGTCTGTCTTTTCATCTTCTTAAATTTTTCCATTCAAATAATTTTGCACGATTCACGTTTCGATTGACTAATGAATAATAAGCTCACGTTTGAATATGAACACATTATGTATTAAGTATAGTAACCACTTGTTGGAATGCAAACTTATTAATCCTATGAGATGAAAGAGAGAATATCTTTATGATAGCCAAAAAAATAAGTTTATTTCCCATTGTACCTATTTTTATAATATGAAGAAGACACTCTTTTTCATTTTTTTTAATTTAATTTCCTTGATACGTTTTCGGTAGACAATTTTTTTGTGATACTTTCCTCCTCAGTTTAGCAAGTGAATTAGGCCAGTGATTTTCACATAATTGATAATTCTTAATTAAGTTTTTCCCTCATTAAATGGGAATTGAGGATGAATATATTCGGGATTATTCCTTTGAACCGGAATTTATAAGACGAAAGGATTCACTCGAAATGCATCGATCAAGACTTGAACGGACACGAAAGCACAATAAAATGTTTAAATCGAAATCACTGCCGTGCGATTTGGGCAGAGCACATTCGATAGATCTACTTACACAAACTGTCACACAAAATATTCTCGAGGCTGAACTCGATGCATTTAGGACGGTAAATCGAATTCGTATGTTTCTTATTTCCAAATAACACTTTTTGAGTGATCATTAACAAACAAACTGAGCCCTTGAAATAATTTTTTATTTTTCCTATACACCTGTGAAAGATTCACGAGAGAATCTCTGGGGCATGTATGAGGAAAAGAAAAGACATAGTTACAGTCACAATAATACATATTGTCTCACAATGCGACAAAAAAAAATAAATAATATAATGTAGATCTATAAATATCTAGGCTTGTAACTGAACAGCGGAGAGAAAGAATGAAAACTCGTAAAAAAAGTTTCAATAATTTTTTTTAATCATTCGGACAGCGCAATTTCGGATGTATTCTGTTAATTATCATATGTATGACTCGTTTATCCCACATCAGCAATTAAATTTTCATTTTATATTTTTTGTTTGAGACTGTTTGCTAAGTCGCTGTGTGGTGTAGATTAATTTGTTTAACAAAACACACGTGTTATCTGAATAATAATTAAGAAATCTAGATAAGGAAAGCATGAGATGTGTTCTGCGTACTGAAATTAAGTGGTTTTATGATTCATTATCCTAATTTGAAGATGAAAGGACACTTCAGAGAGATTTAAGATTGGGAGAATTCACTAGTTTTATCTTTGCAAAGATTTAACAAATCTATCTAATATTAAAGATTTTCCCTCCAAAAATAATGAATCTTGAATAATTTGTTTTGGGAGCTTTCGAACTTACCATTTCTAACAATGAAGCAAGAGTTTCTCAAAATCAAAACTGAACTTCTTAAACTTCTTGCAATCTAATTTCTCGCCAAATATTAAAATTGTTGATAAGTATGTCTTGAATCTAAAAGTATAGATACACCGCATTGTGAATTCACTATAATAATGTATTAGCCTAAAGTTCCAAAACTTCAGTTACAGTAATATTTTAAACAATTGAAACTATTTCTGCAGACTTTGAAGTTAAATGATCATTTTCTAAATAAATTAAGAAAATTTGAACTTAAAACTCTTCCTAAAAGGATCAATCGCAGACAACTAATGAATAATTCAATATTTAAACCCTTGCCAACAATATGTGTGCTCAATTCCTCATGTCTAATGACGTATTCAACGAAACTCCCAATATATACTAAACAAGACAACTTCCGTAGTTCAATTATAAACAAAAACAACTTGTTAATTTCTTCTAAAAATACAATCTTAAGACAAACTGTATATCCAACAAGCTCATAATTAAGAAACAGCGCTAAAAAGTGTTTTTCCGATGTAAAAATAATCTCTTTTTCACGATCGCAAACCTTGAACCATTCATTGCAAATGTATATACAGACTGTGTACAATTTAGTGGTCAATCATATGTTTGAGGAACTTGAGAGATGCACAATAAGAAAGAACATTTTTTTTTTCTTTTTTACGTCAATTTTTTTTTTCTCATAGTCGTTTTGTTCATCTGTGATGAACATGATTCGTTTATTAGATAAAAAGCACTTAATAATTTTCATCATACATGAGAAAGTGTGAAAATGAACACATTATATCCGAAAATATATGATGATATATATAGAGACTTTTGTGTCATACATTACTATTTGACGTATATGAATACCCGAGTGACACAACATAATCGCCAAGTCACTGTGTCAATGTTCCAAAATAAATACTAGGAAGGGTCATAACCTTTTTAATTCGACGGCAAATAATGAGATTTGGATAAGCCTACATTTGTACTGCTCGGGATATATATATTTTACAGGATAAAAATGAGCATTGAAATGTAAAAACACGACCACGAAAATCGTTGAGTTCTATTTTTAATGAAAAACAAATCTTTTTTTGCCAATTTTTATAAATTTTTTATAATTTCATTCATTTCTCTCAAAGCATTGACTGCAGACGACTTTATTCCCTTCAATTAGTTAAGTCCGTTAAATACGGAGAGTGCTCTTAATTGATAGATTCTTAATTGAGTGTTTATAGAGATAATTATTGTGTAAAAATATAAACAGTCAAGTGCAGTGTGGCGGGAAAAAACATTGACTTACATTTTGTCGTAATCAGGAAGTGACATTCTTGTGAAAAAATAAAAGATTAAATAACTCTTGGGTAAAAGAAGAACAACTTTGTTGTGCAGTGTGACTTGATTTAAAATTATTCAGTACATAAAAATCACGTGGAAAGTGACATTTTATATCCAGTGATACCCTCCTGCCAATCCACACACCTTAAACAAGAACTATTTTTTGAATTTTATTTTTAGATCCATAAAACCTATAATTAAATTTTGTTTTGATAGTACAGGTGTACGAATATACAAAAATGACTATGCCAATGTATATTGACTTAGCGTACCATAGGTAAAAATATATAATTCCGATGCATTGACATTTTTTTTCTATCTATTTTATAATTTTTGTGCAAGCTTTGTTTTCGTCTCAATTTCTATAAGACTGAACAATACTAAATCTTCCTTGCTATACAGCATGATGATTGCATGGCACACCGATTTAATTATTTGCATGACTGCATGTTTTACATTTCAACACCCAATTAATCATTCTTTTTTATTCGATATCCTTTTATATGCTAGATGTATGGTCGCTATACTAAGGACTTAAGTGAATATGCAAAAGACGAAGCACGAAGACTTAAGCAGTTGGACAAGCAGAGAAAAAAGGACGATCGAGCGAGAAATAAGGTAAGGATGATTGTAGATTAAGACGATTCTTATTAAAATGTGATAAAAATCGACAGTTGTGGAAATTTTCAGGAACTTCTTGGCAAAAGAAGAGGAAAAATATTTCGTGCATTTCAATGGTTTTGGCGTAATACATTTGCTAGAATGGGAGAGGATTGGGTTTTCTTAGCACTTTTAGGTGTATGTATGGCTATAATTTCATACTGCATGGACAAAGGAATTTCCATGTGCACAAATGCACGAGTTTGGCTTTACAGAGATTTAGCTGAGCATCCAGTAACTCAATATTTTGCATGGGTAACACTACCCGTATGTCTTATTCTATTTTCTGCCGGATTTGTACATCTATTAGCTCCGCAGTCTATAGGTAAATTCTTAAAAACACATGAGGGTCCTTATTTTGAATGATTTTAATAAATTATTCAAAACATGGACCCCAAGAAAATCAACTGACCATAGATTACTACTTCCAGGTTCCGGAATTCCGGAGATGAAAACTATTTTAAGAGGTGTACAGTTAAAAGAATATTTGACTTTTAAGACATTAGTAGCTAAGATTATTGGACTTACCGCAACACTAGGCAGTGGAATGCCATTAGGAAAAGAAGGTCCTTTCGTGCACATTGCTAGTATCGTTGCACAATTATTAAGTAAATTAGTCACATCATTTCAAGGTATTTTTGAGAATGAGTCTCGCAATACAGAGATGCTTGCTGCTGCATGCGCTGTCGGTGTAAGTATGATTATGCATTCTCCTATTATTTACATCATATGACAGACATAAATTATTGTTTCTAGGTCGGCGCATGCTTCGCTAGTCCTGTTGGCGGTGTTTTATTCAGCATTGAAGTCACCACAACATATTTCGCTGTGCGAAATTATTGGCGTGGATTTTTCGGTGCTGTATGTGGCGCAACATTTTTCCGTCTTATAGCTGTATGGTTTAAAAAATCAGACACTCTTACAGCATTGTTCCTTACAAGCTTTAGTATAGATTTTCCATATGATCCACAAGAATTGATTGCATTTGCCATGATTGGTGTTGTCTGTGGACTTGGAGGTGCAGCTTATGTTTGGATTCATAGACAATATGTTTTGTTTATGCGCTCAAGTAAAAGAATGAACAGCTTCCTTCAGAAGAATCGATTCTTGTATCCTGGAATCCTTGGATTGATGGTAAGTTGAGTAGTTCTTTATATTCGTTATCTTATCTGTAAAGTAATTAGTTTCATTCCTTTATCTATACTCAATTAAATTAATATAAGTATAGATAAAGGATTGGGGGGGGTAAAATCCCCGAAAGATATTAATTCCACGATCCTGCGGGATAATAACCTCGAAAATCGCAAATTTTTAAATGTTCCCTGCGGGATAATATTCTCACTTAGAAATACACGTGGAATTATTATCCTTCCGGAAAGATAATAATCCCAACTATAATTACAAGTGGGATTATTATCTCCCAGGTAGATAATAATTTCACTTACATTTCTAAGTGGGATTATTATCTTTATGGAACACGATTAAAATTATGGATTAAATCAAATCTAAAAACTTATTTGGGCGATTCTCCAGATACCCTGTTTTTTCGTTATAAGCTAGTAGCTTAGAAGAATAAAAAAGTGATTTTTTTGGCTCACTAGTAGCTTAGTAACGAGTAGTAGCTTAGTAAAGAAATTGAACTTCAATAAAAGTTTTGAATTTTTTAACTTAATTAAAGAAATTTTGCTATCTTCTCGATTTTATTTCATTGACAATGTCATAAGGCATTGAAACTGATACTCAGAAAGTTGAAAAAGATTAATTATACTTTATTTTTGGTAGTAGCTTAGTAAAGATTACAAAAAAATTTCAAGTTCAAAAAACTTTACTAAGCTAGTAGCTTAATAACGAGTAGTAGCTTATAACGAAAAAACAGGGTAGGTTGAATTTTTAAAAACAGAACTGTAATTCCACTGCTACTTGAAATTTTTAAATTTTTGAAATACGTTGGGAAAAATGTAAACAAAGACTTGTTTACAAAAAATAAAATTTTGTTTTAATTTATAAAAATCATTTTTTTTATATGTTTTAATTAAACAAAAGGTAATTAATAATTAATATTGCACTCAATCATCATCGTTTCTTTTAAAAATATTCCATTTAAATTTATAACGTATTTGAAAAATTTGAATCTCACAAATTAGTTTCAAGCGCTTTAAAAATTACTCGAAGACAAAATTTTCATCAAAAGAATTGAATTTTCTTGTGAAATTTGTATTAAGCTTAATAAAATTGTTGTCATATATGATAAAGTAGTTCGTTTTCTATCGATTGGTATTTATATCATATGTCAAAGAATAGTTTTTAATACTTAATTTTTGATTATAAAAATCCAAATTCCATATTTTGTCTTCGAGAAATCGTCCGAAGAATCGAAATATTTCCTTAATTAGAGTATATTGAAAGCATTTAATTATACAGATTTGTAGAGTTTAAAAAGTTGTACAATATTAATTTGTCTTTCGAGGCTCTCTAATGGAAAAAAATTATAAAAAATTCATTTTAGTGGTGGTTTTTTGAAAATTTTTATCTGGAGAATCGCCCATTTGTCATAGTGGATAATAATTCCACTTGTATTAATAAGTGGATTTATTATCTAATATTGATCTAATAGGATTTTCATCCAAAAAAAATCCCACTTATTAATTTGTCAATTTGATTATTCCAAAAACTTAAATAAGAAGAAAACATAAATATTGGTTGAATGTTTAAGTTGAAAACTTGGTTTTTTATGCCTTTTGTAAATTTTCTAAAAGCCTAGAGCCTAGATGTTTAATGTATCAAAGATCTTTTCACTCAAAAAATCATATTCACAAAAAATTTTCAATTTTTTGTTTTTGCAAATAGTTTTGAAATGAAGTCTTTCAAAATTTAAAACGTGCGCAACTAATAAATCACGTTTTTATCATTTTTGTCATTGGCAAAATTTGAATTCACGTGATGCAGGATAGAGGATGCAGGGTTTTTTGCTTTTTTGGAAGCAATGGTTGTTTCTACCTTACTCAATATAAAAATAAAGCCTTATCCTTTTTAACGCAGCAAGAATCAAAATGCAATAATTAGAAGTCTCTACACTATGGGGCAAAATGAAAAAAAAAGGGACTTTCACTTTGAAAAATGGACTTTTCCGATTTACACTTTTTGGGTGATTTTTTCTTGTAGAGGACATAAAAGTAGATAGAAATGCCAAATTTCAGGTCATTTGGTGCTGATTTCGCGATTCTAGAGCTGTTTGAAGTTGAAAACTAGTGAAAATTCTGGTTTTTTCATACCATGTTTGAACCGGGAAATATCTTAACTGGTTTAAGATATTGCAAAACGGTTTTCAGTTCCTATTAGTAGTATATAAGAGCTTTATTTTGACATATAACAAAGTTTAGGTTCTGAATGTTTTCGTGCCATTATGGTAGAACATATGTGAAAATTTCAGGAAAATTATCTTCAAACAAGCCGCAACTATCATAAATGAAGAGTTTCCAGGCAAGTAAAAACGCAGTTTTGTAGCCCCATATATCTAGTTTTCAAAACTGTATAAATTTTGAAAAAGTAAGCTAACGTAATTGAGTTATGTTGATTTTAGTAGGTCGTTGAGTATTTGGCCAAAAACTAATAATTCTTTTAAAAATACGAAAACATAGTTTTAAAAATAGTTTTTTTGTGTTTTCTTATGAAAAATAACAATTTAAATGATTTTGTGAAGAAAATTTTTCAAAAACTTCAAAATCTTTCGAGATATAGGGGGTATGTGCTCTCCATCGATTTGGCCATTTGTCACCCTACTTAAACCACTATAACTTTTTTTTGAAAAAATATTTTTTAATTCTGTTTTCGGATTATTGTAGCCTAATGTAATACCTATCCAACGATATATAATACTTGCTAGTTAACTTAGTCCTGGTTATTTATAGGGCTGTTGATTGTGACATACGCAGTTTTTGAAAAATTCCCAAAAATTGCATTTTCAAAAATACCACTTTTAAGCAATCTCGAGTATTTTTTTAGAACTTTTTTATGTTTATTTATGACATTTATGAGATTATAAAGCCAAAAAATTAAATTTAGAAACTTTTTACTTCCCTAGTTAACAACTTTGTAAAGTACCCTTGGTAGTCACTATCAGGTGTGAAAATCTCAGTTTTGAAACTATTTTATATATATACTCGTGAAATTCTCTCTACACATCATATCAGTTTTGAACTTCATTGAACAAGTCACTTTCAAAAATGAACCAAAATTCAACACTTACGAAGAAAACACTCTGTGAAATTCTTCGCGACAAAACGTTAAATCTTGCAACACAGCACACGTACTGTTTGGCAGTAATAGAAGAAATTCATGGGAGAGAATTAGCGGAATCACAGAAACCAAGTTTAATTAATAAATTAAACAAGCTGAAGTCAAAGTCAAAAATGTTTTGTAATCAGTCAAATTGGAATAATGCATTAAGAGATCATGCAGATTTCTATGAAGAGGAATTTGAAGTTGACTCACGATACTTCAGCGAATCTAGTGGAGGGATTCTTTTTGAGGAAGAATCTATATATGAAGCAGAAAATGTTACTGACACAGATGAAGATATGGATGAGATTGAATACATCGTCCATGACATAGAGCCTTCATCCAGCAAGGGCATCAAGAGGAAATCATTTGAACAACTAACAAGCGATAAGCATCGACGTAGAAGAGTGGACGAATTAGATATCAGTTTAAAAGAAGCAAAAGGATCATTGTTATCAGTTCTTCACTTGGCACTTCGCCTTTCTAAAGAAGAAGGAAAAGTAGAAGGAGCTAAAATGTTAAAAGAATTTATTAAGGCGTGCCAAAAAGGAGAGGATCTTCCAGAAAAAACTACATCAAAACCTAAACAACTAGATATACATGTAGCTCTAGGTGTAAAAGCCTTTAACAATTTATCTCGAAATCAGTACAACAATATTCGACAAGTCCTGAAACTGGAATGCGAAAACGTTTTACCGACAGCTAAAAAATTGTTGAGGTTAGAGAAACAATGCTATCCTGATGACATAACGGTCACCGATACAAGAGCCGTTATTCCACTAAAAAATTTGACACAACTCACCACAAAAAGAGTTATTGAAGCACACAATTCAGAAATATACGACAAAATCAAAATATTACCTTCAGAATCAACTCCAAAAGTTATTCATGCAGAAATGATCGTCACATGGGGGATGGACGGAACAACAGGACAGTCACAGTATAACCAAGGAAAAACAAATTCAAGAAATCAAGAACGAGATAGAACACAACCGAATCAAACGACTAATAATGAAATTATAGAAGACAAATCACTATTGACAGTTAGTATGAGTGTTCAGCAACTACGACATGAAGACGAAAACGGAAATTATATCTGCTTATGGGACAACGAAAACAGTCAATCTGTATACTCAGTACGACCAATACAACTTGAACATGCCAAAGAAACCAGAGTAAATGTTAGAAGGATATATGAAGATATAAAAAATCAAATATCAAAACTTGAACCACAGAGATTCATATGTGAAGACATGCTTTTGGAAATTACGTACAAATTCTACCCCACAATGTTAGATGGAAAAGTTTACACAGACCTTACAGAAACATCAGGATATTGCAGATGTCAGCTTTGTAGATCTGGACCAAACGAGATGAGTGACATAAATAATCTTGATAATGGAAGATTCGAAAAAACACACAGAAAATTTGTTAAAGAACACTTGTATTTCAACACTCAGCCACTTCATACATCAATGAACGTACTCACGACTCTATATGATTTGTCATATAAACAATATGTTCAAAAACACTGGCTGGAGATAACTGAAGAGGAACAGATTGTTTTAGATGTTGAAAAGGCTAGAATAAAGCAAGCAATGTGGGATGCATTTAATGTTCGTGTACTCGAACCAAGACAAGGGGGAGCTGGATCATCAGATACAGGAAACGTTGCAAGAAAAGTTCTTGAAAATCCAGAGCTTCTAGCTAAAACTCTATATCTTAATGAAGAAATAATTAAACGTATATGCTATGTGCTAAACCAAATTCGAAGTTTAGAACCAGTTGATGATCTAGATGAATTTGATAGGTACTGTAAAGAAACATACAGAATGTTTTTGACAACATATAGTTGGTTCAAAATACCAGTAACACTTCACAGAGCACTTGCTCATGCAAAACACTACATGGAAGCCTTACCATTACCTCTAGGAAGAATGAGTGAAGAAGCCGGGGAGTCACAAAACAAATATCTCAGACAAGATAGAGAACTACGTGCCAGAAAAACTTCAAGAATACACAGTTTTACGGATGTTATACATAGAAGACTCTACAGTTCTGATCCAGTAATAATAAAAAAATATATGGATGTAATAAATAAAAGGTTAATGAGAAAAAATGTCCAAGAAGAAGGTGAAACACCTGAGCAACAAACAGAAAATGAGGAAGAAGATGAGGAAGAAATTGAATTGATTGAGCCAGAAGGAGAAGGTTATGACTTTTCCCAAGCAGAAAACTATGATTATTCCGAAGGACAAGACCATGAATATTCTGAAGAAGCAAACAACGAATGAATAAATAAATTTCATTAAATATGATAAAAAAATGTAAATTAAATTTCTTGACAAATAAACAAAATTTCATTAAACTAAAAATTAAACTTTATTAATTTTACCTATTATAGTTGCGTATCAGAGTATTTTTTTTTATTACTCTAATGATAATAGCTTTTTTCAGACTTAACATTTCTTAAAAAAGTCCAAAAAATACTCGAGATTGCTTAAAAGTGGTATTTTTGAAAATGCAATTTTTGGGAATATTTCAAAAACTGCGTATGTCACAATCAACAGCCCTATAAATAACCAGGACTAAGTTAACTAGCAAGTATTATATATCGTTGGATAGGTATTACATTAGGCTACAATAATCCGAAAACAGAATTAAAAAATATTTTTTCAAAAAAAAGTTATAGTGGTTTAAGTAGGGTGACAAATGGCCAAATCGATGGAGAGCACATACCCCCTATATCTCGAAAGATTTTGAAGTTTTTGAAAAATTTTCTTCACAAAATCATTTAAATTGTTATTTTTCATAAGAAAACACCAAAAAACTATTTTTAAAACTATGTTTTCGTATTTTTAAAAGAATTATTAGTTTTTGGCCAAATACTCAACGACCTACTAAAATCAACATAACTCAATTACGTTAGCTTACTTTTTCAAAGTTTATACAGTTTTGAAAACTAGATATATGGGGCTACAAAACTGCGTTTTTACTTGCCTGGAAACTCTTCATTTATGATAGTTGCGGCTTGTTTGAAGATAATTTTCCTGAAATTTTCACATATGTTCTACCATAATGGCACGAAAACATTCAGAACCTAAACTTTGTTATATGTCAAAATAAAGCTCTTATATACTACTAATAGGAACTGAAAACCGTTTTGCAATATCTTAAACCAGTTAAGATATTTCCCGGTTCAAACATGGTATGAAAAAACCAGAATTTTCACTAGTTTTCAACTTCAAACAGCTCTAGAATCGCGAAATCAGCACCAAATGACCTGAAATTTGGCATTTCTATCTACTTTTATGTCCTCTACAAGAAAAAATCACCCAAAAAGTGTAAATCGGAAAAGTCCATTTTTCAAAGTGAAAGTCCCTTTTTTTTTCATTTTGCCCCATAGTGCTCTAAGATGCCTCGTTATTGAGATTTTTCCTGATTTACTTGCCTTGATGCTTGTTTGCTTACCTATCATGCGATTTTCTCATCAATGCTACAGCCAATTTAAATTCTGTTTTTGCCCATTTGCTTTTTTTCCTCAAAATGCGAAAAACTGTTTTTCAAGCTGAACAAAAATAAAGTGAATACGGTGTGAATATAAATAGATTTTAGGATATAAAATTTTTTTATATTCACATAGTTTTCACGTGTGAATCTATTGGTTTTGTTCAGATTGAAAAATCAGTTTTTCGCATTTTGTGAGAAAACAAAGCAAAATTGGTTATAAAAGGTCACAGAAGAAAAGTTTGTGCCTGAAATTTTACATCAATTTCAAAAACAGATTTCAAATTGGTTGTGGCATTGCTGAGAAAATCGCAAAATACGCTTTCTGTAAGCAAACAAGCAAGCAAGCAAGTTAATCAGCAAGAAATCTCAATAACGAGACATCGTAGAGACTTCTAGTTTTTAACATTTGATCCGTGCTGCTCTATAGAAGAGCTGTATTGTTTTTGGACAAGGTAAGAACAGCCGTTGCTTCAGAAAAAGCAAAAAACTTTCCTTTCTTACGAATTTTTTTAAAACAAAAGTTGACTGTGATTTTTATAAAATTCAAGTTTGGATGAAAATTTTTTTTAAAAACTTTTAAAGAATGTTCGTTAAGCTTTAGACCTTCAAACTTATGCTGAACGAAGCTCAGCTCACTCGCTAGCTTTATATCTTCAAACTTATGCTGAGCGAAGCTCAGTTGACTTATCAAGCTTCATACTGCTTCATACCTTCATACTTATGCTGGGAAAATCTTGGTCTATCCATTAGACTTTTGATGGTACGGTGTGAATATAATCCGCATTGGGTTTCTGCCCGATATACTAGTTCTGACAGGTTTTATTTTAAGCTTTTCTTCAAAAGAGCTCAAGTTTAAAAGAACTTACAAAATATTACGTTTGAATTTTGTACGAATCACTTTAATTATTTGCTGAACATTTTCAATAAATTTGTGGCCATCAGTTTATTTAAGTAACCCTGTATACCTGAATAATCAGAATGATTTCGAAATTTTGAGATTATATGTCTTAAATGTTCTAAAACCATTGGAAACCTTCTTTTGGCTTGTAGACATGGTTAAACAGCATCAGAACTGCCATCATTTTAAAATTCTAGCTAATTTAATAGGAATTTGAGCAACAGAATTTTAATTTTGCGTCCTTTTTATGTTTAAATCTTTACATTTTTCTTAGCAAAATGTGTAAACAAATATTATGATTATATTTATAAATCTAATTTTGTTAAGGGCAATTTACAATTATTTGAATGACTTTTGGAAAATTTCAGGAAAGAATCGAAAATTTATTATTTTGCCCATTAGAGGTTAACATATCTACTTCTAAACATTTGAACAAAACTGTGATTTTTAAACAGTTGAATGAATGAAGCGAAACAAAATGGAATTACGGCTACATTTTCTTTAAACATTCGAGCAAATTTCGAACATAATTTTATATGGAATAGCTAACATCTTTAGATCAGAAAACCCACCTTGATTTTATTTTTTAAACAATTTAGAATAATATATTTTTAAAAAGCAAACATTCAACCAATATTTATGTTTTCTTCTTATTTAAGTTTTTGGAATAATCAAATTGACAAATTAATAAGTGGGATTTTTTTTGGATGAAAATCCTATTAGATCAATATTAGATAATAAATCCACTTATTAATACAAGTGGAATTATTATCCACTATGACAAATAAGTTTTTGGATTTGATTTAATCCATAATTTTAATCGTGTTCCATAAAGATAATAATCCCACTTAGAAATGTAAGTGAAATTATTATCTACCTGGGAGATAATAATCCCACTTGTAATTATAGGTGGGATTATTATCTTTCGGGAAGGATAATAATTCCACGTGTATTTCTAAGTGAGAATATTATCCCGCAGGGAACATTTAAAAATTTGCGATTTTCGGGGTTATTATCCCACAGAATCGTGGAATTAATATCTTTCGGGGATTTTACCCCCCCCCCCCCCCCCCCCATCTAGATAAAGCTCTAACCAGGTCATTAACCTTTTGCAATATTTCGTTGTAGCTACATGTCTACAAATAAATTAAACTTGACATTTATTTTCATGTAAACTTGATTTTTATATCTTGGCAGGTTGCTACAGTCTCATATCCAAATGGCTTAGGAAGATTTATCGCCGGTGAACTTAGTACACATGAGCAGGTTAAATCTATTTAAATTCTGAATTTTAAACATGCTTAAATTTTATATACTTCCAGGTCTCAAATCTATTCACTAACTTTACATGGTCAGAACCTAATTTAAGTGTCGAGCAGGCAGCTGTTGTAAGATTTTGGACAAATCCATACACAAATGAAGTTTTTAGTAATTTAATTTGTTATTTATTGTACACAGTAAGTGATTGCTTTATTAATTATATCCAGCATGTTAATAGCTTATCTAAATGTTACTTTCTAGTTTTTCTTCTCAATTATAACCTCAACAATTCCCGTACCGAGTGGAATTTTCATTCCTGTATTGAAAATCGGTGCTGCATTCGGAAGAATTCTTGGTGAGGGAATGTTCTTGTGGTTTCCAATGGGAATCAGATATGGAGGCTTAGTAAATCATATAATTCCTGGAGGCTATGCTGTGGTAAGCTTTATTCTAATTGTATAGTATATAATAATAATAATAATAATAATAATCCCTTAAATCACTATTAATCACATACTGTTAGGTTGGGGCCGCTGCATTTGCAGGCGCTGTAACTCATACGGTGTCTGTTGGTGTCATTGTATTCGAAATGACTGGTCAAATCACCTATTTAGTTCCTGTAATGATAGCAACACTCATATCTTGTGCCATAGCGACAATTCTACAGCCCTCAATGTATGACTCAATTATTCTTATCAAAAAGTTGCCATACTTGCCAGATCTCTTGCCATCTGGAAGTGCTATGTATAATTTCTCTGTAGAAGACTTTATGGTTCGTGATGTTAAATATATTTGGCAAAATATTACTTATCAAGAGTTGAAGGAAATCTTGAAAAGAAACAAGCAGCTTAGAAGTCTTCCATTAGTTGATAATCCAGATACGATGATATTGCTAGGTTCAGTTCAGAGATATGACCTCATTAAAATGATTGATAAGCATATTGGACGTGAAAAGAGATTAGAAATGGCAACAAGAATGAAGAAGGAAGCAGAAGAAAGAGAAGAACAAGAAAGAATTAGAAAATTACAAGAAGGACCTAGAAGACAGTCAAGATTTGAAGTTGTGCCTGCACCAGACATAATTAAGCTACGTGAAATTGCCAATAATGAAATGCTCACACCACAAGCAAAGAAAGAAAGTTCTCAATTTACACCAGTATTCGGTACTCAGCCAAAGAAATCCATTTTAAAGAAGACTAATTCATTTACGATGAAGGGCTTCAGTCCATTATCTCCACATAGTCCATTATCCACACCTTATACAACTATAACAGGTGCAGAGAGTCGAATTCGTTCTGCTTTCGATATTATCTTTAGAAAATCAGCAACATTACAAGATGTTCAAAATAATGATCCTGAAATGGGATCTAAGAATTCAATTCAAACGCCTAGTATCGATGGCACTTCCCACTTTCCATCTACAACAGGTATTTCCAAAAAGGTTCAACTTCCTCGCGAAAGAGTCTGTGACATGTCTGCAGAGGATCAAAAACTTTGGGAAATGGATGAGATGGCTAAGTCAATTGATCTTGAGGCTGCAAATGTCAACATTGATCCATCGCCCTTCCAGCTAGTAGAGAGAACGTCTTTATTGAAAGTCCATTCGTTATTCTCAATGATTGGCATCAATCATGCTTATGTCACAAATGTTGGAAAGCTCGTGGGTGTTGTGGCATTGAAAGAGGTATGCATTTGATCTCTAAGATCTAGTTTAAAGCACTAATAACTTTTTATTGATAAATTAGCTCCGAAAAGCAATCGAAGATGTGAATAGTGGAAATTTTGTACCAAAGCCGCAGCTACAAGAAGTGAAAGTTCCTGACACACCAATATCGCCATGCGCTGAGCCCTTACTGAACAAAGAATTAATGAAGAATGAAGTAAATAATCAAAATACTAACAACACAGTCAACTCTGTTGATTCCCTATTCCAAACAAACTCAAATTCAGAGAATTGCTCAACCGATATTGAGCTAGACAATATTCGAAATACATTAAGATTACAATGATTTATGATAAAATATGAAACTTTTTAACTTTATTATGTATCTCTTTACAATCATTCGAATATATCGATAATATGATGTTTAAAGTCTCGTAGGTACACAATTTTTTGATAATTTATCTCTGTTGCAATGCAATTAACAAGTCTTTCTGGTTTCTTGCTTACATTATTTTTATGTAGAAAACAAATATTCCGGCATGATTTACTAATGATTATAATCTTTCCTATCTGCTTTTAAGCATGTCACAAATCGAGCTTTCTCTTAAAATCTATTAATTTGTTATTTTTTGGTTTTTGATAATATTTGTATTTATTCTGCGTTCATTAAGTTGCTATTTGACATAAAAATCAGATTTGTTTACATTCCTGCATGTTTTTAACATCTTTAAATTCATAAATGGGAATATTTACAAATATTATCAAGAATCACACTTCTCAGATTTTAACATCCACTAAAGCTTCATTTTTCTTTTATTTCCAGGGTTAAATGGATTAACTTTAATGAAACCTCGAATGCTTCATCTTTAGTCATGTGATTTTACATCAAAATCTTTTTATGTATTAAGTTAAATTACAAATTTAAATGACGTTTTTATTTTATAATTATTTAACAACCTTTTCTGCTTCCTTGTCATTCATTTCTTTTTTTAATGATAAAGACAATCTTTAAAGACATTTTTTTAGAAACATAAATTGATCAAATAGAATTTAAGTGTAAGTTATCAATGAGGAATGTAGAAGACGACGAAATAGATTTTGTCATTAGACATTACAATAAAATTATGTAAAAAGTCATCATGTGATTTGTTTAAAATAAAATAAATTTATGTCTTTTCAAAATAAAAATGCATTTTGTCATCAGTAAAGTCCATTAATAGAACTCGGTCGCGTATAAATTCGATTTCTATTTGACATTTGAATCTTCTCAGCATCAAGTCGACCTGAACAAAAAATTGCTAATCTTTCCTGTAAATTTAAATTATTTTATTAGAAATCTTTGTTGTTTTATGGATTTTTATGACCCCAAATTAGCAAGGAGGAGTTTCTTCGCAGGTAATAAAGTGCATTTTTCAACAGCTATAAAATTTTAAAAATTACATCATGCTAAGGTTCATTAACTTATGACATATTGATGCCATCTGCTAATGATTCCTACCTTGGTTTTTCGTTATAAGCTAGTAGCTTAGAAGAATAAAAAAGTGATTTTTTTGGCTCACTAGTAGCTTAGTAAAGAAATTGAACTTTAATGACTTAATTAAAGAAATTTTGCTATCTTCTTGATTTCATTTCATTGACAATGTCATAAAGCATTGAAACTGATACTTAGAAAGTTGAAAAAGATTAATTAAACTTTATTTTTGGTAGTAGCTTAGTAAAGATTCCAAAAAATTTTCAAGTTCAAAAAAACTTTACTAAGCTAGTAGCTTAGTAACGAGTAGTAGCTTATAACGAAAAAACAGGGTATTTACAACCTGATTTTTACTACCAAATAAATGCTAAGAATTTTAAATATTCGAAAAAAATGCACCGAAAATTAGTATATGACGTCACAAATCAAATTACTCACCAAACTTTTCACAAATATTTCAACTACATACAAAAGTAACGACTGCACAATATCACATTCTTTGGGTGCAATTACTTGAGAATCTTGCGACTGTTTAGGAAACAATCATTTTAATTTAATTTTAATATTATTATCGTGCATTAATGAATCAAAAATGAGATTAGAATTATGACTAGATTCCACCACCAAAAATTACAGACATAAAGAGAAGATTCAATCAATAAGAAAAGTAGGAATAATAAAGTTTCGATAAATTTCTTCAGAAATGACTATAGTTCCCATGCATGTTAACTCGTTAATAGATTCAAATAAGGAGAAAAAGTTAGTATTATTAATTACATCATGATCAACACAGACTATGAAATTTGTTGAAATACAAACCAATGCGCTATTTGTGTGTTCTTGAACTTTTTCGTATTTTGTATGGATTTTGGAGAGTATACTTTGGGCATTTTTAACTTGGATGGCCTGTAAAAGAATTAAAATTTTCTAGTTTAACAGATTTTAAAAATCAAAACTTAACGATGTTTTCAAATTTGAATTTTAACTTTAACGAAAGTTTTTGACGAAGTTTTTTTCAAAATAAAATTTAACGATTTCTTTAATAGGAATTTACCTTCAAAATTGAATCCGTCCAATAAAGCACATGATGCAAGAACTCTTGTAGTGATTGTCTTATTTTGCGAGGTATTCTACTCAGATGTTTGGTTGTAAAGTTAATAAGGTGAACAATTTTCCTAGCCGTCTCCCTAAATTTACACATTAATGAAGCTTTAAGCATGTAAAATTAAATGCTCACCTTGACAAAAGAACAAAGAGTTGCTCCAAAGTTTCAGGTCGTTGTTGATTTTCAGGCTCTTTTTGACTGAGGTAGGCGTATAGTTCCTTGAATTTTACGTATGCTTCTTTTGGGTCCTTTACAATCAGTTCCATAGCGTAGAATAGAATATGAACGTCATCCTTAAGTGCTCTGATTTCAGCTGCTGTTTTATAAGACAATCGTGTCTTAATTTTCTTTGTGAGACGCTTACTTCTGCGGTATGTAAGGACAGCATGACTCTTTCCCTTAAATCCATTTCCATCCACAGTATCATTTCCTTCATCCTCAGTTTCATCAGGTAAATATTTGTCAACTGCTTTATCAGCGAAAATCAATGCATGATCAGCAATATCACCAAATGAGTCAGCACGTTTCATGACAGGCTTTACTACACGATCAGCTACATACTCTTTTGTATTCCAATAAATCATTTGCGGCGGTAAATTGATATTAGGCACAACAGACTCAACAGATTCCAGAATTTTTACACCGAAATTATCAATTTTATTTAACGGACCTTCTACAATGTTTAAAGCCGGCTTTATAGCTTCAATAAGAGCAAATGTCACATTCTCCGAGACATTCAATGACCAATTTATCAATCGATTTGAATTTTTAAAACGACTATAGACACCATGACCAGCTCTAATCGAACTTTCAACAATCGGAATCGACGTAAACTTATCAAAAGACTCCATTCTGATGTTCGAATGTGTGTGGATTATCATTGAATTCACTGTAAAATAATTAATTATTTTATTATGTAAATTATCACGAAGAAAAACAAAAAAGTTTAAAACGTCGAATTGCGACCTTTGGAACTCTCTTTGATTATTCACTATTTTCTATTTCTCAAGGACAAAGGAACATCGCAATTATTATTAAAGGTGTGTAGCTTAATAATTTAAATAAATATAAATTGCAATCAATAAAGCTACTGCCTGCCTTTGTATGTTTTCTTAATTACACTAGTATATTTATTTACCCATTTTTTTCAATAACAGCGACACAACAACCTGATCGCTTGACGTTAAGTTTTTCACTGTGCTCAATATTTCCGTATAGAGAAAAACTTCTCATTCTCAATGATTCTCACTCTGTTTACTGATTTACTCAATGGCATGTATGCACACACAGTTCCTAATATTACATTTTGCTATGTTTGATCTCATTTTTTTTAAATTAGACATGCACTTCCTATTGCTATCTACGCATATTTTCATATCACATGCTATCTAATTTGAACTCATTTTTTAAGCTTCACTCACATGCCGTGAGATTCTCACAGAGAATAATAATTTTTGAGCATGATAAGAGACTGGAAGTAGCTTTAAAAAGAGCAAATATTTTTATTTGACAGAATTGCATTATCAAAAAGATTATTACAGCATTAAGTTAATTTTAGATTTTTGATTAATCTCAGACAGTCTTTAATTTGTATAGCTAGCTCTTTTTTCCTTCAATCGCATGAAATTCTGACAAGATTGTTGATATTGCTAACCGGAATCTGTGAAAATGTTTTAATGACAAATTGATTGTCTGGATCTTTCCTCGATGCTCTAAATGTAGAATTATTGTAGGGCTTTGTCCACTTTCTATTAACGATATGTTTATTCGAGTCTGTAGCTTATCAATTGGCTTTAATAGCCTCATTTCCTGCATTTGATCGAACAATGTCTGATGATTAGAAAGTAAAACTTTAGACAGGTCATCAACACATTCGTCTGAGAATTTTAGTTCTTTCAAAGCTTCTGACAAATCTTGAGCATGGACATTTTTAGATCTAAGAAATGTTTCCAGTAAGATTGAAATGGCTGTAAACATAATAGCATAATCCTCAGCCTGTATCTCACTTGCTGATGCAATCTTTATATATTCTTTATCATAAGCTTCTTTCGAGTACTTCTTTTGTTCTAAGAATGCTACACATACTGTAATTAAAGGAATCAACAAGTAAAAAATATTTGATGAAAGTTTTATCAAAGTATCTTACATTTAAGGATAGACCGCAATGTAGGTTTGTTGATTTTTGGAATGTAGCTTAAGTAATGCTTTAGATCACGGCCCACATTGAATTTAAAGCTGTTCATTTTAATAGTTTTAAGACAAAATTCAAATTTTACATGAACGGCTACTACTTTTGTTTACATTCCAATATTGGAAGGCTTCCAATTGGATTATATCAGCTGATTCCAATAAGAAGTATACAGCAGTGTCTGCAAGCCTTTGTGTCACGGATTAGAGTTGTGCTGCAGACTAAACGTTTAGCAGACACGGACATAAACAAAAAGATTGTTATGAATTTATTAGATTCAAAAGTCTCAGAAAAACTATGGACAATCAGCTCAGAATGTGTAAAAGACGATTATTACTGCCTGCATAACTTAATATCAGCAGATGATGCAAAACGGAGAATTGGATTTATGGCATTTTCAGTCTCTAAGCCACCGATTACGATAATTTTAGAATGCAAGCTCAAAATCGACTTAAACAGCATCAAGGTAAGCTTAATTAAATTTTAAAAGTGCTCCTAAGACTAGCAGGATGTTTTCAGATCCATTCAGTGTTGGATTCCTTAAGATCTACAAGATTCCAAATTATGGTTGAATTTAATGATGAACAAGCTCTCAAAACCAGAACAATTGCTGATATTACAGTGGACGATGAATTTAACGGTTTCTGTATAAGCAATGTGCAAGATACAGGAACAGATGAAGCCTCTCTCAAACACATAGCAATAGAAGATCATTTACAAAAGTACATCAGGGATTTTAATAAGTTAATTATAGTAATTAAGGACACAAAACTGAAAAGAGCTCCAGTATTAAAGAAAATCGAAATCCTCGGGACATTGACTGGCACAAATAAAAAGGAGGAAGTGGATGAGATAATGAATTTGCTAAATCCCATTCCAATTATACAAAACAGTAAGGAAGACATCCCGCAAATTCCAGGAAGCAGCACATCTGAAGAATTCCAAATCCCAGAAGAGTTTCTTGATTCAATAACTATGGACATCCTTAATCTTCCATACATCCTACCTTCGGGAGCAATAGTTGATGAAACAACATTACAAAAGCATAAAAGACGTGAAGAAGCCTATGGACGATATCCATCAGATCCATTTACAGGCGTGCTATTTAGTGCTAATTCAGAGCCAAAATTTGATGCAGCGCTGAAAAACAGACTGGATGTATTTAAGTTAAAGTATTCACATGAAATTGAGATTAAAAACTCATGCAGATCCGTTGGACGAAAAGAGAAGCTTTGTGAGCCGTCCACGAGTAAACAATTTAATAATCACATCTCGAAAAAAATTAAATTGAATAAAGAATCTTCGTCGCTTGATGACATAATTCAGACAATTTACAGGAACAAGCAGATCTCAAGTTTTATAAATCCTCAACAGCCACAATCAAGCATTAATGTTTGTGCAAAGTGTAATTCAAAGGACAATATAGTTTTATATCAAATTTCTACATGCAATCACATTTTCTGTAAAAAATGCTTAGTTCAATCCAATTCCGTATGTTTTGCATGCTCAACAACATTTGAGAACAGACATGTCGTGAAGCTTAATTTGTGAAAAAAATATCACTATTTTATATCCTGGATGTATTTTATACTCACATTTTACAAATGAATAAAACTTAATTAATTAATTAGTAAAATCCAAGATGATTTTGGAACCAATAAAGCCTCCAACATTTAAGGCATTGCTTAATGCTTCTTCATAATTTTTATAAGATATTAATTCATGCTTTGGAGCTTTTAACTTGCCATCCATGACTAATTGGAACAGATCTTCAAACATTTCAGTCGATTCAGCACATTTGCCTTTTGATTCCTTCCAACGTGTCATCCAGAAGCCCCTAAATTCATGATCTTTAAAGATTAATGCAGAAGTAGGGACAATAACCGGTTCACGTGACATTCCTCCGTATGTTACCATTATTCCTTTCTGTGCTAAATGCTTTGACATTTCTAATCCATTCTTTCCACCTACACAATTTAATGCGAGTTTTGGTGCTGGAAGCTTTCGTTCTTTAAAGACTCTTGTTGATCGACATTGCTCTTCTGTTAATATTTCAGTAGCACCGAGACTTTTAAGATATTTGGTTAATTCACTTAATTCTGGGCGATCTCGAACTATTCCTACATTATTGATTCCCCAAGCCTTACACAATTGAATGACATTCTGTCCACAAGCGCTATTTGCTCCATTTTGAATGACTGTGTCTCCTGGCTTTAATTTGACAAAATCCTTTAACATCCTATATGCTGTACATGGATTAACAGTAATTGTCGCTGCTTCTGGTAATGGAATTCCACTTGGAACCTTCATAAGCTCATCTTCTTGATAAATTGCATGACTTCTCCATGTTCCTAGACCTGTCAATTGATTGTAATTTAATTTAATGCGCAATAGAAAAGATAATAATGTTTACCGGTCTCAAAAGGCACTACAAGGTCACCGACTAGTAATTTTGTGACATTAGGTCCAACTTGAAGAACTTCAGCAACACATTCATTGCCTCCAATAGCTGGAAATGCTGGTTTTACTGGATATTTGCCTTGAATTGTATTAATATCTGCCGGATTAATCGGTGCCTGAAGTATTTTTACGAGTAATTTATCATTATGAGGTGTTTCTATATTCTCTGAACACAATTTGACAACTTTCGATGGCTCTCCATAGTCCGAAAACCGCAAAACGGAAGCAAGACAGCTCATATTACGCCTTACAATCAACATTTTTAATTAATCCAAGCACTTTTCAATTTGTTGATGTTTTGTGGTGGTCCTCGATTTTGATAACTGCAGCTTAAAATTTGAAATAATAGCTTTTTCCTTTCAAAATAACAGTCGAAAAATATTTAAATTTAAGATTCACTGGAAGTCTAATAATTTTGATTTATGACTGTTTACTCCTAGCTGTTGAACATGTGCGTGATATGTGAGTATCATGTGTTATCTAATAGCTAGTGCAATTAGTGTGATTAAGAAAAATTAAAAAGGGAGAAAAGTATAAATTTTCAAAATATTCTTACAGTTAAATTTTCAAAAAATAACCGTTAAAAGATATGACACGTGGCACGAAAACACTAAATTTATGCACAGCAAAATAAGCTTTAAAGAATGTTGATAAATGCTGAATATTTCCTCGTTTTAAATATCACAAAAATGAATAGTGTGAATGATGAAAAAAGAATCCTTGAAGCGACATCCATTCCCCAATGTATTCTATTTCTCGTTTTAAAATCTGTTGTTTTATTATTTTTTACGATGATACTCGGTGATATTTTTTTCACCATAAATATTTCTCATTTGATGACAATCACGAATAAAATAAAGGGAGTAAATAATATATTTTTATATTCACACCGTTTTCACGTGTGAATCTATTGGTTTTGTTCAGATTGAAAAATCAGTTTTTCGCATTTTTTGAGAAAACGAAGCAAAATTGGTTAAAAAAAGTCACAGAAGAAAAGTTTGTGCCTGAAATTTTACATCATTTTCAAAAAACAGATTTTAAATTGGTTGTGGCATTGCTGAGAAAATCGCAAAATACGCTTTCTGTAAGCAAATAAGCAAACAAGCAAGCAAGCAAGTTAATCAGCAAAAAATCTCAATAACGAGACATTGTAGAGACTTCTAGTTTTTTACATTTGATCCGTGCTGCTCTATAGAAGAACTATATTGTTTTTGGGCAAGGTAGGAACAGCCGTTGCTTCAGAAAAAGCAAAAAACTTTCCTTTATTACGAATTTTTCAAATTAAAAGTTCACTGTGATTTTTTTTCATTTTAAATTAAACTTTGGATGAAAAAAATTTTTTTAAGCAAAGAACCAAGAAGGAAATACATTTTCAATTTTGGACTAGGGGCGACCCTAGTCAAAATCAGTTTGTCACTTTTTTCTTCGAGGGTTTATCCAAATGGATTGAAACTTTGCATAAATATTTTAGTGCTTAAAACAAATACAAATAAACATCCAAAAATGTTTTTGAGCAAAGAACCAAGTAGGAAATACAATTTCAATTTTGGACTAGGGGCGACCCTAGTCAAAATCAGTTTGTCACTTTTTTCTTCGAGGGTTTATCCAAATGGATTGAAACTTTGCATAAACATTCTAGTGCTTAAAACAAATACAAATCAAACATCCAAAAAAATTTTTGAGCAAAGAACCAACTAGGAAATACATTTTCAATTATGAACTAGGGGCGACCCTAGTCAAAATCATTTTGTCACGTTTTTCTTCGAGGGTTTATACAAATGGATTGAAACTTTGCATAAACATTCTAGTGCTTAAACCAAATACAAATAAAACATCCAAAAATTTTTTTGAGCAAAGAACCAACTAGGAAATACATTTTCAATTATGAACTTGGGACAGGTCTAGTCAAAATCTAGTTTTTCACTTTCTTTCTTCGAAGGTTTATCCAAATGGATTGAAACTTTGCATAAATATTTTAAGTCTTAAAACAAATACAAATAAAACATCCTAAAATTTTTTTGAGCAAAGAACCAACTAGGAAATACATTTTCAATTATGAACTTGGGACAGGTCTAGTCAAAATCTAGTTTTTCACTTTCTTTCTTCGAAGGTTTATCCAAATGGATTGAAACTCTGCATAAATATTTAAGTGCTTAAAACAAATACAAATAAAACATCCTAAAATTTTTTTGAGCAAAGAACCAAGTAGGAAATACATTTTCAATATTGGACTAGGGGCGACCCTAGTCAAAATCAATTTTGTCACTTTTTTTTTCGAGGGTTTATCCAAATGGATTGAAACTTTGCATAAATATTGTAGTGCTTAAACCAAATACAAATAAAACATCCAAAAATTTTTTTGACCAAAGAACCAAGTAGGAAATACATTTTCAATTTTGGACTAGGGGCGACCCTAGTCAAAATCAATTTTGTCACTTTTTTCTTCGAGGGTTTTTCCAAATGGATTGAAACTTTGCATAAATATTCTAGTGCTTAAAACAAATACAAATAAAACGTCCAAAAAATTTTTTGAGCAAAGAACCAACTAGGAAATACATTTTCAATTATGAACTTGGGACAGGTCTAGTCAAAATCAGTTTGTCACTTTTTTCTTCGAGGGTTTACACAAATGGATTGAAACTTTGCATAAATATTCTATTGCTAAAAACAAAGACAAATAAAACATCCTAAAATTTTTTTGAGCAAAGAACCAACTAGGAAATACATTTTCAATTATGAACTTGGGACAGGTCTAGTCAAAATCTAGTTTTTCACTTTCTTTCTTCGAAGGTTTATCCAAATGGATTGAAACTCTGCATAAATATTTAAGTGCTTAAAACAAATACAAATAAAACATCCTAAAATTTTTTTGAGCAAAGAACCAAGTAGGAAATACATTTTCAATATTGGACTAGGGGCGACCCTAGTCAAAATCAATTTTGTCACTTTTTTTTTCGAGGGTTTATCCAAATGGATTGAAACTTTGCATAAATATTGTAGTGCTTAAACCAAATACAAATAAAACATCCAAAAATTTTTTTGACCAAAGAACCAAGTAGGAAATACATTTTCAATTTTGGACTAGGGACGACCCTAGTCAAAATCAATTTTGTCACTTTTTTCTTCGAGGGTTTATCCAAATGGATTGAAACTTTGCATAAATATTCTAGTGCTTAAAACAAATACAAATAAAACATCCTAAAAATTTTTTGAGCAAAGAACCAAGTAGGAAATACATTTTCAATTTTGCACTAGGGGCGACCCTAGTCAAAATCAATTTTGTCACTTTTTTCTTCGAGGATTTTTCCAAATGGATTGAAACTTTGCATAAATATTCTAGTGCTTAAAACAAATACAAATAAAACATCCAAAAAATTTTTTGAGCAAAGAACCAACTAGGAAATACATTTTCAATTATGAACTTGGGACAGGTCTAGTCAAAATCAGTTTGTCACTTTTTTCTTCGAGGGTTTACACAAATGGATTGAAACTTTGCATAAATATTCTATTGCTAAAAACAAAGACAAATAAAACATCCTAAAATTTTTTTGAGCAAAGAACCAACTAGGAAATACATTTTCAATTATGAACTTGGGACAGGTCTAGTCAAAATCAGTTTGTCACTTTCTTTCTTCGAAGGTTTATCCAAATGGATTGAAACTTTGCATAAATATTTTAATGCTTAAAACAAATACAAATCAAACATCCAAAAAATTTTTTGAGCAAAGAACCAACTAGGAAATACATTTTCAATTATGAACTTGGGACAGGTCTAGTCAAAATCAGTTTGTCACTTTTTTCTTCGAGGGTTTATCCAAATGGATTGAAACTTTGCATAAATGTTCTAGTGCTTAAAACAAATACAAATAAAACATCTTAAATTTTTTTTGAGCAAAGAACCAACTAGGAAATACATTTTCAATTATGAACTTGGGACAGGTCTAGTCAAAATCAGTTTGTCACTTTTTTCTTCGAGGGTTTACACAAATGGATTGAAACTTTGCATAAATATTCTAGTGCTTAAAACAAATACAAATAAAACATCCAAAAAATTTTTTGAGCAAAGAACCAAGTAGGAAATACATTTTCAATTTTGCACTAGGGGCGACCCTAGTCAAAATCAATTTTGTCACTTTTTTCTTCGAGGGTTTTTCCAAATGGATTGAAACTTTGCATAAATATTCTAGTGCTTAAAACAAATACAAATAAAACGTCCAAAAAATTTTTTGAGCAAAGAACCAACTAGGAAATACATTTTCAATTATGAACTTGGGACAGGTCTAGTCAAAATCAGTTTGTCACTTTTTTCTTCGAGGGTTTACACAAATGGATTGAAACTTTGCATAAATATTCTATTGCTAAAAACAAAGACAAATAAAACATCCTAAAATTTTTTTGAGCAAAGAACCAACTAGGAAATACATTTTCAATTATGAACTTGGGACAGGTCTAGTCAAAATCAGTTTGTCACTTTCTTTCTTCGAAGGTTTATCCAAATGGATTGAAACTTTGCATAAATATTCTAGTGCTTAAAACAAATACAAATCAAACATCCAAAAATTTTTTTGAGCAAAGAACCAAGTAGGAAATCCAATTTCAATATTGGACTAGGGGCGACCCTAGTCAAAATCTAGTTTTTCAATTTTATAAATTTGGTTGTACATTCAAAAACAACGTGACTTAAAATTTTGTCCAAAAAATGATTTTTATTTATTCAGAAATGTGTGACCTAAAGATTAGAATGCTCATACAAAGTTTTACTGTATTTGGATTTATCCTCGAAGAAAAAAGTGAAAAACTAGATTTTGACTGGACCTGTCCCAAGTTCATAATTGAAATTGGATTTCCTACTTGGTTCTTTGCTCAAAAAAAATTTAGGATGTTTTATTTGTATTTGGTTTAAGCACTAAAATATTTATGCAAAGTTTCAATCCATTTGGATAATTCCTCGAAAAAAAAAGTGACAAAATTGATTTTGACTAGGGTCGCCCCTAGTGCAAAATTGAAAATGTATTTCCTAGTTGGTTCTTTGCTCAAAAAAATTTTTTTGGATGTTTTATTTGAATTGACATAATTCTGACATAAAGCACATACCAATTTTACTTTTTGTAATGCATAGCTTAAAAAAAATCGAAATCTAAAATTTCGACTACCCCATCTGAATTTTGTTCATACTCTTCACTGTGGAAACCAAAACACAAATTCTTTATCTTAAAACACTTGACAAAACAGCGACATAATTCAGGATCAATTACTTTTTAATAATATTTTAACATTTCCGAGAAAATGTGGTTCAAATAAGTGTGAAGTATGGCCGAGATTTGGA